TCACTAGATCTCATTAGCTGACTAAAATACGAGGAAACTACGTAGTGAACAATCAGCTAATCAAATGCTGACATGTTTATCCAAATTATGCTGTTTGGTTATGCCATGAAGTTGTTAAATGCTGAATTTCTGACACTAAAGCTAATTAAAATTGGACTCTAAATCGGAGATGCGAGTCGAAGATTAACAAAGTAGTGCAAATGATAATCTTAGGGAAAACACCTGTATTTTAGAGTGTTTAAACATATTTTCACCTCATTAACAATAATGAAGTATATGAGATAACGAAAGACCCCAGAGGGATCTTGGTGCCCACCATTGTTTGATCTTTATATGCTTTTTGAAAGTTGGATTTTTTCCCTTCTTTTCTCTTCTCTGTTTTTGCTCTTGATGATTAGACATTTAAACATTCCTTTATAGAAATAAATGATAATCTTTTCCTGCCAAATCCAAAATCTGATGATGGTGGGCTAACAAAAGATTACATCTGGATAAAAATATTAAGAAAATTAAATTATAAAAAAGCATACAGTGTAACATTTCAGATCAAACCAGTTTGAGTATTAAAACAGCAGGGAAGACTACCTTGCTATCAACATATCTTACGGTACAATAGAACATGGAAAAGTTTAACAAAACATTGATAATAGGTCCATGTTGATTACTCAACAGGTAAGTGAGAGTTCTGTTGTATAACAGACCTGTCAAGTATACAACAGGACACTTACTGACCTGTCAAGTATACGACAGGACCCTCACTGACCTGTCAAGTATACGACAGGACACTCATCGACCTGTCAAGTATACAACAGGACCCTCACTGACCTGTCAAGTATACAACAGGACACTCACTAACCTGTCAAGTATACAACAGGACCCTCCCTGACCTGTCAAGTATACAACAGGACACTCACTGACCTGTCAAGTGTACAACAGGACCCTCACTGACCTGTCAAGTATACAACAGGACCCTCACTGACCTGTCAAGTTTAAAACAGGATCCTAACTGACCTGTCAAGTATACAACAGGATCCTCCCTGACCTGTCAAGTATACAACAGGACACTCCCTGACCTGTCAAGTTTACAACAGGACACTCACCAACCTGTCAACTATACAACAGGACCCTCACTGACCTGTCAAGTATACAACAGGACACTCCCTGACCTGTCAAGTATACAACAGGACACTCCCTGACCTGTCAAGTATACAACAGGATCCTAACTGACCTGTCAAGTATACAACAGGACCCTCACTGACCTGTCAAGTATACAACAGGACACTCCCTGACCTGTCAAGTTTACAACAGGACACTCACCGACCTGTCAAGTATACAACAGGACCCTCACTGACCTGTCAAGTATACAACAGGACACTCCCTGACCTGTCAAGTTTACAACAGGACACTCACCGACCTGTCAAGTATACAACAGGACACTCCCTGACCTGTCAAGTTTACAACAGGATCCTAACTGACCTGTCAAGTATACAACAGGACCCTCACCGACCTGTCAAGTATACAACAGGACCCTCACCGACCTGTCAAGTATACAACAGGACCCTCACCGACCTGTCAAGTATACAACAGGATCCTAACTGACCTGTCAAGTTTACAACAGGACCCTCACTGACATGTCACTGACCTCTCATATACACTCATAATTGTGTTAATGTTGTATTGCACATTTTAATATCACATCATTTCCTACATCTAGCTTCTAATATCATCTACTGAGACATGAATAACATGATGACTGTTACATGATCTTGAAGTACAAAAATAAGTGAGATGTTAACATAAACGTTCTGACACCAATGCCCAATAATACTACCTGATGGATCACCAACAGAAAATCTTTATCTCAAAGAAGACAACAGGATTGACTTAGATGTCTTAGAGAGCTTACTGTCAACTCAGAGCTGTTGCAGAAAAGGATAGCTGACAACTGACAACTCAGGGCTGTTGCAGAAGAAGATAGCTGACTTACTGACGACTCAGGGCTGTTGCAGAAGAAGATAGCTGACTTACTGACGACTCAGGGCTGTTGCAGAAGAGGATAGCTGACAACTGACAACTCAGGGCTGTTGCAGAAGAAGATAGCTGACTTACTGACGACTCAGGGCTGTTGCAGAAGAGGATAGCTGACAACTGACAACTCAGGGCTGTTGCAGAAGAAGATAGCTGACTTACTGTCAACTCAGAGCTGTTGCAGAAGAAGATAGCTGACTTACTGACGACTCAGGGCTGTTGCAGAAGAGGATAGCTGACAACTGACAACTCAGGGCTGTCGCAGAAGAGGATAGCTGACTTACTGATGAAATACATGTGCCTGATACCTCTCTATAAATACTGCATCACCCTCTTGCAAATATTATGTACAGTGTGTAGCATGGTGTTGTACCACAATTTATGGTACAGATTTGTCTCCACTACAATGAGGCACCATTGATATCAAATTAACAAACATCCATAAACAACTTTAGGTTTTATAAATTTGGCACATGGTGGAGACTCTATTTCAACTTCCTGATTGTAAACAGTTCAGGTGAAGAAAAATGAGTTTTCATCATTATTTTGGTTATGGAAGACACTGGATATGTCAATATGTAGTGTCTACCTGATGTAAAATGAAATAACGCTCAAAAAAACATGTAAGAAAAAAAAATTGATACATTTACATCCTATAAAACTGAAGAAACCAGCATTAATTCAAAACATAAGCAATAAACCAAACTGAAAGGAAACCATTTAACCCCATTTGGATCTCATAAAAAATAACATAAAAACACATACACCTCATCTACAAACTAAAATGATATGGCACATACCCCAAAATATCAAAAATAAGTATACATTTTTATGTAAAAATATTCAACAGTTCTTTAAACACAATAACGACTATTATGAGCTCCCAAAATATATGACACATAAATACATAATTTCATATGTGAAAGTACATTGTTTAAAAGAAAGGTTCATACAAATTTTGAAGTTAATTTTAATGGTTTTGAAATCAAAATCCACTAAAAAATTTGGTCAACAATCACGGACTAGTAAATCTCTATTTTTGTCATCATTGAAGTTGTACATCCCATCATCTGATGATACACCAAATCCTGTTTCTTTGGTAGACATATGAACTAAAGGTAAGGTGTTCACACTGGGTGTGATGATTTTCTACACAGATAATGTAACACCAATGACAGCCACATCTTTGTTGTAGTAATACAAACACACCATTAATAAAAGTGCAAAACTGCCAATAAAGCTGAGTCTTATTTAAAAAAAAAAGATGTTCCATTTTTATTAGATTGATTGAAACAACTGTATCACAGATAAAATAACTAAAAAATGAAATAAACTATTTGGTAGGATTAATAGCCACTGATTTCTACAGATATTACTTCATATGGCAGCTTAAATCTGGCTATAGGATGGTAAAATTAATTTGCAAACTAAATTATCCAGAAATTCATTGATATTAGGGAAAAATTTATGCTCGGAAACTAAATGATCAATCACAAGTGATGTCCCTCATAAATTATGCATAAACATCAAAAAAAAGTTTCAGTTGTCAAACTCAAAAAAAGTAACATACATCTTCAAATCAAATTTGATCAAAATATGTTCACATTTAGTTATCACACAGAATCAACTGGCCAATATTATGTATAAAAAAATCAATGACATCAGTAGTGGAACACAAGTTAAAGGATAGCAAGATACACTTGTAAACCATATCTCATCAAAATCAATTGACATTTAGGGAAGTTATCACATGGGAACTATACTGGGATGGATAGACAGACAGACATCCTCTATTTAATATTCCCCTTAATCTTCAAAAAGCTGGCGATAAAAGTATTTGCTCATTTACTCATAATTTTAAAATATCATAAAAGTCATATTATAAAAAAATTGAACTCAAAAGATCATTATTTTTGTTACTTTTATCTCTGAAGTCAGATCCTTCATTTTCACATCTTACCTCCCCTTTATAAAATATCATTATGAAATATATAAAATCACGATGAATACTTAAACATAAGTCATTAAAAAATATTATCATGGTAATTATATTTTCTATTTAAAAACAAGATTACATGGCGATGGGTTACTGTGGAGGTTACTGTGGCAGTTAAGTATACCATTAACACACTAATTTACATGTGACAGTATTACATACAAACTTTAAGGGAGTTATTCCAAAAATACAATCAATTAATCAGCATTAAGTAGCCTGATCAAGGTTTTCACTTGGCAATTTATTAATGAAACCCTTTCTGATTAACTGGTGTCATTCTGTATCGTTTGAATGGAAATTCTGAAATTGAATAGGGTCCTTCTTAATTTCAGTAGATGGTCAGGCTGTGCAGTGATAACACCTTTACAATCAGGGATCAATCACCGGAATGGACATGAAAAGCACAGAGTCACCTGCCCAAACATGTGGGCTTTCCCTGGGTTTCCTTCCACATTAATATCCCTCACCTGATTCCATCCATGCCAACAAAAGTGATTAAATAAGAGTTATGTGAAATGCTTAATGTTAAGTACTTTCTTTTATGAAAATTAGCCCTAGTAATATGAGATGCTGAATGCTCTATATCTGCTGCTCCATGTCTACAGGCACCCATGGATGCTTTGTGTATTCTTTCTATTTCAGTTATTCCCAATGTATCTACTTCATGATCAAAACAGTTCACATTTAGCATCTCACATCAGTTCAACATTTTGCATTATGAAGTATTAGGCATAAAGCAATTCACATAAAGCATTTAGCATATGGCTTTCCATACAGTACAAACTTCTCAGTGATACAGTATAAACTTCTTAGTGACACAGTACAAGCTTCTAAGTGATACAGTATAAGTACAAAAATCCCAGTAATACAGTACATGCAAAAAAATTCACTGTGATATAGTATGAACTTATCAGTGGTTCAATATGTGAACAAACATCTCAGTGATACAGCACAAACATCCAAGTGATGCTGTACAAACATCTCAGTGATGCAGTACAAACCTCTCAGTGATACAGCACAAACATCCCAGTGATACAGTATATGTGCAAACATCCCAGTGATACAGTATATGTGCAAACATCCCAGTGATACAGTATATGTACAAACATCCTAGTGATGCAGTACAAACCCCTCAGTGATACAATACAAACCTCTCAGTGATAAAGTACAAACTTCTAAGTGATACAGTACAAGCTTCTCAGTGATTCAGTACATGTAAAAACTGTACTGTAAAAACATCAGAGTTATAATGTACATACATCTGTGACTGCTCAGTGATTCAGTATAAACTTCTTCAGAAAAAAAGTATGTTTTTGGATCACAATAAGAAAAGAACAAATGAATTTGCTTTCATAGATTACTTTCAGACACACTTCGACAATTTTGAGTTGAAACCTAAGAAGACAGAAAAAATGAAGGTACAGAAAATGAACACAACAGGCTATGGCTGCCTTAGTTTTTACGCACAGGACGAAATTTGCCCTCTGGATCGGCAACATAATATTTATCCCAGATGTCTGAATGAGATGATACACCCCCCCAGGGTTTGAAGCGTCCATTCCAGTGGAGAAGGTGGGCATAGCTTAGGAAAGTTTTACTATAGCTTGTTTTCTTTGTCCATCCTGTAAATATATAAAGTGTCAGGATCTCTTTACACTACAATACAAATGTACTACAAATATATTGTAATAATGAATGAACAAAACAAAATAAGACAATGGTAGTGGTAACAAAATCTTTCAATGGAAAACATACCTCCATGCTTGTTGTAATTATCAGATAACAGGTCATGATTCACTCGTAATCGCTGTTCAGAACTGTCACATACTTCATTTTTGTTAAATATGTTTCATTATACAGTGTAAATTTGAGTATACAAGTATTATATAATTCACTCCATATAATGCCTAAACAATGACTCAACAGAATTATCACACCAGGAGTTACAGTTAACCTCCAGAAATGAGATTATATATGCAATGAATACACCAGTGAAACTATGTACCATGTAAGAAGTTCTAGGTACTAAAAGTGTAGGAGATAGAGCCCAGACAAAGTTTCTCTCTGATGTAGGTCAAAGGTCAAAATGCAGGTCAGAGCGACCTACTTTTGCTGCATGACACACCACTTTCCCAAGTGTTCCAAAGACTAGTAGAGTAAGAGAAAGAGGCTACACTTTTTTCTTTGATGTACATATTGAAGGTCTAAGGTCAAAATGTGGTTTAGAAAGACCTTCATTAGATACATGACACCAAAGAGAACCCACTACCTAAAAATGAAGTTCCAGTGACTACTTGATTAGCTTATGTCTAAGTTTATATTAACCTTGATAGTTTAACATTCTGGTAACCTTGACTGTTAAATAGTTTGGTGACTGTGACTACAAAATGTATAAAACATTCTGACCACTGTTGTTCAATGCTGGTTGGCAATGACAAGTAATTATTAAAAATTTTCAAATGTGAATTAAGCTAAATTGGGAACATCACTTATCATTTCTTCACTGTATATTTGTTGTGACTGATTATATTTTGAGTATTGATTTTGCTTTTTATGCTCTTTTTATTTTCAGTGCGAATTATTTGAATTTTTCATTAACCTTTCAGAAACCAGGGCCTGGTAGCTTGACTGTTGTATACTATAACAGTATCTGATGGAGCAACACTATACATACCTAGATAGCGGACATGCCAGTTGGGATCAAGTTCTGTGTAATTTTGGTAAAAGACGATCATCATCGGTGGCTGAGAGGCTCCCCCTCCTCGTTCATTTCCATACACTTCCTCTCTGAAATTAACTCCTAAATAAGATTCTGCTTTTGGTTCATGTATCTCAGATTGTATATCCTTTTAAAACTATGTAGGTATCATCAGTAGCCATTTTGACAACTAAACATACTTTGTCACAGGTCAGTGGTCTGATTAGTGAGGTGACATTAAATGCAAAACTGGTGTTTGGAACTTTTTAAAAATTGGTCTGAGGTGATCTTATCAGCGAGGTAATCTTAAATGCCAAGTATTCAATACACAGATATTTTTGGACCAAAATTAAATGGTCTTAATCATGAGGTTGTCTTAACTGTTAGGTGGTCTTAATAATGAGGCTGTCTTAACCGTAAGATCGTCTTAATCATGAGGTTGTCTTAACTGTAAGGTGGTCTTAATAATGAGGCTGTCTTAACCGTAAGATGGTCTTAATCATGAGGTTGTCTTAACTGTAAGGTGGTCTTAATAATGAGGCTGTCTTAACCGTAAGATGGTCTTAATCATGAGGTTGTCTTAACTGTAAGGCGGTCTTAATAATGAGGCTGTCTTAACCGTAAGATGGTCTTAATAATGAAATGGTCTTCATTGTAAGGTGGTCTTAATCATGAGGTACTCTTAACCGTAAGATGGTCTTAAATCGTGAAGGGGTCTTTAAGTGAGATTTTACTGTATTCATATATGTTAAACTTACATGTATTTTCAAAATCACATCTCAATTGCTATAGCTATATTGATATGTGATATGAAGAAATTTACAAGTGCTCACAATTATAAAAGTCACAAGAATACATAATGTAACATGATACATGTACACTATACAGAGAAGCTTACTGTGTATTTAATTTCATCCAGTATTCAAGCTTTTTAGTGATGTTGTATTTCCTCCATAGATCCAGGTCTGCTACAAACACTCCAGTGTTAAAAGCACATTCTGTCGGTTTGAGTTTCAGTTGCTGAATGTGCTTATTTTTGAAATCAAGATAATCTGCATAATTATTCTGAAAAAAAAAAATTTGATAAAGGAAAAAAAGAGTTAATGATTACATGTATCAGTATTTCTCTCAGTTTGGGCAAATTATAAATCTTGTACTTTTGTAGCAAGATGATCTGCTTAATTATTCTGAAGAAAAACATAAATAAAAAAAAAATTTCTGTCAGTTTTGGAAATTTTCATATATACTTATATACATATACTTTAAATTTTACTGATTTTCAATGACATCATAAAGCATACATGAATAGAGTATCATCCCACATGTGTTATTTATACATCAGGCCACACTTGTATAAAACATCTCAACTTGAGATTTCCTCAAGTCGATATTTTCCTCAGCTGATATCTCCTCAAAAACGGCTTGTATAAAATTTTCTCAAGGAACAGGAGGAAGGCATCGGCTAGGATGTCCTGAAATTCCTTGAGGAATTTTCATACAAGATATTTTCAAGGAGATATTAGCTGAGGAAAATCTTGACTTGAGGAAATCTCAAGTTGAGATGTTTTATACAAGTGGGGCCTGGTCCAGTAGATATCATAAGGTATTTGTTTAGAACTAGGAGACACAAGGTTTGATGAAATAATTCATCTTAATAGATATCCTTTTGTCTGAATACACAGGTTACAGATATTTTTGCTGTATTTAGCAGTGGTAGCTCTTTGTTAAGATGTACAGTACAACAATTCACTCAAACTGCTTTCTGAATAACTTGAATACTACATTTTAGTACATTCTGATAAATAAAAAAATCCTACAAAATAATTAATTTTTGTCGTAATATTAAATTGGTTTATTGAGGAAAAGTCATAAAATTCTTTGAACATGTTTGAATATCTGTTGAAGTTTGAAAATATATTTCTGACCAGAACAACTATTTGGGTGTACATATCTGGCTTGATTCTGTTTTTACAGTTAACAATGAACAGTTCAAAGTTTTGATTTTAACCTTCAATAAATGTTGCTGGATAAATAGAATATGTGGTCAAGTTTCTTAAAACTTTTGCTGTATTTTGGCTTTTGACTGAAAGACAAAAGTTGTTGAATCAAGGATAACCCATGTTATCTGTCATTACCGTCACCAAAATACAACTTACATGTTAAGACACTGACCACATGTTCTTTATGACCAGAAATTATTATCAAAGGCTAGGAAATGTGAATAATGATTTACCTTCATAAGTGATAGTCTCTTGGCTGGTCCAGCACAGTCTTTGGAGAAAGCTGCAGCATGTCCTTTCTTCATATCCATGTTGTATAACTCATAAATATCACCTAGAAAAAAGTTTAAGTAAATCCTTAAAATGTCAAAAACAGAATTATCATCTTCACTGTTATAAGGACAGCCTTAGAGATCAATTTTTGACAGGCAGACAAATAGTATTATTCATTTACATGTATTATTCCTAGGCTAATGAAGATATCCACTCAGACAAAGAAATAGGAAGGAGATTGCAGTAGGTGTGATGAAATTAATGACAGCTCATGAATAAGCAAAGTGTATCCTTCTTATATTCCCCTTCATCTTTATTCCCTTTCCTCTTTCTTATTTTAAATTACCTTTCATCTTTATCACATTCCCTTCATCTTTCTTACATTTCCCTTCATCTTTCTTACATTTCCCTTCATCATTCTTACATTTCCCTTCATCATTCTCACATTTCCCTTCACCTTTCTTAAATACTCTTTCATCATTCTTAAATTTCCCTTCATCTTTCTTACATTAAATTTCCCTCCATCTTTCTAATATTCCCATTCATCTTTCTAATATTCCCCTTCATCTTTCTTACATTCCCCTTCACCTTCATTAAATATCCCTTCTTCTTTCTAATATTTTCCGAATATCAATATCTTTCTAAAATACTCCTTCATCTTTCTTGCATTCCCCTTCATCTTTTCAATATCTCCTTCATCTGCCTTACAACCTCCTTCATTTTGCCTACATTATTATCTACCTATATTTCACTTACTTACCACTTCATCACATTACCATTACCCCATCCAAAAACTGTTTAACTTCTGTAGGATGTCATACATGTATGTTAACATGCAACAATCATTAAGATGAAGGTGATGAATCATCTTGTACAAGTGCAAATAAGTCAATCACTGACTTTGAACAGGATATATTAGAGATCTATTACTAATCTTCAGCAGATGGGAATACAAAACAATAATTCATCCTAAACAGGTGAGAATATAAATTATTGTGACCAGGTGTGAGTTTTAGCTGATATTTCACCTTCAACAAATGAGAATGATGAGAAGATAAATTGATAACTCATCTGAAGATGTAAGTAATCAATCAAACATAAACAGGGGAGAAAACTCACCTTGAACAATGCTGTCATCATCAATATACAGCATCCTGCCATGAAGGTCTGGAAATAGTTGTGGTAGATAATAACGTCCAAAGTTTAACTGGAAATAGAAATGACAAAAGAAATACATATAAAGAACTTTAATTTACGTAGAGGTATAACTGTCAATAACTCCTGGCTCAAGTAATCCTGATATATCAGCTGTAAATGCTATGTCTTTGATACAGCTATTTTTTATAACTTATAACGGGTGTGTTAGTACTGTCAATCATTTTAATCTTATTCACAGCAATCAATATTTTAAGTCAAAATCCACTAGGACATAGTAGCAATAAAGGGAATGACAATTATCAAAATCAATACATGTATCTAACAATAAATTTTTTTATACAAATGTTTGATCTTTGTGAAGATTTTGTCCCTTTGCTACTCCTCTTTCCTCTCATTTGCTGTAAACTACATGTAAATGAAATTTGATCATTCCTCTAAAGAAATAGTAATACTAATCTATAGCTGTCAAATCAAAGATGGTCATCTTTCAGCCATTTTGCTTTTCTTATCTGTCACCAAATTCAAAGGGCACAAATAGGACCAAGGAGAACTAACATATATTAAAAATATCTATCTAGTCCTTCTAAAGAAATAGCAATAACAACTTTCATTGTCCACATGAAGATGGCCAATCCACCTGTTGTCCATTTTACTAGCTTCTGACCAATCTCAAAATCAAAAAATGAAAGTTTATAAAGATTCATCGAGTACATAATGTACTTCTGAAGAAACAACAATTTCATTGTAAAATTTAAAGATGGCCACTTGCCAGGAATTTTCTTTTTTGATCAGTCTTAAAATCTATAAGGCACAACTAGGGACGAAGGCAAAGTGACATGTGAAAGTTTCAGATAATCTGATGATGGTGTACCACAAAATAAGAGATAAAAACACTTACAGGACTGGCAAGTTCTGGACGACCCCCTCTAATCTTTATCTTGCCCTTGACCCATTCTTGAGGAAAGACACGTAATTCATAATTCATTTTCAGCAACTTTGATGTTTCAATCCAAATTCTGTAATATATGCATTAAATGACAATTATCTTGCAGATTTCTTAAGAAGAGTTATTAAGAAGGTATTGAAATCCATGACAACAAAAGTAACTCCTTTGAACACACAAACCTGGGAGCACTTTTTTCAAGCACAGTAAAGACCTGATATGATAACCTTTGTTATTCAGAATAGTTTCCCAGTGACATTGTGGGCAAAGTACCATAACTCTGGGCCTTTTTGTTATACAGAAGCTGTTTGAGGATTTTTAACACATTTTGCAACAATGACACTGAGAGTGAACCAAGGTAATTCATTGAGATAAATTTTAAAGTCCTGAAAATAAAATTGTGGTTGGCCTTATGCTACTTGTCAAAAAGCAGGACCCTGTGAGTGTAACTTCTACATGTTCCCCAGTATTTCACCTTTACAAGACCTAGAATGTGACCCCTGCATAATCCTGATTTTTGTGTGACATCTTCAAGACCTCCAGTGTGTTATCTCTACATCACTACATGACCCTCAGAGGGTGACCTCTACATGAACCACAGTGTGTGACTCTACAAGATCCACAGTGTGTGACTCTACAAGATCCACAGTGTGTGACTCTACAAGATCCACAGTGTGCGACTCTACAAGATCCACAATGAGTGACCTCTACAAGATCCACAGTGTGTGACTCTACAAGATCCACAGTGTGTGACTCTACAAGATCCACAATGAGTGACCTCTACATGAACCACAGTGTGTGACTCTACAAGATCCACAATGAGTGACCTCTACAAGATCCACAGTGTGTGACCTCTACATGAACCACAGTGTGTGACTCTACGAGATCCACAGTGTGTGACTCTACAAGATCCACAATGAGTGACCTCTACACAATCCAGTGTGTGATCTGAACATGATCCCAAGTGTGTGACATCTATATCAATAGTGTGTAATCTCTACATAATCCACAGTATGTAACCTTTTTGTGTGAGCTTGGGAAACAAAGAATAATTTATCAAGATAACATCATATATCCAAAAATGAAACTCTATAATACAAATGCACATTACATATCAACCAACATTACCAGTTAAGAACATGTGCCTATGAAACACTATGCCCCCAGTTGCAACAAAATCCTGAAGTGGGGCATTAAAACTATACTGTGTAAGCCATGTGTTGATTGCATGCACACTTTGTGAAACACCTATGTCTTCATTTTGCAATAGTTAAGGCCAATGTTAAAGTTTTACACATGTATGTCAAAAGTCATGGTCAAGTTCATGAGGTTAAAAAAATTTGGTACCTACAGAATGGTCTTATCACAAGGAACACACATGCCAAATATGAAAGCCCTACATCTTATTGTGCAAAAGTCATGGACAATGTTAAAGTTGACAACAGACAAATGGACAAATAGACAGACAACACAAAAACAACAAGCTCCAAATCTTCTGTACTGAGGACATAAAGATCAGCAAATACAAGAATAAAATGATAAGTCTATATTTACCTGGCATGGTCATTACTCTGTCTGTCCACAAACAGGTGAAACATGACGTCGTGTTTTGTGTTGACCATGATGCTGTTGGCTAAAGCCATCATGCCACCGAGTGTGTTTACGTCGGACATGATACACACATGGACAGCATCAGTCAATGAGATGTTCTTTTTGTACTGTATAACCTCTTTTCTGTAGATACCTGATCAAGTGAATTAACAGTGTACATCTCTAGACAAGTATAATGATTATGTTACATTACCATATTTGTTCTGCAATAAGCCCAAGCAGCCAATCAATCACCTCTGACTCAAATTCAGGGGTGGGCTTATCACAGGACAATGAAATAATGTAGCCATGGTAACTGGTCATGTCATTGAACTCCAATATATATAGTTGTACTTATGCCAAATAATGTGGTAAACAAAATGATAATGTAAGACAGGTTCATTTAAGTTGAAGTTTTTGGAAGTTTTCTGTTTATATAATCAAAATTCTTTTTGTTTGCATGTAGATTTTGATAAAAATGGATTAAAACAAACCTTTTTCAATTGAATTTTTCTCTCTGTTATTTGGCAGAAAATATGGAAGCCACAGATAGATGAGGAAGCCAAGCCATATCAGTATCAGAGCAGTGCCAACTGTAACAGAAAGTAGTACAACTCATGGGTACATGTAGTATAAGATACATTTACAGATAAAAACAGGACATGTATGTATACATCACATCAGTTTTCCCTCAGATAATAATGGATGTTAACATAGGACTATTAGACTATCTTAGATATCTTACAAAGGAACAGTGGATCTTAATGGGAAGCCCATGAGCCTTAACGGTCATATGACAATTAATTATTTATTTCAGAAATTACTACCCTCCCAAAGCGATGTTTCAAATGAAATAGTTTTAAATACACTAGCATTTTGGAAAAGTAAATTTTCCATTGGTTCCCCCCTCCCCTCCTCACTCCCTCTATGCTGAGAAATAAGTTTGAAAAGATCCAAATAAGTGTTTCTACATATACCAAATGTGATCGTGATTAGCAATTAAAAAAGATCCTTAATTCTTTCTTTTTAATTCCTTCATAAGACCATAAATATCCCCAATCAATCACAAACCACCATGTTCAGTCTTTCTTTTCTTGTATCATTTGTCTATGGAATAATCTACCATCTAAGCATCACAGAGTCCTGACATAACATCATTTGAATCAGGAATCACACAATAACTTTAAAGCTTCATAGACTATAGTTTGAGAATTGAATTTAATAATTTATAAATTTATAAAAGAATGAAAAGTATTACTGAAATCAACATCTTTGATAGATAAGTGACTGATTTTAATGAGAAAACAGTGAACTTGTTTAAACTGCAGAAAAATATTCATGATTATGTAAGTTTCTTTCTATACATGAACAGAATATCAGAGGCATTCTATTTTGGGTACCCCTATCTGTTGAAATGCATGGCACAACATTGCATGCCTTACTGCATTTTATCAGAGATGTATATAACACTCATATATAAATGTGTCATATATGTCTCTGGTTTTATTTATAGACAAGTGCGCTGCTGACATATTAGTAAGCGGAATATTTTTTAAGTTAAATTTTTGACTAAGCAAATATCCTGGTACCAGATGAGCAATTTTGCATTTGACAGCATAAGTTCATTGATCATCATCGGTGAGACAACAGCACAGCAATACAAACAAAAAATCAACCAAAATGTTTTTTATCAACACAGTATTTAAACTTTATGTTTGCTTTATTCACAAATGAAATTACATTGTATCTATGCCTTATTTCTTCCCCAGAAAGTGCAACCTTGCCATTGGTTGGAGGGCTTGTGTGTCTCTATGACCCTGATGAGAGCTATGCTGGCAGGAGATTCGTCTCCCGGTAGAGCCACCCAAGTCAAACAGGTCAAAGGTTAGAGACCAGACAAAGAGCACTCAGTGGTCCTCCAGGTTTGGGGATATAAACTAGACTCATAACCTAGTCCTGTAAAAATTAGGTCATTACAGAAACCATAATGACAAATTCTAAGAACAACTTGGTCAAGGAGGAGTCCTCTCTAGCAGAGCTCATGACAAGAGCTTGTGAAAGCCTTCAGGAAGCCAGCGCACTGTCAACTCTTCTGATGACCAAGGTCAAGACCAGGATAAGGACCTGGAACATCAGAACCCTATATGAGGCCGGAAAGAGAGCACAAGTTTGTAGTGAGATGCACAGATACAACCTGAAGATACTATACCTATGTAAGACTTGACTGACAGGAACAGGAAGAACAAGACTAGTGAGTGGTGATACCATCATCTACTAGGGACAGGAAGGCCAACCACACACTGATGCAGTTGCACTGTTGATGACATCCAAGGCAACACGGGCACTGCTGTCCTGGGAACCTCTGTCACCAAGGATCCTCATGGCAAGATTCAACTCAAAGGGCCAGAAAGTCGCCATCGTGCAGTGTTACACCCCTGCCAATATGGAGGCCATCGAAGACAGAAGATTTCTAAGAGCAAATCCAAGTAGTCATAGTAAAAAAAAACCCAAAAGAGACTTGAAGATCATCATGTGACACATGAACGCTGAAGTAGGCTGGTAGAGTTCTGCACCTTCAATGACCTGGACCGAGGTTATGAGTGTGAACAACAGACAAGATCAAGTGCAACTACAACAAGAATACATCAAGGTAGTTGATAAGTTTGTCTACTGTGGCAGCACAGTCAGTAAAAACGAGGGATGGATAAAGATATCAAGAGTCAAAAAACAAAGCACCACATGCCATCAACACCCTTTGACCAATTTGAAGAGCCTTCTCACTCTGCAACAAGATCTGGATCTTTAACATCCATGTGAAGTCGGTCCTACTCTACTGATCAGAAACATGGAAAGTGAGCAAGACCAGCACCCACAAACTACAGACATTTACCGACAGAGGTCTTGGAAACTTTCTCAATTTCAGGTGACCACAGGTTTTCTCCAACGAACAACTTTGGGACATGACAAAACAAGCCCCAATTGAGACAGAGATCTAAAAGCGAAAATTGGGTTAGATAGGTCACATACTATGAAAGCCTACGCCCAACATCACCAGGCAGCCCTTTGACTGGAATCAACTGGTGACTGGGTCGACCGAATTAGACTTGGTGAAGCAGCATTGATGCTGAGACGAAGCCCCCCTCCCCCGGAATGACGTGGGCCAAGCTAAGGAGGACTAGTCAGAACCGAGTGCAATGGAGGAGTGTTGTTGAGGCCCTTTGTTCCCTATGGAATCAAAAGGCATTAGGAAGCAAGTAAATATGACTTATTTCAGTCGATGCTTCCGTTTCGGTCTTAAAAATACGTTTGCAATAAGTTAACAAAAGAAACGTTCTATTTAGACTACGACTTTTTCTTGATGAAATGCAGTTATGCATCATCAGATAATCAGCTGATAATAGCATCTAAAACAGCTGATCAGGACTTCTCTCTTGAGAGCTACTATATTGCATATGGCTTCGCACTCACTCTTCTTGGAAGAAAAGAAGCTCAGAAATCCACGCATGTTTCTTCGTTTTTCTGTAAAATGCTATCACAACCTCTTTACTTCAGGAACATTGACACGTTACTTCAGGAACACTGACACGTTATTTCAGGAACACTGACACGTAGGCAAGCACAAGGGCGCGGACATCTTCAAAGTGCCCGTATGATAACATTCTGTAAGATATAACAACAAACATAACGGAACACATATATAAATTATAGATTATATAAAATACCAAAACGACACTTCTCTTTACGCTTAATGATTCAAGTATAAAACATTTAATCAAGTTCCTCTGAATAACGCGCTCTAGTGTCTTATAAGGGGAGTCGTTTGACATCATTTGTTGTTGATCTGATATTTATATTTTCCGAGCACATGGTCGGCGACGATCGGCGGACGGTGAGAAGAAGTTTCACTTAGAATGAATCTTTACATTGAGGGATCGAAAGTTCTGCACAAAGTTTTAGAAAAGCACGGGGCAATCAAAAACCTTGTATACACTTCCCAATATGAGGTAAGAAAGATTGCCATTTTACAATTAATCTAGCGGAACTTTAATTACCTCTCCAGTACTGCAGTAGTATGTTGAGTTAGGGATAGAAAACAAATAGTCTTGTTTTTGAGTGTCAGTTACTGAGTACGAAAATGCTTTGAAACAGAAACATGTGAAGTTCTTTTTAACGTTTCACGAGAAAATGGCTGTTCAGTTAAGCATGTCACTATTATATTGATATGTCATACGGTGATTTGTTTTATGAATGTTTTGTAAAATATGTGATCATCAAATATAAAAAAAAATGTAATCATTAGGACTGTCTTTTAGATGTTAGAAACCAGCGTCTTAAGCTGTGCCGTAGTCGAGTCGTAACATTTACATGACGACCTGACTTTTCCTGAAACAACAACACATCCTTCGCTTATGTAACGGGAGTGGAAAAATACATGGACAGACCGGGATTTGAACCCGGGACCTTTCGAAATCTAGATTGATGATCTACCAACTGAACTAGCTGGTCACCCATGATCAACCTCATCCAGTTTAGCTACATTCCTCCCTCCTAATTTTTAGTCTTTCCCCCCAAAGACATCATATCTAACAACCCAGGTTCAGGTATTCCCATCTTGAAACACGGTTTGTCACGGCACCCAATGTAACAGGAGCAAAAAATTGTGTGGCGTTTGAACAGGAGACCTTCTAAACTCTAGACGAGTTAACTGGTCATTGATGATCCACCCCGTCCAGTTCCGGTACACTTATGTTCATAACATATCGTTATAACATTATATCATGTTTTATGCTGTCAAGTGGTTAGATTTCTACAATTGAATACATCTTCTGACTTGTTACTACGGCCGTTGTCATAGACGGGTGTACAAGAAACACAAAAGAGTTCCTTTAATTTTGAGTGACATTAACATTGATGCAGATTATTCAATAGTGCAAACTGTGGCCGCTGTGTATAATGAAACTTTGGTGTCAGTAGTAGACAGAATGAATCCAACATTCTGAATTGTATAGTGTCCACCTGAATAATTTCAACAATAAATCATGAAAATACTACATTTTTCATGACAATTTTGCAGTAAATAGTCTCATTGCTTGATTTAACCATTCTTTAACAATCAAATCATGAAAACTAGTCAGATGGAAGTACCTTTAGAATTGTTTCGACAAAGCTCTTTCTTGCAATATAAATATAGTATCATATAAATGCCATTAAGAGGTTGCATTTTTTTGCTCAAAATTTCCTTCATGTGACTTAAGGCTAAGTGCATATGAATTTAAAATCTCACTATGATGTTGGTGTGATACATATTAACTGTATCAGTGTCTATGAGGCCTGCTCTGTGTAGGACATGATAAGATTTAGGCATGGAATAAAAGGCAATGTATTTTCAATGGTTAAATACTGAAAAACAAAATTAATGTTCATGATGGGTGATTAATGGATAAAAGTACCCTAGCCACTGTTCATTTTTGAGGTAACTTAAATCATCCAATTTTTCAACATTTTAGTTCCATGTGTATGTTCATTTAAACCTACTTACCTTAGGCAAACAAATGCATTACAGGTTAAAGTTCAAGATCACCTATCGAAATGTAAGTCTTACCAAATTTTGTGATAACAGCAAGTTTACAATGTCATAATAATACTTACCATGAATTGAAAATATGTTTTTCTAGTAGTTACACTTTATCAAGTTATATTCTGATAAACACTTGCTTTATTTCACTGCATCAGGCACAGCATCTGTAAGCGCCCTTGACTCCTTGATTTGAGGCGAAATATAACATAGTTTTGGTTTCAACCTGTTGTTTCAGCTCCTGGAAGTAGATATTACTACCAATCCTTTTCAAAGCTTTTTGATTGGTCCAAACCTTCCAATGAATTACCCATCACCTCCATCGTCAGTCATGTGCTATAGATTAATCCACCACCTATTAAAACAGTTTTATGGATGCATACGGTTGCAATGAGACATGCAAATATTACACAAAAAATTTGCCGAAAGTGACAAACTAGCATTCCTCTGGTTTGAAACTAATTCTCTTGATATGGAACAATATGGCAGAATGAACAGGATTATTGGATCACTGACATCAATGTATAGCAGTCCATCTGTACAGGATCCACCAATGAGAACAAGCAATAGTAAGCGTCATAAAGACTCTTAAAAAATATCCTTTGAAATAATTAATACAGATAGCAACATCAAAGATGATTTTTAAACACCTTTGTGCCAAGGGACAGCTTGACATTTAAAACATATTGGATGAGTAAAGGAGAGATAATTTTTTCTCGATTGCTAGCGGAACGTGTTCATTGTGTGTCACACTCACGGGCAGCATCTTCAAACTTTAGCTTAAGATACAAAATAAAGTTAGAGACATGAAAAGATAAGTGCTTAATATGATCATAATACATTAATATAATGTCTTAGTTTAAAAAATGACCAAGTTATCAGGATTTTACACTAGCGAGATTGACAGTTTGGCACACATGTTCGTTTTATACAAATAGATGGGTAGTTTGTGAAGTGTCTTCTGACACTAAAATTCTCAAAGAAGTTAGCAAAAAGATATATTATTAGTTTGATTTTAACAAATCCTTGTACCAAGCTTTAATGTTTTTTTATAATTGGTTTAGTTACTGAGACATAAATCTTCCTTGGTTGCTGACAGTACACTTGTGAGCAGTGGAGCAGCGTCCTGTTGTTAATAGTTGTTTCAGTCAGAAGAAAAAATTAATCTCGGTATCATTTAATGACTTTATCTGGGATGTTTATTACACATAGATATCTCTGGTTAATATTCCTTGTCACATAATATTATGCATTACCAAACAATGTTATTATAGTCTCCATGATTGAAGTTTTCTTTCATGTTAAGCTATCACAATATGAACACATCACCTGATACAATCCGAGGCTCAAAGTCTGTATTGCAAGCAGTGTATAGAATGTCGGCATGTGTATATTATAATTATGTTTCACTACTCATTTTGAAAAGATAATCACACCAAGACTATCCCTATTTATTATTAAGAATAAGTAATTGTAAGACTTTTAGATATGCTTTACAATCACTATTGAGACTGATTTTGAAAGATAAGTAGTCATAAGTCTCAATCCACACTCTGCATACTCGCATGTCAATGCTAACTTCTGGCAATGCACAATCAGACATGTGCATGTACAACATGTATGTGTTTCAAAAGGTAATCATATGTAATTGTGGGCAGTATGATTTACCCCGGTACACTCCAAAACTGAACCAAAACGCCCAAAAGAAATGTAATTGGACAATTTTTTATACACCGCAGGAGGCAGTCGTATATTGGCGTCATCTTCTCCATCTGTCACCGTATGTCTGTCTGTACATCCATTTCGTGTGAACGCAACTCCTCCTAAATTAATCATCAGATTTTAATGAAACTTGCTCAATGTCACTACTTGGTTCATTGATTTTTGTAGGATTTATATATTTTGTGGCAGCATATATTGTGTCTACAGCACTCTTGTTGGCATTTGGGATATGCACACATAGCCACTGACCAATGTCTTACATATTGCTGATATCCTTCCCTGATATTGCTAACCTGGGCAGGATCACAGTCTGTACAGTTTTGAAAGTGATAATATGATATAATATATATAAGATGTTGACCAATACACAATGCAAGTTTTTATTACATAACAATTATGAAAGGTTACATATGATTTACACACAGAATAAAGATACTAATACATTGTAACCTCAATGAAATTGATACTAAAACACAATAAATGATACTATATATGTATATAATCCAAAAGTATTGATATATACATATAGATCCTATGCAAACACTTATTTTTATGTCATCTATACATCTAAACAGCAAACATTACAAAATTTGAATAGAATTTACTTTATATTAATGCAATATGACATCAATAACAAATGCTGCAAACTTGTCAATAGCATTATATATCTATCAGCGGATGATTATAATATGAAGAATAATTTCTACTATTTTATAGACAGATTGAGAAATTGTTCAAGGCATCATTACACACAATTGTTTATAGGAAATTCAACTTATCAAAAATAACTTTTTTTTGTATTTTCTTTACTTGTTTTGAAGTGAATATACTGTAACATAACTTTTGCTTTTTTGTTACTTTTTCAGGCATTTTGGTGTCAAAAATTTCTCAAAGAGGTATCCTTTTCAAATAGGAATCATGAATCTGTCAATTTGATTATGTGTTTACAGAATAAGCCCCAACTGCTTGGTCTGGTCTGCGAGACACTGAAATATGGTACCTTGCTGCAGCAAATAGTGGATAGCACCAAACTCCTGACTAAAGAGCGCCTATTAAAGGGAGACAACCTCCTTGCTCAGACTCTTGTCCATGATTTTGTGGTTGGTCGTGAAATCAGACAAGCAGGAAGGCTGAAGGTGAGGCTTCCTTATAGTCGGTGTTTATAACCTTATAAAAATTGTCATTGTACCATTGTTTGATCACTTTTCCATATGTAATACGTTTGTGACTGTATATAATGATTCAATTATTTTCACAATTTCTACATCACAAGTTTACAGCAATTACCTTTTGTAAAACAACTTCCTACATTGAATGTACTGTATAATATAATTCAATGCTGCCCAGCTCAATTATTAGACAGTTACTTCTTTCTCAAATGATCTTTTGATGTCGGCCTCTGCAAGTGTGCCAGCTCATCAGGCCCAACCACGGACTGGTTGACTCTTACTGCTACATGTTGTTGTCACAGCTTGGAGTGCTAGATGTTTCTGCTGCTTTTTCACACTGAGGGCAGTGATGCCTACTTGTTTCTTGTCCCCATGTATCTAGCAGTGTTTGGTGAATGCTTCACCTTCCTGCCCTGTTCCTCCATATCCAGCCCCAAACAGCTACCTGCTTGGGGCTGCAGGACCACAGCAAAATGAGTGATTACCGTAAATTTTCGCGTATAGTGCGCACTTTTTCAAGCTAAAACTGTCGTGTCAAAAAGGAGGTGCGCATTATACGCAGGAACATGCCATTCTTGTGGTTATCATTCACGAGTTCTGCGTCCGCCATTTTGGATTACCTCCCTTCACATAGTTATATGTAAAAGTCGTCGGTCTTATATGATAGTTTGGAGATGAAAACAACAACAACAAAAAAGTAAAATAAAATAAATTTCGAATGGTGTATCTGTGGAATTCAATGAGTCCGGAATTTTTTGTGCGATTGTCGTTCTGTTCATAAATCAGACAGTACTTGAAGCCACCTCTACTGAAAACTCCTCTTTTGATTGATGCCTGCCCTCCATGCCCAACTTCTTGCTGTTGCTAGTACCATGCTTGTTTCCGTACTGTCCTTCCTGTCTGCTCCAGATTTCACGATATTGACAGATTATGCTAGTTTTGAAATGACTTCTTCTTTTGTGTGGTGCAGTGGAAACTTGCTGCTATCTCTTTAAGGACCTGGTTATGCTGTCATATATATATTCCATCCATCATTGCAACCTGGCATAAAGTGAGAACATGAGTCAAGTTAGTACCCCAGACAAACAGGTTTGAAGAACTTGGCAGTTCATAGTACTATCATCCTCCAGATGCTGACCAAGGATACTTTCTGCCATCTCAAACTCTCCCTGTTGATCCAGCTATCATATGGTATTGTAACGGCTCTTACAAATCTTGCCACCTCATCCATCATTCCAATCTCATGCCCCTGCATTCCAACTGGTTAGCAATACCCCAGCATGGTCTTTTGAATTACTCCCAGGCCAAGACAACCTGATGCCACAGTTCCAACAAAGTCTCCATGCCAGTCTGTCCTTTGCAACATCAAGTGTTTGCTTGGCTTTCTATTTCCTTCCTGTCTTTGTCTCTGCCTATGTGCCTGTGACCTTTTTGTCTACACTGTCTCCTCCTTCACGGACTTGTGTGTAAGTTTTAGTCTGGTTCCTGAAAGATGGGTGAAACTTTGGTGGTTTTTGACCACAAAGAACATCATGCTGTTCGATCCAGGACTTGAATTTCTCTGGGAGTCCACTTTTTGTGAGCCACACTTGTCTATCCCTTAAATTGTTTCTTCATTCTTGCAGCACTGATTGTGTCATTCATGCAATTGTCAAACCACTTCCCGCACTCTTTTGTGGCTTTTTCCGTGTTTTTTTTTTTCTATGTGTCAACTCTGCTAATCATAAACCTCTGTTCTCTCATCTTGCCTGCATTGATAATGAGACAACCAGACTTAGCTGATTTGAACTTCATATGTGCCAGTCTTTTCCAGAACTGTAAGGGCCCACCTTTCTTCCATCACATTCTTTGTTGTCACTGTCATGTGGACCATGAAGGCTACCTTGTGGATGGTTGTCTTATGCCAGCCTTAATGCGAAGAACTCTGCTCATCTTATTTACAGCTGTCATCATTAGGTTCATGGCTGTTGCAAAGAGTATCACAGATATTGTGCATCAGCCAGACTATCTCAATTTCATGTCTTTTCCAAGCTGGTGTCAACAGTGAAGCAAATCTGAATATTGTCAAATTAGTGCTTCTTGCACTTTTCTGGTGCGTGATAGTTTTTCGTGTCGGCAGCACCTTAGTCATTTTCATTAGAGATGATTGATCCATTTCAGTTCATTTGTTATATTTATTAAAATGTATGTAAATGTTCATTTCAATTTTTGCAGCAAGTCATAACTCGTAATCGTGCTGCACTGACAAAGAAGTATGACTCTATGCTGGCTAATGCTGGAGTTTCATCATGGGATCAACTTCTGCCTCAGAGTGTGACTTCATTTGCGGGTAAATTTTGTCATTTTGATATGCCTGTATTTCGTTTCATCCTGTTACTCTGTCTATTGTCATTTACATTGTATAAACTTCAACCAAATACTGATGGGAAAAATATCTACATGTACTGCTATGTCTTCATAGAAATCGTAAACAGAGTATCAATATGTCTATTTTTCCTGATTCTTATTTTGAAAGTAGCAAATAAATCGGTAAATTTCATCACATTAGCTCCATGACTCTATAGCTAGTACTTGCAAAGCTAACTAGACTTCAATCACTTTAGTTAAGATACACATACACATCAATGCACCACCATGCTGTCTCTCAGACACACACATTGATGTCTACATGTGTACCATTTACCTGTTGTAGTATTCTTGTTGTCAAAACTTTATGGAGTAGAAAAGGTTTTGAATCTTCTATAAATCTAGACAAAAGGTCATGTAATCTGTCCAAAATATATCCCTTCTTTCTTATGTTTTTGATCTGTCTGTGTTTTTGTTTTAGGAGCTTCAACAATTAAATTGATTTTTTCCTCAGATTTGAACCAAGTTTGTTATATTGTTTTACATAAGATCTCATACGAATTTGATGTAGGTAAAAATCCCCAAACATTTGTTGTAGTTATAGGTCTTTAAACTCGTGTCAAATTACTTGAATTTCACTGCTAGGTTTGAACCAAATCCATTGATATATGCTAGAGTTATGGGACTTTGAAAAGTAAGAAAAGATCATTTGTTTGTTTGTGTCACATGATGTTAATTTTTACAGAGAGATTTTAAACTAAATTTGATATAATGCATTGTATCAGTAAGATCTGGGGTTAATATGATAAATCTGTGAAGATTCGCCCAAGTCTGTACTGCCATACTTTGAATTTTGAATTGATTTATATCAGTGAGTTCTCAAATAATTTTACTTTTAGTTAAAATCTGTCAGTATTTGCTAGAGTTACTGGACTTAAATGATGAAAATAATAGTAAGCAACAGGTGCCCCATTTCATTTGCTGGACTTAAATGCTTTAGTTGTATTTTGCTTTACTTAATTTGAAGAGTGTGTCCAATGGTCTTCATACCAATGAGTATCTTTTTTCCTTTTAGAAAATGTTTTTTTATTCAGTCCGTGTATTCCTAATGACCTTTCACTCAACCATATACCATATTCGTTCACCTAAACCTTTGATTTTTTTTCAAAAATGCCTTTCAGTTGAATGTCCTAGCCCTCTTATTTGCATAGTGTTCATGAATGGCTTCCTCTCAGGGCATAGCGATTCTCAAACATATTTTGCTTTCTCTTTTTTTTCATGATAGGCACCTTACCAAGATATGTGAGGATCAACTTGTTGAAGTCGTCTGTATCAGAAGTGACCAGTACTTTAAAATCCGAGGGCTGGGAACAAGTTGTCACTCCTACCAAGGACGCAGAGAGGTATGTTACAACCAGATTCTTAAAGAATTCGCTAGTTTTAGGACTCTGATGGTTTTAACAAAAGTTTCGTAGCCAATTTGATATCTTTTTGAGCTGACTTAGCTTCATTGAGTCGGTTATTTGTAAATTTAATCAAGTGTTAACCTTTTTTTAGTCCATGTGACCACTGAACACCAGGGGAGTATTGCAATGTGTCCATCTTTCTTTCCATCCTTTGGTATCTTGTCCAAGCTCTTTCTCCTACTCCTTGTCACTGGAATTTCATAATTAGGTTATGGATTCACCTTGGTTAGGCGATGTGTGATGTATCAAAAGTAGGTCACTTTGACCTACATTTCAACTTTTGACCTAAAGAAAACAATTTTGCCCTGGTTCTCTTGTTACTCAAACTTCATTGGATATAGGTTTACCTTGTGAGGCAGGTGTTGTTCAGGTAGTCTAATTTGCCAGATTGTCTTGTTTAATTAAAATGATTTATTGTTTTATAATGTTATCTAGATTATCTGGAAATTAAAAAATATTCTTGGCTGGGAACCCAGGGAAATACGTTTTGTAATTCAATTTACAATGTTGTTAGGCTTTTAACTTTACTAACAATAAGACCATGCCTGGTAATCAACATATGTCGTAGTTTCAGTAGAAATAATTCATTGCTCGGTAATTTACTAAGCTCTAATTTGAGCTAGCTCTGTTGTAGACCCTTTTGGCTTACTGTAGGATGTCTATGGTGTTGATTTATATTGAAATGCAATTAGATAAACCCTGGTGGTCTTAATATAGAGCTGAACAGATGTAGCAAAGTTGAACTTTCTGTGCAGGTCTTATCAGTAGTAAACAATGGCAGCTACTTATCTAATTGGTTATAGTTTCAGGGACACAGTGGCTAGTCTACAGGAGCACCAGTTCCTTCAGGACCCTCATCTGTTCGACCTCCTCGTTTTCCCTCCACGAACAGATTTCCATGACGACCACCTGCTGACATCTGGGAAGATCATTTTACAGGATAAGGTGATGATTAGGGAGTTAAAGTTAAACCTAAGTATAAAACCTGGCTTACATTAGTTTAGTCTGTCTGTTTAGACAGTTTATTTAAGGTTATGTATGATATCTGTTAAGTTAAACAAAAGCTAGTATTTTATTAGCCCACCATCTAATAGATGGTGGGTTATTCAAATCGCCCTGCGTCCGTGGTCCGTCGTCTGTCCGTCCGTCCGTAAACAATTCTTGTTACCGCTATTTCTGGAAAAGTACTGGATGGATCTTTCTCAAATTTCATATGCATGTTCCCCTTGGTCCCTAGTTGTGCATTGTACCTTTTTTGAACTGATTCGCATTCAAGATGGCCGACAGGTGGCCATCTTGGATTTTGGAAGTAAACGTTTGTTACCGCTATTTCTGGAAAAGTACTGGATGTATCTTTCTCAAATTCCATATGCAGTTTCCCCTTGGTCCCTAGTTGTGCATTGTACCTTTTTTGGACTGATTCGAATTCAAGATGGCCGACAGGCAGCCATCTTGGATTTTGGAAGTAAAAGTTTGTTACTGCTATTTCTTGGAAAGTACTGAATGGATCTTTCTCAAATTCCATATGCAGATTCCCCTTGGTCCCTAGTTGTGCATTGTACCTTTTTTGGACTGATTTGAATTCAAGATGGCAGACAGGTGGCCATCTTGGATTTTGAATGTAAAAGTTTGTTACTGCTATTTCTTGGAAAGTACTGGATGGATCTTTCTCAAATTTCATATGCAGATTCCCCTTAGTCCCTAGTTGTGCATTATACCTTTTTGGACTGATTCGAAATCAAGATGGCTGACAGGCAGCTATCTTGGATTTTGAGAGTAAAATCTTGTTACTACTATATCTGAGGAAGTACTGGATGGATCCTTCTGATATTTCATAGGTATTGGTTTCCCTTGGTTCCTAGTTGTGCATTGTACCTTTTTTGGACTGATTTGAAATTAAGGTGGCCCACAGGCAGCCATCTTGGATGTCGACAGTAATACAGCACAAGCATATTGTCCATTATCCACCTGTAACTGACTGCTATCTAATAATACTTTGGGATCTTTTTCAAATGATATTTGCTAATAGGTGCTTAATAAAAATATCTTGTGCCATCATTGAGTACATTCAATGAAGACCAGTTCATGAACATTTACAACACCTGTAACAAACAAAAAAAAATAAACAAATCTTCAAGAACTGAAAACAGATCCTCAAATGGTGGGCGCCAAGATCCCTCTTGGATCTCTTGTTCAATAAACAGTCACATACCTGTTTCACCTGTTTTAATGAGATTAGATTCCATGAATATCACTATAAATCAAGTCCAGGTAGATATCTGTACATGTGTTTTTCATTAAATACAGTTCAATAGATTTCTGTCTTGCTAATTAATGATTCAGTGCAGTAAATGCTTGTTATTTCTGATTATAAATCCCTGATAATTAGATACTGTTCCTGATTAGCTGGTTAATTCCTCTGTTTACACAAGCATAGTAGGATTCAAAATTGATGGAATTGGATTTAATATCGCTGCTCAAACACACAACTAATAAACTTGAAGTAGATTTTATACTGATAAACAAATAGTCATTATGTTGTGACCAAAATGGCCATTTGATGAAAGTTTTTACACACCTCGTGAGATCAACATGAGAGAATCTAGTTATGCAAGCCACAAGTATACTACCTTGATGATTTGGTGAAAGCTTTTAGTTAGTGTATTTACAAAAACATAATATCCTTTCAATGCTATCATAAAAAAACAACATTTTGGTAATTAACAGGCCAGTTGCTTCCCTGCCCACGTCCTTTCCCCACCAGAGGGCTCCACCATTTTTGACTGCTGTGCTGCCCCCGGTAACAAAAGCAGCCATGTTGCCAGCCTGATTAATAATAATGGGTAAGACACATATATATTATATTAAGTGAAATTCACAATTCTCATGATGTTTGACAATTCTCTTACTTTTTTCAAATCAACACAATACTTCCTTAATTTCTTTCACTCTTCTCATGTAATGATGTTTTTTCTTTCACTCCCCTTATTTTCAATACAAATTATTTCTCTTAACACAGCACAGTATTTGCTTATGATAAGGATGGTCGCCGGATGGCTACGCTCCAGGGTATGATGAGGAAGGTGGGAGTAACATGCGTCATTCCAGGCTGTCAGGATTTCCTCAAGGTGGATGCCCATGATGACCGATTTAAGGATGTGGAGTATATGCTGGTCGACCCATCTTGCAGTGGCTCTGGTAAGTTTTCAGACGGGCAGAAAGTGTTGATGGTCGTAAATTCAACTTAATGCAGTGCTGGTAAGTTTTCTATGACACATAGTTGAAACCAAGGAAGTTGAATAGTGTTGCAAAGTTTGATCCAATTGTTGGTGGCTATATTTATTTATCCTACGACAAACTCATGCCAGAAAAAAAGTCCCACTGCAGATTCAGTAGAAATGAACTATACTTTATCATTGTCCTATAATAAACTTACTTTGGATTAGAACTTAGGTATAGACTCCCTGGACTTGTTACAGGATAAATATGGTAATTCTAGTAGCTTATTTATGATCCTGAAAAGGTTTAGAATTTTGGATATGACTGAGAATTACCTAAAATTCAAAACAAAAATTTGATATCCCAGTGTATCAATTGATGTCTACATACCTATTTAATGAATGGCGCTCTTTGCTTACCCACAGCTTGCTAAACCAAAAACTTTGTAAATCAAGCCTAAAATATGCCTATGGAGCAAGCATGTTGTAAATCATCCTTAAGTAAAGCAGCTAATTAACTTGGACTAATATCTGTATGTTTTACTATAGCACTGTAATGTTATTGCAGGGTAATTCTGTGAAATAATTCTCAATCAGTTCACAAGGTTTAACATGTATGTCTATTGGTGTGATTATGTGAATGGTTTTTGTTATTCTTGTTCTCATTTGTTAAACAGTCAGTTGTAAAGGCCTTAAAAGGCTTGTGTTGCAATGTTTATAAAATGTACCGACTATAAATAAAGATTTCTTGACTTGATGCATGCAAGGACTTTAACCCGATTTTAACTTCCTGCCTTGATAAGATGTGGAAGCTGATGCTGTGACATAAGTGTAATCCTTGCTTAGCCTCTTTAAAGTGTCTAGACTAAAATCTTCCAAGCTGATTTAGTAAGAATGGGTTTGTAGTCTACCCAGTGGACAGAATAGTCAGCCCAGAAACTATAATTCACTGTTTTAAAATTCTATTTTTAGCAAAAATTTAAAATTCTATTTTTAGAAGAAAAAAAACCCTGATTTATGTTGTTGATAGTTTTGATATTTGTTGCTTTGGAGACTAAGCTTTCTGATTATTAACCAAGGTGATCCAAGTGTAGTGTTGGTAAAGTTTACAGGGAAATTCACCTTGTTTACAGGTATCGTTAACAGAATGAACGAAGCAATAGATGACCAGTCATCATCATCTTCTAAGAGACTTGACTCCTTGTCAAACTTTCAGGTAAATAAGTTTTCTTGTTAATGAAAAGTTTACGATTTTATGACGATGTGTCATTGGAGATATGCTTGTATTTTGGCTTACCAGGATGGTAAATACCTTTTCATAGTCCAACATAAATAGCACTTGAAAACAATGTTAACAAGATTTCAGCTATGCTGGATCTATAGTAAACATACTTTATATGGCGTAATCAGATTGCATCACATTGCCATTGGTTGCTAAATTAACCAATGATGAATTAGGACATCCACTCTGATTTCTATATAAACAACATTCAGAAATTATAATCACAATTAAGCACAATATTTCCAAAACTTCTTGAAATGAGATTACTGCTAAAATGTGCATGTTTACAGTAAAATATGATATATATACACTATAGAACAAGTCACTAAGGATGAGCAAGATTCTGTAGTTTGTAACTAATCATCATCTGTCGAAATTGAAATCTCAGGTAACTGATCTTTTGAAGATGTGTATTTTTATATAAATGTACAAGTTTTGATATCGACAAAGAATTTTATAACCAAAAGAAAAGTCCGGGTGACTTTTAAGAAATTGTACTATATACAGGGAAACTATTTAGATAGGGCAAAAATAACAGGTGGATAATGCATTGATGTATTTTAGTGCAAATTTAACACTTTGCAATAATGAAAAGATTGATCCAAGAGAAAATAATTCTTGCCAAATGTTTCTCTGTAAACAGTAATATACTCTATTTGTCCTTAAATAAGCCTTCTCCTAATGTAAGATGTTACTAATATAAAAGGGCTTATTTGACATTTAACTTACTTATTTAAATTGATATTATTTGTGGATAAATAAGGAATGTAGAGAAGGTAAGAAATAAATACAGCGTAACATTAGTGATAGGGACAATAAATAATTTGTAATTTATTTCCTGCAGGTGACAATGCTGAAACATGCAATGACTTTCCCAAACCTTAAACGACTTGTGTATTCAACTTGTTCTATTCATCTCGAAGAGAATGAAGAAGTCATCAAGGAGTTGGAAACCATTGTTGACGGGAGGTTCAAAGTGTGTAAGGTGTTTCCTGATTGGCCAAAGAGAGGTCTCCCTGGTTATGACAGTTCAGACTGTTTTCTACGAATGTCACCTGAACACTCACTAACCAATGGGTTCTTTGTAGCCTGTTTTGAAAGGATTGAAACAAGCCCAGACATTCCCAGAAAGGTGCTCAAAGAGAAGAAGAAAAAAAAGAAGAGGAGTGATGTGTCAAGCAAGGAACAAGGAGTACTGTCTGATAATGAAATCTCTATCACATCAGGGAAAAAGAGGAAGTGTGAAGAAAGCATGGAAAAAAGCGAGGAAAGTTTTAATGTGGAAAACACAACAAAAAAGCATAAACATGGAGAAAGTGAACCTGACATCAAACAGAAAAAGAAGAAACACTGTCATACAATAAAAGTTACAGAGGATCAGGATCAAGTGGACAATCTTAGTGTTTGTGTAAACGGAAATCTTACAAGTCAGGAAAATAATGAGGACAGCAAGCGGGATAGGGTCAAAAAGCACAAGAAAAAGCATAAACAGGATTTAGATATTAGTGCTTGTTCTGTTGATGATTTTATGGAGGCAGCAGAATCGGGAAAGGAAGACAATTCAGATGTAGTGAAAATCAAAAAACACAAGAAAAAGCATAAAAAGAAGGATTTACAAACTGGTTCTCATTCTGGTGGGGAATGTATTGAAGCCAATGAAACGGTAGAGGACATGTCACATAGTGTCAAAAAACACAAGAAAAAACATAAACAGAAAGATTTAGCTGAGAAGTATGATTCTATAGAAACTCAGACAGAAGTTTCACACCATAAAAAGAAAAAGAAACACAAACATAGGAAAGATTAACAAAACATTCCACCTAAGGGTTAAGGAGTATTCCTCACATACAGCTTCCATTTCATTCTAAATGTTCCATCTTTAGATATGTTCCCACTGCTTAGAAATTAGTGATTGTTTTTCAGAATAGGAATTGTTTTGGGCTATTCAAATTACCTTACGTTCATTGTCTGTCCATAAACAATCTTTGTTGTCACTATTTCTTGGAAATAAGTGCCCCATGGTCTTTTGTTGTACTCATTTAATTTTGGGATTGATCACAAAAACAAAATGGCTGACAGGCAGTAATTTTGGATTTTGACAAAAAGTCTTTATCATTATATCTTGTAAAGTACTAGATATGACTTTTCAAATTTTGTATAAAGGTTCCCCTTGGTTCCTTGCTGTGTCGGTTTGAGTTTAGGACTGATCAGGAAAACAAAATGGCGGACATGGAAGGCCATCTTGTATTTGACAGATAGAGATTATTATCGCTTTTTCATAGGAATGATGAATTTTTACAATTTTACAATTAAGAGCAAAAAATAGCAGAGAAAAGGGGAAAAATCCAACTTTCAAAGAATAAAGATCAAAGGATGGTGGGCACCAAGATCCTTTAGGGATCTCCTGGTGGTAAGCTAATATTCAACGAGGATTTACACAAATATGAATAAAACATTTGCATAAATCTTATCATTTCTTGTTAATAATTTCATCCTGAATTATCAGGATGTGTTTTTGCCTTGAGCTATTCTGGTAAAACATCTCTCCCACCTCAGGACTCCAGTTTTTGTTTAGGGGTACCCAAAATTTCATTGATTTGTTTTGAAACATTAAGCAGAAAACAAAACAATGGATATTATTGATTTATTTTGGAGACCTGGCTTCAAGTAGATTGTTTTACTGGTCAGGAATAGCCTCACTAAAGTTTACATGTATAAACTCTGGCAGATAATCTTATTTCTGCAGCTAAATCAACAGGCAATTGAGTTACATAGGGACTGCCATGCAAACAGAAATACTAAGGATTCAATTCTTTTATCAAGAAATAATAATTGTAAAGAAATCATTTAGCAATAAGATATTTTATTATCAGTCGGAGGTCCCTTGCCTCCTATTTTTAAGTCTCTCTGCCACAGATGTTCACAAATTATGTTGAGATTCTGTGCAATGTCATTAAAACTGTTCTGATTTTCTGCATCTGGGATGTTTCTTGTTTTCAAAATTGGTATTTTCCAGTTGTGTTCAAAGTCTCGGATGTCTCTCTGGGTTATTTCACTGTGAGCAAACTGGTCAAATCTTGACTGATTAAGGACAGACTAAAGATAACAACAGTCATCTTTTGTTCATTTATGATATAATTTGACAGTTCACACATTAGACAATAAATACTTTCCTCTAACAGGTCCTTGGAATTTAGAAACAATGATTTTCATTAAAAGCATCAAAACTGCTGGTAAATGTTTATTTTATATTGACCAAAGAAATTAATTTTCAAAAAATAGTACAACATTTCATGAAAAGTTCTGATAAATTTTTTTTTTTTAATTTCCTGAGCAGAAAGTAATTTCTATTGAAGTAGCAATGACCTTGACTTTTGATCTGAGCAGACATAATATCCAAAGCTAGCACTTTCAATTAGGAAACACTGTATGAAGTTAAGCTGTGATAGACCCATAGGAGTCACCTAATAAACAATTTTCTATTAATAGTTATAATGACTTGACTTTTTGATATATACTTGAAAATCAATCTCACTTAAGGAATTTCAGAAGAAAACAGTAAAAAATTGAGTTTGGTGAGCTAAAAGGAATGAACAGTATTATACAAACATTTAGATCAAACAACAGGATAGACAACTTCTTGTTCGGACAATAAGACAGACAAATGGTGATGACATTAAAGTTATCCCTACAAGTAGATTCCAGTTAATAATTGAGAACGGTAAAGGATACTTTGTTCCCATCACTAGTTTGGTGGTGTCATCTTTTGGAGTACTAATTCGGGTCAGCTGATGTGGAATGTCTTCAAAGCTACTCTTGTCTATGAAGGAAAACAGGAATATCACAGCATCAGCCTTGTCTAAACAAGCCTGCAAAGAAAAAGGCATTTGGTGGCTTCAAAAAGATATTTTACAAATCATGCTTTTGTGGCAAATAAATTACCTTAATCTCCTTTAACATTAGTATTAGAATTAAACTTAGCATTTAAACTTGTACCATTCAACTTTAAAATAAGTAACTGAAAAGTAACCTTGATAACAAGATCCAAAAATTTATCCTAAAAAATCACTTTCAGGACATCATGTAGCTGGCCTAGAGGATGAAGTATCCTTTGATGTCATCTTTTGAAGATAAATGAACAATAGAATTTTGGTCATCTCCAGGACCTTGTTTTTCATTATCTAGGCCTAATTACCCTGGTTTCCTCCATCATTATAACCCTTAGTCACATCAACGACACTGTAACAAGTGTGAAATAGATAATTATTATTTTCATTTATTGACATCCACACTTCTAACTAACAATTAAAGACTCACCGGCATTATATGATCATATTTTTTATTTGAATTTTCACCAGTATCCCAGAACTGTATTTGAAACATAAAGGTCTTGTTCAGTTGTAAAATTTTTCCTGGCCAAAATACTGTTGTTGTTTGAATACCTGAAAAGACATATATATGTTAGATATATATCATAAATCACATTCACTTCTCAAGATATCAATGGACCACAAATGTGTGACAGAATCATGTACTTATAATGGATCTATATCTAAGTCTGTGGGAGAATCTTAGATCTGGCCTGTTTTGCACGTGGTAAAAATAAACCTGTTATACAGAAGATCAAGTTTTGATGTATTCTACATGTACAACATAACTTGATTTCGATGCATGATTACCTTGTGTTTCACTGTGAGCTGTTGGTATCTGACAGCCAGATAATTTAGCCACTGTGCTGGTTTTCCCAACACCACTTTTGCCAAGAAGGAAGACTTTGTAGCGAACCTCACTGATGGATATATGAAGTGGTACCATTGGTCTTTCCAGCAACCCTAAATCGTTAAAAAAAACATGAGGGAAATATTTAAGTCCTACAACAATGTTAATGCTGTATTACTGCAGTACACATACGGGATCAGACGCTCTGAAATATATCTACATGTCTGGTGTGTATTCTCTACTTGGCCAACAAAATTATATTTACACTTCCATGAAGGTCTGACAACTTTCCCCGCTAAAATAAAATCGGCTGATGAATGATGATTTTTATTATTTTTTTTTGTCAAGGTAGTGTAAAATAACTGTCAAAATGTACATATAGAAGAAATGATTTTTCTTTATTTGTTGTTCACTGGTGTGTAAACTGCAATTTTTACAATTATTTCAACATAAAACACTAATGCATTTCATCTAAAATATCTGTATTACTAACAGTTTGCACATCAGTAAACAACAATGAAGAAAAATCTTTTTTTAACTATACATCAGCAAAACTGTTGTTTGCTTAGTTTACCACTCTGAACAGCCAGGGTTATTTTGAAATGGTGGCTCCCTACTGTTCAACATACAGGAAACTTTACACATGCTGTCCTAAGTAATTAGGGCAGTTTCTTGCCCAAGAACACAACTATGTCAGCACAGACCATTCTGTTTTTCAGCAAAATGAAAAACACCAACTGCCAGGGGAAGAGGGCATCAAACCACACACTTCAGATCTTCACATTGGCCAACACTCTTAACTGACTGAGCTATTCCATCCCAAAAATGATCATTAATCATGTAATTATTAGATAAATTCAATATGTATTAGGTTCATAGCAAAAACTTATACCTTGGTATTAAAAACATTATCAACATATAACCATCTGAATGATAAGGTTTGGGTTCTTTAAATGTGATATTTCATATAAACATTTTCATTTGTTCAGAGAAATTTCTTTTCAAATAATGAAAAAAATTTTTTTAAATACAATTAAAGTTGTTACCAAATCTCTTCAGTCTGTTGAGGTTTCTTTGTAACACAGAAGCCAGAACTTCCTGTCCCTCTTTTGTCTTGTGCCAGTCTAGGTTGAGCAATGATCCGGATGACAACATCATGGATTACAGAGCTCCAACTCCAAGGCCCTGACAATGGCAATATATACAGCTCACAAACTCAAATAATAATTCTCAAATCACATGTTGGTGACATGATTAATTTGTTTTATAGTTAAGTATTTATACTAAAAGTAACCAAACAAGGTGAAAATATAACCAGTGACTCTCAAAGTCTTGGGATGGGCTTATCACAGGGTGGTTTGCTTTGCTGCTGCTTTATGTCCTATTAAGAGCCAGGGACATTTAAGGACGTGCCAGGTTTGGATGGTAGAAAGCTAAAATTCCTGGGAAAGACCACAGACCAGCAGCCAGTACCTGGTAACTGTCCCACATATGCCTCAAACCTGCAATCCACAGGTGAAAAGCTTGTTATGAAACCTGCAGATGCCATAATGCTGGACATTGAAAAATTTGTTGGTACTGAACAGTAATAGGTATAGATGGGCTTATCAACAGGCATGGGCTTCTTCCCAGATGAGAACAGAATATGATTCAAATCTTGAAATGTCTTGAAATTGAAACACAATTTTCTTTGGAAGAATTGTTATAATCTCATAAAAACATACAATGCATGTATATTATAACTATTGTAATATGCTGTACATCATTACACAGTATAAGTTCTTCAGGATCTGAAAAATAGCTTTCTGGACCAATACCTATAAATGTATGTATTGCATGCTATGGAAATTTGTTTCAAAGACGGGTGTCATTTTCAGCTTCACTTATGTTTTTGACCGTGTTTTTCTTTTCTTGATCAATAACTTTTGTTGTATTATACTATATGTGTTGTGACCTTTTAGAAGATTACCTTGTCTACTGCATTTTAAGACACGGATTCAATACATGCAACATGTTACACCATGTCACAATAAGCAAAGCTTTAAGTTAGATTTTTCGTATCACTGACACCAACTTCAATTTTTTTTTTTTTTTTTTGAGAAATATTCACGGATGAGTGTCACACTTCACCCACACCAGCAGTAGGTGTATCTGATAATGTAACAGACTGATATTCGTTGAGAAACATCCGAGTTCAGAAAATTCAGAATCTACTTGCATGATGCAAAGTTTACTTGATTTTGCACGAATTGTTTACGTTCCCGATACAGGTGTCTACGAGATGTGTCAACTGCAAAATTCAGTAGGCCTACCTTTAACGGAATAGCATTCTGTCATATTGCCAACATTTTCTTCGAATAATATTCATGACTTAAGCACATGTATCAACAATAGAAGTAAGCATATTTGATAAATAGGAGAGAATTTACCTCTAATTAATAATTATCCGCATACAAATTTAAACAGGTGCGTCTGTGGAGATAAACAGGAAGTGTACGTACCATTGTAAAAGATAGGACAGAATATATTTAAAATCCGGATGATTTGAAAATTTATATTTTGCAGAAAATATTTCAGCTAACATCAATTTCTGCATCTAAACAATGTAATACTCATGCTGATCTGCTATGATATTTAACCTATTCTATGTAAAAATCAATGAGCCATGTGACATGTTTAATTAAATGTGGAAAATAAAAAAAATGGCAAAAATTCTACTGAAACAATTAATATCCCTGGTATTCCAATGCTACATATTTCCATATTTGATGTTGACGCATCCCCATTTTTAATATTGTAACATTGTTGGATTGTTGAATATAGCATTAAAAAAATACCCAAACATCGCTCTAGTAAAGTACAGGTAAAATATCACCCCAGTACAGCACAGGTAAAATATCACCCCAGTAAAGTACAGGTAAAATATCATCCCAGTAAAGTACAGGTAAAATATCACCACAGTAAAGTACAGGTAAAATATCACCCCAGTACAGCACAGGTAAAATATTACCCCAGTACAGCACAGGTAAAATATCACCCCAGTACAGCACAGGTAAAATATTACACCAGTAAAGTACAGGTAAAATATCACCCCAGTACAGCACAGGTAAAATATCACCCCAGTAAAGTACAGGTAAAATATCACCCCAGTAAAGTACAGGTAAAATATCACCCCAGTACAGCACAGGTAAAATATCACCCCAGTAAAGTACAGGTAAAATATCATCCCAGTAAAGTACAGGTAAAATATCACCCCAGTAAAGTACAGGTAAAATATCACCCCAGTAAAGTACAGGTAAAATATCACCCCAGTACAGCACAGGTAAAATATCACCCCAGTAAAGTACAGGTAAAATATCACCCCAGTACAGCACAGGTAAAATATCACCCCAGTACAGCACAGGTAAAATATCACCCCAGTAAAGTACAGGTAAAATATCATCCCAGTAAAGTACAGGTAAAATATCACCCCAGTACAGCACAGGTAAAATATCACCCCTGTAAAGATCAGATTAAAAATAATTCCACTGATTATGGTAGAGATTTAATATCATCTCTGTATATATGGGCACATGATAATATCACCCCATTAATGTACAGGTTACATATCATCCAGGAAAGGATAAATACCCTAACCAGTAAGGTCTTGGTTAAATTCTGCCCCAGTAAGCTACAGGTTTTACATCACACCAGTATAGTAAAACCATCAAAGTATGTTTAAGGTAAAATATCATCCCCAGTAACATTCGGGTTAAAATACATCCCAGCTAGATGCATGATAAATATCATCATGGTATGGTAATAATAAATATCATCCCTGTAAATACAGTAAAATATCAACCGAGTAAATATGATTAAATATCACCCCAGACAACACCAGTAAGATATATTATTAATACCATCACAGTATTTTACATGTCAAATATGAAGTCTGTAAGGTCTATAAGTCAAATATCACTGATGTATGGCACCAGACATCAACCCAGTAAGGTGAATGAAATATTATCCCCTGTTTTGGTTAAGGTTAAATATCAACCCAACAAAATACAGGATTAATATCACCCCAGGATGGTAGGGATTGAGATCACCAAATACAGGTTAAATATCACTCCAACTAGTTGCTAACATTGGCTCTTTATCACCCCATTTTATATGGCATAACAGGTGAAATATTGTCCTGAGTAAAGTTCAGGTTAAACATCATCCCAGCAAGGAAATGTTAAATATCATCCCAGTAAGGAAATGTTAAATATTGACCCGAAGAGATACACGTTTAACATCATCCATGGTAAGATTCAAGTGAAACATCACCCTGGTATGGTACAGGATAATATCCCCTCAGTAAGGTACAGGTTATTAAATATCACCCCAGTAAGGCAGACTCTTGAAAAAAAGGTTTTCCCAGTGTATATAGTACAGGATTATACCCCCTGAGAATGGTACTGGTGAAAAATACCCTCAGTAAAGGACAGCTGAAATATCACCCCAGATTGATTCAGGTTTAATTACATCCAAGCAAGAAACACTATCAATATCATACCAAGGATGGAAAGGATTAACATCACCAATACATATGGTACATTGTTAATTACTATTCCAGTAAGGTGTAGTCTAATCACTGAAGCAGATATCTAGAGTCATTGACGAAACATTTTGACTTGCGAAGGTTAAATTTACTGTGGGACAGTTGTTATAAAGAGTTATTTCTACTGAGGAACAATAACTGTATTTATTTAGGAACAACTGTATATACAAAACTATGTTTATGGTGAACAGCTACTGTTAACAAGACTTCAGTATTACAATCATTGTACTTTACTGGGATGATTGCCTCTCAATGATAAGGATGTGGACCTCCCTTGTTTATATTGGATTCCTAAACTTCAATAGAATCAACAGTAAAGTTTTGCTGGCATGTCTAGCTGTTCAACCAAACTTTAGTCAAAACTACTCATTTAGATACTATCAAATCTTGGTTACAGTCTTATGGTGATACTGTCTACTGAAGTTGTGGAATTAATAGTATGTGGATTTTAAAAGACTCCAAAGAGCCTTTGACCAATCTTCAACACCTTCTATAAGAACATTGAATTTTTCCATTCTGTACATATACCACCATACCCCATTCTAAAGTGATAGAACACCACCGTTCTCTTGTTATGAGAGCTTCATTTCATTACAAAGAAAGGTCAATAGAGATACAAATATATGGTTGTGAACTACACTGAAGTGTTTTTCATCACATATGTCCTAATCAAAAGAAATACACCAAGGACGAAACCATAACAATGATTGAGTTTCTGGTTGACATCTTCATCAAGTTTGGTGATAGGATCCTCCAACAGACTATTGGCGTGCCTATGGGAACTAACCTTGCCCATCTGTTGGCTGACTTGTTTTTGTTTTCATATGAGGCTGAAGTTATTCAAGAACTTATCATAACAGGTAACAAAGACCTTGTAAAAATGTTTACTTAGTTATATTGATGACATCTTGTCTTTAAATAATAAAAGATTTATTGACCACGTCCATTGTATATATCCATCAGAATTGGAAATCAAAGACACGACAGATTCTTCTGCATCAACCATTTATCTTGATCAGCTTTCCGCCAAGCTGTGTAAGTGTGATGATTCCAATTTCCTTCTTGAGAATTTCCATTTCTGGACAGCAACATCCCCACATCCGCAACCTAGAAGTTTACATATCTGCTGATTTTCATGCAAGAAGTTATCAACTGATGGACAAATAGTAAGATCGTTTCAAAAGATGCAGGTTGAAGAAAATTATGGAGAAGTTTTACATTTGTCATAGTGATTTCATCATAAAATATATTTCTTTGTGGGATATGAAGCTAGATATGTTTGTTTGTTTATTGGTTCAGTTGTTGTATACCTTGTTCTCGTTTGAGAATGTGACATGACTTTGTAATTGGTTTCAATTTCTGTGGTGATCATCACTAATGATTTGTGTATGGGGAAGCATTTGTCCAACATTATCTTTGCCTGTGTATATTAATGAAGTTGATCTCTGCCAGATTTGCCCTCATTATCCATGTAAATTAATACATGTATTTTTAACATATTTTAACCAACATTTCATTCTATTGGTAAAAGTTTTCCCATATGCAGCAAAACCTCTTAGAGAGAAAAAATTTCAATGCCAAATCAGAATATATACACTGGAAGTTTTATATCAAAATGTTGTATTGAAGCCACATGACAATCAAAAGGCTTTGAACACAATCACCTGAAGTTTTGTACTCCCTCTATGCCACTTCTATTTATAATTGAAACATCTCTGTACAAATTTCCCTGTGGAGCTAGATTCTCAACAATGAGATAAATATCAAGATTACTCTGTCACCATATAGTTATTTGGGTACTAAAATACATGCACTCTACCTTGTCTTTCATCAAAGTGATGTACAATATATAGTATTTCACTATTTAGTATTTAAATAAAACAATAACATGTAATCAAAATGTCCTCAGAAAGCATAAAATGTAATAGCACCTGGCAAACTAGGAAGAAATTTGTTGAAATTTGAGGGAGAAGATATGGATATATTCAAATCTCACGATCAAAACAAAGACCAAGTACTATTTCAAAACACATCAAGTACAGGGAAAAACCGTGCTATGTTTTGATGATGAAGCATATCAAGTTGGCAAGGAGATGTCTAACAGTGAGAAAAAACATCTCAGAAGATCAAAATGCTGAAAAACACTAAGGGCAATAACTCTTTCAAAATTTGTAGAAACTAAATACTATTCAGGTAAATACAATCTCATATATTTTGGTTCTACAAAAAACAAAATCTCATAGAAATTGTTTGAAGAGATCTCCAAAAGAAATTTGAATGCTAATAAATAAAAGGAGAAACATTTCTATTGAAATTTGGTGAATCCAAAAGCTGAGGGAGGTCTCAAAGAAAGACATTTGAAAAATAAAAGTGCAATAACTCGATCATGAATTCTTGATTTAAAATGCTTTTCAGGATAGCAGTATTAGTAGTAGGAATAGTTATGAAACTTATGAAATTTAAAATGTGTTTTTCCTGATGGCCACCATATTGGATTTCAGACTAACTCAAAAAATAGCAACACTTGGTCAGAACCACTTCAGGATCATTTTAGATCAATCCCATCAGAAGAAAGAAGAAATTTGAAATATTAAAAGTTTATGCAAGGTGCCAGACAAAACACGATGACTATGTTATCAGGCCCCTTCACGTCAAATGACTTAATATAACCCAACAAGTTTGAAATAACAAATCAAGAGGCCCATGGGCCTTAACGGTCATCTGACAAAAAGCAAGCCAAACCTAGAAAGTGGGTTGAGGTCATTCATTTGAACAAACTTGGTAGCCTCTCCTCCAAGCATCTTACAGGCCCAATATCAGCACTCATGGACTTTTGCTTGTTGAGAAGAAGTCGTTTGTATATTTTAACATATTTGACCCCTGTGACCTTGAAAGTGGGTTGAGGTCATTCATTTGAATAAACTTGGTAGCCTTTCCTCCCAGCATGCTACAGACCCAATATCGGCACTCATAGACTTTTGCTTATTGAGATGAAGTCCTTTGTATATTTTAACATAATCCCTGTGACCTTGAAAGTGGGCCAAGGTCATTCATTTGAACAAACTTTGTAGGGCTCCATGCCAGCATGCTATGGGCCAAGTATTAGCCCCCTAGGCCTTCTAGTATTTGAGAAGAAGTTATTTAAAGATTTTGACATATGACCCCTGCGACCTTGAAATCAAGGTCATTCATTTAAATAAACTTGGTAACCTTTCCTCCCAATGCTACAGACCCAATATCGGCACTCATAGACTTTTGCTTATTGAAATGAAGTCCTTTGAAACCCCTGTGACCTTGAAAAAAGGTCATTCATTTGAACAAACTTTGTAGGGTGCCAGCATGCTATGGGCCAAGTATTCCTAGGCCTTCTAGTATTTGAGAAGAAGTTATTTAAAGATTTTGACATATTTGACCCCTGTGACCTTTAAAGTGGTTCAAGGTCATTCATTTGAACAAACTTGGTAGTCCTTCATCCCAGCATGTCACAGGCCCAATATCTACATGACCCCTGTGACCTTTAAAGTGGGTCAAGGTCACTCATTTGAACAAACTTGGTAGAGCTCCATGCCAGTAAAGTATTAGCCCCCTTCTAGTATTTGAGAAGAAGTCGTTTGAATGAAAAGTTTACGGACGGCGCACGGCGGACGGCGGACGACGACGGACGAAGCATGATGACTATAGGTCATCGGACCCTTCGGGTCCAGATGACCTAAAAAAAGGTTGAAATGAGAGAGATCTCCAGACAAGATTAGATATATGAATTAAAACACCAATCAAGGATTTGGAAAACAATTTCATGTCATGGTGATCAAGTCTATCAGGTCTGAAAGATCGCTTGAAAATGTAGAACATTGCCATTTCCTTATAGTGTTATTTTTACATTGTTTTAACTTTTAATTTGTGCACCATTCAGAAGCCCAGGAAATTTTACTGACTTATGGTTTAAAAATGGCAACCAAATGTAGTCAGTATCCATCTGACAAATCTGTTTTAAGACTTTAGACAAGGGTTCCATTTTACAAGAAAATGTTGATGCACCATTTGTTTTGATATAAATTTTGTCTGGTAAAAGTGGCAGTATATACATACCTTAAAGTTTATACCAGTCTGTGTATACTATATCAATGACATAATGAGGGTAAAGGAAGATGACAAAAAAGATGAAAAAAACCCTGACTACTGTATTGTTTATTCAGTGAACATTCACTATAACATTTCATTATATGAAGCTAGTTCATGGAAATTGGAAATATTTCGTTGGATATATTATATAAAATGAATCAGTCATGCAGGAAAATGTTCTGATCTCTTTGAAAAGTGTGTAAAGCATGTCATGCTAAGACATATTCTTATTTGCACTGTTGTTTATTTCTGTTATCAGAAATTAGATATGAGGGCATCCTCTATCCTCATCGGGGCGAGTTGACTGTCAGGAGAGCACGTGTTGTTTTCTTGCCACCCTTGTGTTTTGGCTTTTTGACTGGCATGAGATCCTCATCATCTGAAGAGTCTTTGGATTTCTGACTGGCCGAGTCTTGACTCTGACTGTCCTCTGGAAAATACAGACCAAAATTATGATTGATGTACTCATGGTGCATAAACATACTTCTGAAAAATTTACACAAGATCACCATGTAATGGATTAATTTATTAAGTAACAAGAATATCTGTTAGATTTATCTACAACTGAAGTATACTCAGATACACCTGTTCAAGATTTCAGAAGTATACGTAAATATACATATGCAATATTATAGAAAGTCTACTCAGTAACACCTGTACAAGATTATAGAAAGTCTACTCAGTGATACCTGTACAAGATTATAGAAAGTCTACTCAGTGATACCTGTACAAGATTATAGAAAGTCTACTCAGTGATACCTGTACAATATTATAGAAAGTCTACTCAGTGACACCTGTACAATATTATAGAAAGTCTACTCAGTGATACCTGTACAAGATTATAGAAAGTCTACTCAGTGATACCTGTACAAGATTATAGAAAGTCTACTCAGTAACACCTGTACAAGATTATGGAAAGTCTACTCAGTGACACCTGTACAATATTATGGAAAGTCTACTCAGTGACACCTGTACAAGATTATAGAAAGTCTACTCAGTGATACCTGTACAATATTATAGAAAGTCTACTCAGTGACACCTGTACAATATTATGGAAAGTCTACTCTGTGATACCTGTACAAGATTATGGAAAGTCTACTCAGTAACATCTGTACAATATTATAGAAAGTCTACTCAGTGATACCTGTACAATATTATAGAAAGTCTACTCAGTGACACCTGTACAATATTATGGAAAGTCTACTCTGTGATACCTGTACAAGATTATAGAAAATCTACTCAGTGACACCTGTACAATATTATGGAAAGTCTACTCTGTGATACCTGTACAATATTATAGAAAGTCTACTCAGTGACACCTGTACAATATTATGGAAAGTCTACTCAGTGATACCTGTACAATATTATGGAAAGTCTACTCAGTGACACCTGTACAAGATTATAGAAAGTATTGTCAAATATACCTGTACAAGATTATAGAAAGTCTACTCAGTGATACCTGTACAAGATTATAGAAAGTATTGTCAAATATACCTGTACATGATTTATCCAGATCAAATAGCTCCAAATCACTCTCTTCATCTGAATCAAAAGATATTTTAGGCTTGGCTTTCCGTTGTGTCTGCCGTCTCACTACTGGTGTCTTGTTCTCAGCTTCATCCTCTTCACTGTCAGAAATCATCTTTCTAGTACGTCGTCCAGCTTTGCCCTTTCGAGCTGTCAATCAAACACCACAAAAAGTTAGCTCCTTATGACACACTTTATTATAAGAGTTCAAAAGTATAAATTTCTTGCTAGAGATTTTTCCTCTTTTTCGGTTTCAGACTTCAAAATTGAAAAAACATAAAGCACACTGACTAGTACTTATTTCCCTTGAATTAAACATATCACATGATTAAGATAATCATAAACAAAAATTCTACAAAATCTTATGTCTAGCCATTTTCCTTTTGATTCACTAGAATAATAATGTATCAAAATGAATGATAATTATAGATACATTTCTAACTAACTAATTAAACAGCTTGCATTTGCCGTTTGTTGAAGGTGTCTATGATATAGGAGGTTTATTTGTAGATCATTCTCACTATATTTGAAAATCCATTCAGAAATTCATTAACTCTGATTTTGTCCTGATTTATTGGAGATTCTAGCACTCATATATCATCTCAGAAAGTGAAATAAAAATAATTTCTAAATGTTAGGTGTGGAGACTGTGGCCATGCCTTCTTCAAACTTCTGGTGCGAGAAACTGATCTGAACAAATCTACTTAATGTTGGGTGTGAAGAGTGTGACCACCCCTGAATCAAACATCTGCTACGAGAAACTGATCTTAACTAACTTCTTAATGTTGGGGGTGGTGACTGTGGCCACGCCTACTTCAAACTTCTGCTGCGAGAAACTGATCATAACAAACATCTTAATGAGTCTACAACCCACAGGCAGGTCTTAATGAGTCTACAACCCACAGGCAGGTCTTAATGAGTCTACAACCCACAGGTAGGTCTTAATGAGTCTACAACCCACAGGCAGCCAGTTGAGTACTGATTCAATCTCTAAAGTGATCGGAGAGATGATTACCTGGAGTTTTGTGCGGTGTCTTTCCTCGCTGACTGGATTGACTGGCTTTCTGTACAATATCATCCTCCTCCATCCCCTTATTGTGACAACGTTCCAGCCGTTCCTCCAGCTCCGTCAGGAGAGGTGCTAAAGAAGCCCCCTGTTACAACACAGTAAGATTGGTATTTACTGAAGATACAGGCTTCACAATAAGATGTGTATTTACTTCACATACAGGCTTCACAGTAAGATGTGTATTTACTTAACAAACAGGCTTCACAGTAAGACGTGTATTTACTTAACAGGCTTCACAGCAAGATGTGTATTTACTTAACAAACAGGCTTCACAATAAGATGTGTATGTACAGATTTTATAGAAAAACTCCAAGCATACAGGGTAGACAGTAAAACAAATATTCACCCAACACACAGGCTAGGCAGTAATAAAAGTGTTTTCATAACATACCGACTGAACAATAAAATAAATGTTTATACAACATAAAAGCTGGATAATAAAACAAATGTTTTATGATACATTTTACATAGCAAAAAAAATGTATACACAACATACTGGCTGGACAATAAAACAAATGTATACACAACATACTGGCTGGACAATAAAACAAATGTATACACAACATACTGGCTGGACAATAAAACAAATGTTTAAACAATATACAGGCTGACAAAAAGAAAAGTTTACAAAACATACAAGCTGGGTAATAAAACAAATGTTTACACAACATACAGGCTTGACAATAAAACAAATGTTTACATAGCATACAAGCTGGACAAAAACAAATGTATGCCCAACATACAGGCTTGACAATAAAACAAATGTTTACATAGCATACAAGCTGGACAAAAACAAATGTATACCCAACATACAGTCTTGACAAAAACAAATGTATGCCCAACATACAGTCTTGACAAAAACAAATGTATACCCAACATACAGTCTTGACAAAAACAAATGTATACCCAACATACAGTCTTGACAAAAACAAATGTATACCCAACATACAGTCTTGACAAAAACAAATGTTTACATAGACAAAAACATACATACAGTCTTGGACAAAAACAAATGTTTGACAAAAACAAATGTTTACGAAACATACAGGCTAGACAATAAATCAAAATGTTTACATACAGATTTGACAACAAAACATATGTTTATACTAGACACAAGCTGGACAGGAAACAGTAAAACAAATGTTTACACAACAACATAAAGACTTTAAAGTAAAGCATATTTTTATATTAATACTTTTTATATTACCTTTGCTCCAAGTTTACCAGATGATTGAGACTTTGAGATGATGGAAACGAAACAAGAGTAGACTTCATCATCAGCCAGCTTATCAGCAAAACACACAAAGTTTTCCTGGAGTTTGCGGAGACTCTTTTCATTGTAGGATAGCATGGACAGACAAAAGGCCAGATCCCGCCACTGTCTTTCGTTCCTGTAGATATTGGGGGTAAATTGTATTCATATACTTTGCTTTTCCCTTCTATTTCTCATCCCTTCTACTTTCCTCCCAATCCTTTCCCTTTCCTTACTACTTTCCTCTTACTCTTCACCATTGTGACCAGGCAGGCATGGGTACTACAAGTGTTGTATGTGACCTCTCGGACTACTCCAATGTTACATACATGATGAATTTACCATCTATTCAAGTGAAGCTGGATTGACACCCAATGATGTTACAGTGAACTTGATTATTTTTTTTTTAAAGTAATCAGAAACAGTGTTCACATTATAAGCAGAGAGTAAAAAAACTGTTTCAATTAGAAAGAAAAATGGACCATTTGATGACTCCTGTGAACAACTGCATCCTAACTGTAACCAAACTATAATTTTCAACAGTGTGTTATTTCCAGAAATAAGTTTCAATGATTACTTTAAAAAGGTATGACAAGGTATTTATCAAAACAGATAATTTGAAATTAATTATGTAAAATAACTAGTTAAGTAACACACCTGGCGGCCCGGAAACGTTGACAAAGTTTCTCTACTAGACTCTCACACTGTCGATCCTTTTGTATAAAGGCAAACAGGTATCTGGAACAGACATAAACTCTTATGACATACAAGTAGAAGAAAAACCTTGCTATATCTTAAATGAGGCTTTAGATCACTGCACAGATGTCAATATATTGATAAAAACCATAAAGAATCTGATTTCATCACTGGTTTGCTTGTTTGAATGTTTATCACCATGTGAACAGTCTGGGTCATTTTCAGGTGGGGACTACTTAAGTAGGCGATGGCTTCTTCAATTATTAAATTTCAGGCCTACTACATGTTAACTAGGGTAATTGTGTCTTTCCCAAGGAACAACCATGATGGCACAGACAGGTCTGTTTCTCATCTTCTTGAGAACTACAAACCACCATATGTATGGAGCCTCAAACCACACACATCAGAACTTCACAACAGGTTGTATCTACAGATTGAGCTATTGTGGCATTTCTTGCATTGAGGGTAGGTCTGGTTAGACAATTTCAACGGTGATTGAATTTGGTGAGTAAGTAAGCCATGTCTATAAACAGGTCCAGTTACAATGTGATGGAGTTCTAATTTTCTCAGTAAACAGTTAGAGGTATAATCATTATTGATGTAATTTCCTTAAATATTTCAGGAGGAAGGAGCCAAAACTAGGTGTAAACAGGTGATGAGTGGGGTACTTCCCTGTGAGTATGAAACCAAAAGGCAACCAGGATGATTAAACGAAAACTAATCAGAAATTAATCACAACAGACTATTTACTACTGAGTACGTGTTTAATTTGTCTACTAATACCTTATATTTGCCTTGTTACCTGACAGAAGTACATGTTACTTTTATAACTAGTGTACCTGAGTATAGTCCTGAAGTGTTCCTCGTCAACTCCAACGTCTGGATCAGACAGACGGCTGATAAGATCTGGCATGATGTTATAAACAGCATTTCCCTTTGAAAAAAAATATCATTGATTTAATATTGTTTGTACCTAGTTTCTCTATAGTGGTAAAGTTACTGAAAAGTCATTAATATTTGTGTGAGTTTTATGTTTGTTGATTCATTGATTTGATACTGTTTGTACCTAGTTTCTCTATAGTAGTAAAGTTACTGAAAAGTCATTAATATTTGTGTGAGTTTTATGTTTGTTGATTCATTGATTTGATACTGTTTGTACCTAGTTTCTCTATAGTAGTAAAGTTACTGTCAAGTCATTAATATTTGTGTGAGTTTTATGTTTGTTGATTCATTGATTTGATACTGTTTGTACCTAGTTTCTCTATAGTGGTAAAGTTACTGTCAAGTCATTAATATTTGTGTGCGTTTTATGTTTGTTGATTCATTGATTTGATACTGTTTGTACCTAGTTTCTCTATAGTGGTAAAGTTACTGTCAAGTCATTAATATTTGTGTGCGTTTTATGTTTGTTGATTCCTGTTTATTGTTGAGTTCTATTTATACACGAAATCAAATGTCAATAAAAAGTAATTTAAAGGAAAACCATGGTATTTGAACTCAACAATATGTGGTTTTCCAGTACTTGAATTTCTAAGTAGAGTCACTCTTTTGTAAATAACAAGTTGATCTTGGTTGGGGTTTAATAACATTTTATGTTAAACAACCATGAATAATTTTTGTTGATAAGTCACAAAGGTGAATTCTGAAAATCTCTTGATGAAATTTATTCAGTGTAACAATAAATAAAAGCCCCTCTCTATCAACTTAATGTGATCTTGTACCTTTTTAGATAACTCAGTGAAGAATATTTTGGCTGAGCAGGATATTTTGTCATTGTGGTCCACCAAGCATGTGGCCATCTCGCTGATCTGACCTTTCACCTTCACCATATCATTTAGAATCAAGTGGGTGAGGACTTGCAGTGTGTTTTGTCTCACCAAGGTTGACTCGTCTCGCAATCTGTAAAAACAGAGATGCTGTTTAAAAACTTTTTAAAAAATCTTAAAGTGTTTATTTGCTTTGATTCCCATATTAATTGAAACCTGTAACTACTAACATCTAGAAGCGGTAACATGTAACTTACAAAGTAGGTTCCAGAATTACAGATAGTGTCACAAAATTTACACAAAAGATATTTTTACTGTATTGATAGATTTCACTTTTTAATAATGTTGATAAAAGTCATTTTACAGAATGGAACTAAAGAAATTAAAGACATAATGAATAATGAAAATGTCAATTTATTTGCCATGTGTTGCTTTACTTCATTATGTGTTCTTAAAACTTCGTATCTGTAGATTAAGTGTGACTGTTATATAGGTAAAGTGTGCTTTTTACATAGGTAAAGTGTGATTGTTACGTAGGTAAAGTGTGATTGTTATGTAGGTAAAGTGTGATTGTTATGTAGGTAAAGTGTGATTGTTATGTAAGTAAAGTGTGACTGTTATGTAGGTAAAGTGTGACTGTTACGTAGGTAAAGTGTGATTGTTACATAGGTAAAGTGTGTTTGTTACGTAAGTAAAGTGTGATTGTTACATAGGTAAAGTGTGTTTGTTACGTAAGTAAAGTGTGATTGTTACATAGGTAAAGTGTGTTTGTTACGTAAGTAAAGTGTGATTGTTACATAGGTAAAGCGTGTTTGTTACGTAACTAAAGTGTGATTGTTACATAGGTAAAGTGTGTTTGTTACGTAAGTAAAGTGTAATTGTTACAGAGGTAAAGTGTGTTTGTTACGTAAGTAAAGTGTGATTGTTACATAGAAGGTAAAGTGTGATAATCACTGTGTGTGTTAATATTACATATTACCTTGGTCAGATAAACATTATGAAACAAGAAAATCAATGAATATATTTGGCTATGTAAATAATGAGTGAAAAGGTATACCTGGCATATATGCGTGGGGTCCAGGGTTCAATCATGTTTGGGAAACGGAAAGTGAGGTCCCCTAATGCAATGATGATGTTCGCTCTGATTGTAGCATGCGTTGTCTTCTCAAGTATAGTAAACAACAGCTGCAAGTGTGTATCACAGAACTCAGAACTGAAATTAAATAAGGTTTCATCAAAACTCATAGGTAAACTTACACATCAAATGAATAAAAAGTATAGAAAATGTCTGTAATAAATGATTGCCTCCCCTCCCATTCATCTACCTCTAAGTATCAATTTTTGATAATTAGCAGAAGTTGCCTTCAATTTTGAAAAATGACCTCCTCATGATGACTAGGTGTAGAACTTGATGTTATGATATTATAGATGAACTAAGTCTGTGTAGAGGATCTAAAGTTTTGAGAATGATTTGGAGCGGGATGTTTGGGGATGAGATGAAAATGAAAGACATGGGTATTATTGTGGCTAAATGGCTGAGGCATAAAACTGTAGACACCTCCTTTAGCCTCAAATGAATATTATTTTTTCAATCACAACAACATTAATTTTTTAAAAGCTTTTTGTTTTCTGAGGATACTCTGATATTATCAACAGAATCACTAATATGTATTTACCTGACCATCATGAATTTAGACAAGGCTAGAGATGCTGCGGACTGCAGTTCTGGGTCTGAATATTTAGCCTGATTGGTACACACAGCCACAATGACGGGAGCCAGTGCACCTAGTAGGGTTTTACCTTAAAACAAAAGAAAATTGTCACAGAATACCGACACAAAATGAATGAGAACATATAACTGTGGTGTCTGTATCTTTTGGGTAATGTGTTATTCCATCCTATATACAGTTTTATATCTAAATGGTAAGTTGTCATAGTTAAGTTAAACAGAGTCACCATCCTTGTATGTAAGTTTTGAAGGATGATGCAGAGTAGTGGTGGTGTAGAGTGGCACTTGGTGGTACTGGATAACATTTGTGGTGAAGAGTGGCACTTTGTGGCATTAGGTTGTAAGAGTGATGTGGAGTGGTACAAGGTACTGCAAGGTGGTTGTATGGATCTGGCCCATAATTGTTGAAGGTAATTATATGGTATTTAGCATCCCATAACAAGTAGGATTGAAAATTGTTATAGAGTGCTACAAGAATGTAAGGCTACAAGTATGTAGACATTGTCAATAGGGTTATTGCAGACTTTGTTATTAGGGGTATTGTAGATTTTGTTATTAGAGTTATTGTAGACATTGTCATTAGGGTTATTTTAGACTTTGTTATTGGGGTTATTGTAGACTTTGTTATTGGGGTTATTGTAGACTTTGTTATTGGGGTTATTGTATACTTTGTTATTAGCGTTATTGTATACTTTGTTATTTGGGTTATTGTAGACTTTGTTATTGGGGTTACTGCAGACTTTGTTATTGGGGTTATTGTAGACTTTGTTAATAGGGTTATTGCAGACTTTGTTATTGGGGTTATTGTAGTCTTTGTTATTGGGGTTACTGCAGACTTTGTTATTGGGGTTATTGTAGACTTTGTTAATAGGGTTATTGCAGACTTTGTTATTGGGGTTATTGTAGACTTTGTTATTAGCGTTATTGTAGACTTTGTTATAAGGGTTATTGTAGACTTTTTTGTTATTGGGGTTATTGTAGACTTTGTTATTGGGGTTATTGTAGTCTTTGTTATTGGGTTACTGCAGACTTTGTTATTGGGGTTATTGTAGACTTTGTTATTGGGGTTATTGTAGTCTTTGTTATTGGGGTTACTGCAGACTTTGTTATTGGGGTTATTGTAGACTTTGTTAATAGGGTTATTGCAGACATTGTTATTGGGGTTATTGTATACTTTGTTATTTGGGTTATTGTAGACTTTGTTATTGGGGTTATTGTATACTTTGTTATTAGCGTTATTGTATACTTTGTTATTAGTGTTATTGTAGACTTTGTTATTGGGGTTATTGCAGACTTTGTTATTAGGGTTATTGTAAACTTTGTTAACAGGGTTATTGCAGACTTGTTATTGGGGTTATTGTAGACTTTGTTATTAGCGTTATTGTAGACTTTGTTATAAGGGTTATTGTAGACTTTTTTGTTATTGGGGTTATTGTAGACTTTGTTATTGGGGTTATTGTAGACTTTGTTATTGGGGTTATTGTAGTCTTTGTTATTGGGTTACTGCAGACTTTGTTATTGGGGTTATTGTAGACTTTGTTATTGGGGTTATTGTAGACTTTGTTATTGGGGTTATTGTAGTCTTTGTTATTGGGGTTACTGCAGACTTTGTTATTGGGGTTATTGTAGACTTTGTTATTAGCGTTATTGTAGACTTTGTTATAAGGGTTATTGTAGACTTTTTTGTTATTGGGGTTATTGTAGACTTTGTTATTGGGGTTATTGTATACTTTGTTATTAGCGTTATTGTATACTTTGTTATTAGTGTTATTGTAGACTTTGTTATTGGGGTTATTGCAGACTTTGTTATTAGGGTTATTGTAAACTTTGTTAATAGGGTTATTGCAGACTTTGTTATTGGGGTTATTGTAGACTTTGTTATTAGCGTTATTGTAGACTTTGTTATAAGGGTTATTGTAGACTTTTTTGTTATTGGGGTTATTGTAGACTTTGTTATTGGGGTTATTGTAGACTTTGTTATTGGGGTTATTGTAGTCTTTGTTATTGGGTTACTGCAGACTTTGTTATTGGGGTTATTGTAGACTTTGTTATTGGGGTTATTGTAGTCTTTGTTATTGGGGTTACTGCAGACTTTGTTATTGGGGTTATTGTAAACTTTGTTAATAGGGTTATTGCAGACATTGTTATTGGGGTTATTGTATACTTTGTTATTTGGGTTATTGTAGACTTTGTTATTGGGGTTATTGTATACTTTGTTATTGGGGTTATTGTAGTCTTTGTTATTGGGGTTACTGCAGACTTTGTTATTGGGGTTATTGTAGACTTTGTTAATAGGGTTATTGCAGACATTGTTATTGGGGTTATTGTAGACTTTGTTATTAGCGTTATTGTAGACTTTGTTATAAGGGTTATTGTAGACTTTGTTATTGGGGTTATTGTAGACTTTGTTATTGGGGTTATTGTAGACTTTGTTATTGGGGTTATTGTAGTCTTTGTTATTGGGGTTACTGCAGACTTTGTTATTGGGGTTATTGTAGACTTTGTTATTGGGGTTATTGTAGTCTTTGTTATTGGGGTTACTGCAGACTTTGTTATTGGGGTTATTGTAAACTTTGTTAATAGGGTTATTGCAGACATTGTTATTGGGGTTATTGTATACTTTGTTATTTGGGTTATTGTAGACTTTGTTATTGGGGTTATTGTATACTTTGTTATTGGGGTTATTGTAGTCTTTGTTATTGGGGTTACTGCAGACTTTGTTATTGGGGTTATTGTAGACTTTGTTAATAGGGTTATTGCAGACATTGTTATTGGGGTTATTGTAGACTTTGTTATTAGCGTTATTGTAGACTTTGTTATAAGGGTTATTGTAGACTTTGTTATTGGGGTTATTGTAGACTTTGTTATTGGGGTTATTGTAGTCTTTGTTATTGGGGTTACTGCAGACTTTGTTATTGGGGTTATTGTAGACTTTGTTATTGGGGTTATTGTAGTCTTTGTTATTGGGGTTACTGTAGAATTTGTTATTGGGATTATTGTAGACTTTGTTATTAGCGTTATTGTAGACTTTGTTATAAGGGTTATTGTAGACTTTTTTGTTATTGGGGTTATTGTAGACTTTGTTATTGGGGTTATTGTAGACTTTGTTATTGGGGTTATTGTAGTCTTTGTTATTGGGTTACTGCAGACTTTGTTATTGGGGTTATTGTAGACTTTGTTATTGGGGTTATTGTAGACTTTGTTATTGGGGTTATTGTAGTCTTTGTTATTGGGGTTACTGCAGACTTTGTTATTGGGGTTATTGTAGACTTTGTTAATAGGGTTATTGCAGACTTTGTTATTGGGGTTATTGTATACTTTGTTATTAGCGTTATTGTATACTTTGTTATTAGTGTTATTGTAGACTTTGTTATTGGGGTTATTGCAGACTTTGTTATTAGGGTTATTGTAAACTTTGTTAATAGGGTTATTGCAGACTTTGTTATTGGGGTTATTGTAGTCTTTGTTATTGGGTTACTGCAGACTTTGTTATTGGTGTTATTGTAGACTTTGTTATTGGGGTTATTGTAGTCTTTGTTATTGGGGTTACTGCAGACTTTGTTATTGGGGTTATTGTAGACTTTGTTAATAGGGTTATTGCAGACATTGTTATTGGGGTTATTGTATACTTTGTTATTTGGCTTATTGTAGACTTTGTTATTGGGGTTATTGTATACTTTGTTATTGGGGTTATTGTAGTCTTTGTTATTGGGGTTACTGCAGACTTTGTTATTGGGGTTATTGTAGACTTTGTTAATAGGGTTATTGCAGACATTGTTATTGGGGTTATTGTAGACTTTGTTATAAGGGTTATTGTAGTCTTTGTTATTGGGGTTATTGTAGACTTTGTTATTGGGGTTATTGTAGACTTTGTTATTGGGGTTATTGTAGTCTTTGTTATTGGGGTTATTGTAGACTTTGTTATTGGGGTTACTGCAGACTTTGTTATTGGGGGTTACTGGTTACTTTATTACTGGGTCATTACAGACTTTGTTATTGGGGTTATTGTAGACTTTGTTATAGGGGTTATTGTAGACTTTGTTATTGGGGTTATTGTAGTCTTTGTTATTGGGGTTACTGCAGACTTTGTTATTGGGGTTATTGTAGACTTTGTTATAGGGGTTATTGTAGACTTTGTTATTGGGGTTACTGCAGACTTTGTTATTGGGGTTATTGTAGACTTTGTTATTGGGGTTACTGTAGAATTTGTTATTGGGATTATTGTAGACTTTGTTATTGGGGTTATTAGCGTTATTGTAGACTTTGTTATAAGGGTTATTGTAGACTTTTTTGTTATTGGGGTTATTGTAGACTTTGTTATTGGGGTTATTGTAGACTTTGTTATTGGGGTTATTGTAGTCTTTGTTATTGGGGTTACTGCAGACTTTGTTATTGGGGTTATTGTAGACTTTGTTATTGGGGTTATTGTAGACTTTGTTATTGGGGTTATTGTAGTCTTTGTTATTGGGGTTACTGCAGACTTTGTTATTGGGGTTATTGTAGACTTTGTTATTGGGGTTATTGTAGACTTTGTTATTGGGGTTACTGCAGACTTTGTTATTGGGGTTATTGTAGACTTTGTTATTGGGGTTACTGCAGACTTTGTTATTGGGGGTTACTGGTTACTTTATTACTGGGTCATTACAGACTTTGTTATTGGGGTTATTGTAGACTTTGTTATAGGGGTTATTGTAGACTTTGTTATTGGGGTTATTGTAGTCTTTGTTATTGGGGTTACTGCAGACTTTGTTATTGGGGTTATTGTAGACTTTGTTATAAGGGTTATTGTAGACTTTGTTATTGGGGTTACTGCAGACTTTGTTATTGGGGTTATTGTAGACTTTGTTATTGGGATTACTGCAGACTTTGTTATTGGGGGTTACTGGTTACTTTATTACTGGGTCATTACAGACTTTGTTATTGGGGTTATTGTATACTTTGTTATTAAGGTCATTGTAGACTTTGTTATAGGGGTTATTGTAGACTTTTTTGTTATTGGGGTTATTGTAGACATTGTTATTGGGGTTATTGTAGACTTTGTTATTAGCGTTATTGTAGACTTTGTTATAAGGGTTATTGTAGACTTCGTTATTTGGGTTATTGTAGACTTTGTTAATAGGGTTATTGCAGACTTTGTTATTTGGGTTATTGTAGACTGTTAATTTGGGTTTCTGGTTACTTTATTACTGGGTAATTACAGACTTTGTTATTAGCGTTATTGTAGACTTTGTTATTGGGGTTATTGCAGACTTTGTTATTAGGGTTATTGTAGACTTTGTTAATAGGGTTATTGCAGACTTTGTTATTTGGGTTATTGTAGACTGTTAATTTGGGTTACTGGTTACTTTATTACTGGGTCATTACAGACTTTGTTATTGGGGTTATTGTAGACTTTGTTATTGGGGTTACTGCAGACTTTGTTATTGGGGGTTATTGTAGACTTTGTTAATAGGGTTATTGCAGACTTTGTTATTGGGGTTATTGTAGACGTTGTTATTGGGGTTATTGTAGACTTTGTTATAAGGGTTATTGTAGACTTTTTTGTTATTTGGGTTATTGTAGACATTGTTATTGGGGTTATTGTAGACTTTGTTATAAGGGTTATTGTAGACTTTGTTATTGGGGTTATTGTAGACTTTGTTAATGGGGTTACTGCAGACTTTGTTATTTGTGTTATTGTAGACTGTTAATTTGGGTTACTGATTACTTTATTACTGGGTCATTACAGACTTTGTTATTGGGGTTATTGTAGACTCTGTTATAAGTGTTATTGTAGGCTTTACTATTTGGGTTATTACAATCAATGATTTGGTTGTTATGATAGTAGATGTTCAGCCATTCCTATCAGCAACATACCTGTGACGATGTCCCTCTCGCAGACTTTACGAATGTATTCTGCTTCTGCATCCTCAGCAGCTGCACCAGCTAAACCAAGCTCCTCCTCAATGGCCTCTGAGGCATTACTTTCCTGTCACGGAGGCAATTTCATTCTTCATTTTGTACATGTATGTGTTGTAGTGTTACAATATAATTTTGCAGTCTAAATCCATTAGTAACTATAAGAAGAGAAGTCTTGACAAGCTGTCAGTGACATTTTAAGCGAAGGAATACACAAGTTTCATGCAAATCTGACAATTTTTCAGTAGTAAAATATGATATTTACACATGATGTTAAAAAGCAATTAGCAATAAACCTGAACTAATAATACATCAGTCACAGTACTTACACATTCTTAGTTCTTATCAACGAGATAACTACTTCATTACAGATGATCTCTGCATTATTAAAATAAGACTTAGATAGATAAATTCATCAAAAAAATTAAAACAATTTATCTTCCAATACAGGAAATGGGTAAAATTCTGTTCAACAGTAAACACATTAATCTAGTGTGAGTTCGAGAATTTAATGTTACTATGATAAAAGTAAAGAATTAGATTCTGTAGCTTGTGTTGGTTATAAAAGCTAAGCCAGACTATGAACTGGTGTACTTACTCTAGATTTATTCTTGTTTTGTCTAGCTGGAGTTTTGCCAGAATCCTCCTTTCCAGCACGACGACGCTTCAGCTCATCCAGGACATCACTCTCAAGGTAGATCATCTGACTAAAAGCCACCTGTCCAGCCAGTGATAGGACACGCGTCAGCACCACCACAGACGTCTGCATGGTGGCAGCTGACAAGCTAGGGTCTGCAAAGAAATCATACTTACTATATGTATATCAGTTAGAAAAAAAAATCTGAATATCTGAGGCACGTTCTTAACTCCTACTTTCATATTCATTGATGATTTGATAGGTTTTTAAAGTGTAGGATGCAGTTGTTGGTTTTATTTTTCATGAATGGTTATCTCCTTGTAAATTTTTTAAAATAAATTGTCTCATTGTTAGAGATTTAAACACTTCTCCAGTTTCCATCTTACATGTGGTTAACTATTAAGCATACATATTCTTTAATTCATTAACCCTTTAACATTTCTTAGCTTAGAATATATACTAATGCTATTCACTGCTGTTAAAATGTTAGAAACCAGAAAGAATAGAACTTGATTCCAAGAAACAGATATCAATTTCTATACTGACAAATTCATTGTATTGACAGTCCTCATTAAAACAAATCATATTTACACTTGGTTCTTGAATTTTTCTGAAACTATTATAGTGACCACACTTGTTTTTAGTAAAGCTGAAACACACATTTACAATAAGTTCAGTGTAAGTTGATAACCATATTGTTATAAATTTTATTTAACCTGTCTGGGTATCTGTGGGTGTGTCACTAATTGCATCTGTCTCCTTGTCATTAGCCGTCTCAGTGGGCGTGTCACTAATTGCATCCGTCTCCTTGTCGTTAGCCGTCTCTGTGGGCATTTCACTGGGCTTATCTGCGTTGTTAGATCTATTGAACTCGTGAATAACTTTACGAATGATTTCCTGACAAACAGCATCAGGATGATTTGAGAGTTTGTATATGACTTTGACAGCTTGCTCTGCCAGAGGGATCCAGTATCTGTTCTCCACATCAGCAACACCTGTATTAAATAGAACCAATTAGAAAGTTATTAGGAAGGATAAACTTGATGTGATACTTTGGATATTAATCTGTAGAGGAATCATCTCGTACACCAGCTTTTTTTATTTAAAAGTAGTCAAGTGTGACATTTAATCTTGACTAATGACCACCAAAACCTACTCATAAGTGTAATGATCTTTTAAACAAACTTTGTGCCACAGATGCACAAAATGATTACCACAAAACCTTAGTTAAGCTGAGGTTATAACACAAAAGTCTGTATAATAAGGTTATCTATCTCACTTTTATCTCAGACTCATAAAACTTTCTGTGACACTTTATTAAAATTCTCTGGTCTGGATTAAGCTTTATTTTTTGGCAAATCACTGCAAACACCTCTTACAGTCCCTTATCATAATGTTGATTATTTTTGTGTTAGACTGCTGAACTGCTAAATTACCTTTTTAGGTTTGTTTCCGAAATTTGTGAGAAAAGGATTGTGATATGACTTTTAATATCACATCTTCCATCGGCCCTCGGGTCTTCAGAAAATGAATCAATATCTGATCAGTCTTGGGCTAATTAATGGTGTGATAATCAAAATAGTCTTATCATAAACTAGAATAGTAAATGTGTAATATGTGAGCTAACCTTTAACAAGGATGTCTGACAGTCTGGTAAACATGTCATGGTTCTGTGGTAGACGGAATGGTTTACCAGCCACCTGACCTTTCATCTGAAACATTTAAGAAATTTCCATTGAGAAAATATCTACAGAAAATTAAAAAAATTAAACAGAGTTGTAAGACAAGTAATTACAAGCAAAATCTATACCAAACTCTATAAACATTTGTTATACATTTGCATGTTTTATGTACATGTGTTGTTTTTAAACCATCAAAAACTTTATAATGAAGATCAATATTAAAATTGTGAAATATACAATTCTGCTTTTACTAAGATGGAAATAAAGGAAACAAAAGTTGAAAATAAATACAGTAAAGCCCCATGGCCTCAGACTCACATTACTTGAATACCATCTATTCCCTGAAGTGTTCATTTGGCCTGACATAAAGCCCCATTGCCTCAGACTCACATTACTTGAATACCATCTATTCCCTGAAGTGTTCATTTGGCCTGACATAAAGCCCCATTGCCTCAGACTCACATTACTTGAATACCATCTATTCCCTGAAGTGTTCATTTGGCCTGACATAAAGCCCCATTGCCTCAGACTCACATTACCTGAATACCATCTATTCCTTAAAGTGATCATTTGGCCTGACATAAAGCCCCATTGCCTCAGACTCACATTACCTGAATACCATCTATTCCTTAAAGTGATCATTTGGCCTGACATAAAGCCCCATTGCCTCAGACTCACATTACCTGAATACCATCTATTCCTTAAAGTGATCATTTGGCCTGACATAAAGCCCCATGGCCTCAGACTCACATTACCTAAATACCATCTATACCTTGAAGTGTTCATTTGGCCTGACATAAAGCCCCATTGAATCAGACTCACATTACTTGAATACCATCTATTCCCTGAAGTGTTCATTTGGCCTGACATAAAGCCCCATTGCCTCAGACTCACATTACCTGAATACCATCTATTCCTTAAAGTGATCATTTGGCCTGACATAAAGCCCCATTGCCTCAGACTCACATTACTTGAATACATCTATTCCTTAAAGTGATCATTTGGCCTGACATAAAGCCCCATGGCCTCAGACTCACATTACTTGAATACCATCTATTCCTTAAAGTGATCATTTGGCCTGACATAAAGCCCCATTGCCTCAGACTCACATTACTTGAATACCATCTATTCCCTGAAGTGTTCATTTGGCCTGACATAAAACCCCATCGCCTCAGACTCACATTACTTGAATACCATCTATTCCCTGAAGTGATCATTTGGCTGACATAAAGCCCCATTGCCTCAGACTCACATTACCTGAATACCATCTATTCCTTAAAGTGATCATTTGGCCTGACATAAAGCCCCATTGCCTCAGACTCCCATTACTTGAATACATCTATTCCTTGAAGTGATCATTTGGCCTGACGATACTCTTATCAATTTTTTATTATCTATCTCAAATTACTGTAACACTATTCCAAGTATTCCACATTCCTTGAACCAATATCTATTATCGTCTCGTCCTGTTCATGGTATTTTTTTATAAAACATGTCAATTAATTGTGGTCCTATCGAGAGAAAGTGGGGCTTTACTGAATTTAAGATGTGATTTTTTGTGCTTTTTGTCTTTTTAAATGTGATTTCCTAACAACAAACATGTCAAACAACAACTTATGATTAATAGCTATTGTTTTTTCTCCATACATACTTATCAAAGAAAAATAACATTTCAGACAGTAAGAAAGCAACATGATATATGTAGGAACTTGTGAGTAACAATCACTTTTTCTGATTGATCAGACACAAGTGTATCTAGAATAACACACAGATCTTATGTTAGTACCTACCCTCTTTGAGTTAGGGAGTTTGAGTAGTGCCAGACAGGTATCTCGGGCCAGTATGAAGTCTGAGTGTGCTCTTGGTCCCAGCCCTTCACTCACCATCACATTGATATTACTTCTTACCACTGTGTTATCTGCCCTGGAAACGATACAAACAGCTGTCTATATTAATCGTCATATAAGACTGGTTTTATTAGAGAAATTGCGGAAATTTGAAGGGAACAATAAAATCAATCTGGCTAATCACAGTCAACTTCCCACACAATGCCTAACCAAGGTAAACTCATACCTCAAGTATTAAGTTCCAGGGACTAAAAGTGTAGAAGACAGAGCACTGACAAACTTTATCTTCGATGTCTGTCAAAGGTCAAAATGTAGGTCAGATTGACATATATTTTGTTACATGACAAACACCTCACCAAGGTTAACCCATACCTCAAGTATAAACTTTCAGTGACAAGTAGTGTAGGAGATAGAGTATGTACAATCTTCTTCTAGGATGTCGGCCAATGGAAAAATGTAAGTTAAAGTGACCTACTTTTCATGTCAAAATGGAGGTCAAATTGACTTCCTTTTGATGCAAAACTGAAATTCCTTAAAGATATCTTGTATTGAATTCAGTTTGTCAGCATGACAGAAAATGTAATCAAAGAAATCACACACAATCAAATATTTGGTTTGAGCAACATACCCAGCTGCCATAGAGAGAAGTAAGATTGCAGCTCGGCTGTCCTCAGCAGATGTATTAGGGATCTTGAGAGTGAACCGTTCCCAAAGAATCTTCATCACAGTACTGTTCAAGTCTCCTGTTTTCATCAGCTCTATCATCTGCAAAAATTCATCTTTTTATAATTTCACCAATAAAGACTAATTGTATTAGATATATAGATATAAATATAAAGTATACGAAGGGTGTAGACATTTTCTATCCACTCTGAAAGTGTATGAATGTATTTATATATATGTATATTGTGGTATCTGTGATATGTATGTGGATATAAGAACATCTGAGTGGAAGTGTCTCTCAGTGTATTTACTGATGTATTGTAAACTTTTTATTGAATAAAAAGATAAGTTACAAAATAAGAAGAAAAAAACCCCTATAAACACTGCCCTGCTAGACTGAACCTTAGACTTACAATTAAATAAATTAAGGTGTCTGCAAGAGTCATAGATACTACCAAGAGTTTTGAGAATTCTTCCTGTACTGTCCTGAACAAACCTTCACATTGGATAGGACTTGAGAAATCCCTTCTCTACCGTCTTTTGTATGAATGGATCATAAAGAATACTTTCTCTAACATTTATTTTCATGAGCAAGTCTTTGGAGCTTCATTGGCTAAAAGCATGTTTCTAAATAAAAAGCAATGCATTTAAATCATAATAAGGTTAACACATTCATTTTGTTTCAAACAACTGCAAAATTAATCAATATGAATAGGAAATATCTGTGTCCTACCAAGCCTTCCAGAGATGTTAGATCTCCTATAGTTACGCCAAACGTCAGGGCTGATAGATTCTTCACTATAGCTAAGGCATTTGCTCTGAAATTGAAAAATAGCATATTATATCACATTCAGAAACAGCAAAGCTAAATGAGGAATACATCAGATAGACATTTAATTTGGACACGTCTTCAATGGTCTAGATCTTCAATATTCTCACAATCACAAATACCAACTTTTGTTTCCAATCTTATACTTTAACCAATTCCCTTTGTTCTACAACTGAGTGGTCAGATTTTCATCACAGCTTGTGAATTGAACTTTTCTTACCCCTTGAAGCTACTATATGGCTTGCCCTAAGTCGTTAACTTTTAAGCTACCAGATCATTCCCCTTGTCCTCTCACCTTTCATTGTTGCCTTCAGGAGACAGGTACATTTTTTTATAAGCATCAACAACAGCCTCCTTCACACCCGATTCCTTTGACCAGATAAGAGGTAACATGCGCCGCACTCCTTGCATGGCCGAGGACAGACCAAACTTAAACCCAGTCACAAAGAAGTCTACTGCACCTAGTACGTCCGATACATTCTCTGACCCCAAAAGACGACAGATAACGGGAAAGGCTTTCTCAGTTTCAACAGCAAAGGCGAGTGTGTCCTGTTTGTAAAAACAATTACATTATAAATGTTTTTTTAACGTTGGTAGATATATACAGCATGGAAGTTCTTATACCACAACCAGTAAGAAAATTAAGATTACAACAGTTCTGTTGATTCATTACCATCCTTAACATTGTATGCCTCAGTGCTAATATGTTTCACATCTGTAATTTACTGGATAAAGGTTTTTATTATTATCTTTACAATCTTAACAGCCCGTCAACACATAACAGGTCACTAGGGCCACCAACCTGTGAAACACAACGCAGCCTGATAAAGGTAACTCTGTACTGATCAATATGTCACACATAAAATGTACTTTTACCAATTATCTTAATTTTTCTGGGATAAACCTATTTTAATCCTCTGGGATGATTAACCAGGTATATTAAAGTAACCGTTTCCATAATTGTGTTTTGTTCCTTTCATGAATTAAATCTATCACTTAAGGGCCAATTTTGAATACCTGTTACTTGTGATGACTTGATTGAAATCAGTCATTAAAAGTTTCTGTTGTTCTGATAAAGGGTAATGCTTATCTTAAATTAAAAGAAAAGCATCATTTGAATAAAAAGTCAGAACTCTAAAAAATACAGAATAATCAGGCAGTTTGTCTGACAAAGATACCAGAAAAGCAATCTCACTAGGTCACAGCCACTTACCTTTAGGTACCAAACAAGCACCTGCTGTTTTGAAACGTCACTGACCCTTCCACACTGGTCCTCCGAATCTTGGCTTTGAACAGCTTCAGCAGCCAGCTCAATGTTACTGCTCTTATGTCCTGTAAGGTTTAATAAATTTCCTTGTATGACAAAACAATTATCATAAAATCACTTCTATAGAATTAAGCATATACTACTTAATATCTTTTACCTTAAACAGTAGTATTACAACTGCAATAATAGTACTGTTGATCATTTGTAGAAAAAACAAAATTTCTGAATCTCAAATCAATGCTGCTAATTATATTGAATTTCAAACTTGACCTCAACTAACAAAAACAATTGAAACAATCAATATTTGACAGACAACTCATAAAAATCAATGTATTCTTTCTGGAATAAGTAGCCCCTAAAATCAAAGGTAACCACAGGTATCTTTACTGAATTTTAGAACAAGTACAAAGCCATTTTTGATGGCTCTTATTTATTTTGCAATTTTACAAAATCTTTGAAGCTAAGAGGGTGCAATTTTCATGGTAATTATGAAATGGACCAATTTCCTTCATAGATATAAATATTTTCTAACTAGTTTACAATTTTCATTATTAAATTAAATCTTGACTTGAAAGTCACAATACATGTATCAATATTTGAAGGAAGTTTCATGAAAATCTTTGCATCCCTTCTGGAGTTAGTAGCCCCTTAACTTGTAAAGGAAGTTAGAGGTAATCACAGGTACTCATACTGAATTTTGGACCATTCACAAAGCTGTTTCTGATCGCTCTAATTTAATTTATTTATCAAAACTTTTCAGCTAAGAGGAAGCAATTTTCATGGTAATTATGAAACAAAACACAGTTTCCTTTATAAATCTTATTTTCTAGGTCAATGTATAGTTTACATGATTAGATTAAACTTCTTTAAAACATAAAGTGTATACAGAAGATAGAACAACAAACAATTTTTTCTGTGTAGAGACACTCCTTTAACCAATCTATACTTAGTCATTTTGATATTTCTTGGTAATAACATTTCCGTTGAAGAAGTATCTGACTAGGATTAAGCTAAGGAGAAGTTTGAACCAAACTGGGTAAGCTTGAAGTGATGAGTAATGGGTTCCTCAACCCTTCTGTCTGGATACTTGAAGGCATGCAGGGTGATTCAAGGAAGAGTGAATATCAGGTGTAGTATAAGTCAGTGAAAACAGACGAAGAGACTAGGTTCATCAATTTATTGCCAAAGTAGGACCTAAAGAAACCCAAGTTAGGGGCAAAACTGCTTGACAATAAATTGATGAACCAGTCTGTTTGTCTGTTGTGATAAGCTACTACTATGACTAGGGTTAGGTTACTGGTTTAGTCCCTGTATTTGTGGTAGTTTTTGCTCAGTAACCTCACTAAACTCTATCTCAAGATGTAATTTACAAAATCATATTGTAGTCTTAAAGAAAAATATTGCAATTTAAGTAATGACATATCTTTACTTCAAGGAATCCAAACTTCTATCGGTATGGACTATCTGATACTTACTCATAAAAATCTGTTTAAGACACTGAATAATGCTTGTACCCTCTTCTTGAGTTGAAGTTGATCCTTGTGAATCAGTTCTAATAATACAAAAAACATCACATGCAAAGAGAAGCAAAGTGAGTATATATATTAACTTGTTCTTCATATTTCATTCATTTTTTTTTTAAAAACACCAGTCTGATAAAATTAAAGCAAGACAAATTTGACTAAAACTTAATCAACAGAATTTAAAACTACTAAATTTGATTTTGAAAAAAATGTTTAACTAGGGTACAGACACAATATTGCTAATTTATGTACAAATTATTAAAAATATAATGAAACAAGACAAAACAGATGAAAGACCTTTCATTCTGCTGTGAAGCTTCTTGCATGATGTCAGGGTAGGTATTCACCATGGCCGTCATCAGTTTGTAGGCAGCACACCACTTTTCTTCCATCAGAAGTGTCATCACTCTTTCTGTCACACTAGAAATCAAAAGAAAAACTGTGTCATCATTTTTCAAAGGTTAAACAGTCGTTTACAATTTACCTATTAACAAAAGGAGTTTTAAACACACCTGTCTTGAGTGTCCTCATCAGTAATAACAATGTCTGGTTGGGTTTTCTCCTGTGATCCTTCCTCCTCAGATTCTGTCTTCTCTTCAGTGTCCTGTGAGTCTCCTTCATTAAGGAGAGCCTCCTTGATCATAATCTCAATCCTTTGCCAGTCATTCTCCAGCTTTTCTACTAATGGGTTACCTGTTAAACAAGACATGTGTTTAGGCACCAGCAGATATTACAAGTGTAATGAGACTGCAATACAAATAAGAATTCACGCCCAACATCACAACACTCACAGTTTACCTCCCAAAGCAATGTACTGATGGCAACATGAAATGGAAAATCAACATCAATTTTCAAGCTTCCAACCATCACAATGGTATAGCATTTAATACATATAGTATATAAATTAATAAAGGTAGAATTCAATCACAACATACCCAAGCGTTACCAATTAGTGGGTAATTTATTATGGTCGACTAGTTTCGCCTCTTGGGTGAAGCTTCTGATGTCCTGATGAAGCCTCACCCTAGAGGCGAAACTAGTCAACCATAATAAATTACCCACTAATTGGTAATGCTTGGGTATGTTGTGATTGAATTCTATCTTTATTAATTTTAATATTTTACTTCATCGCCCTGCATACCTCTTGGTATCCATACCCAACGCGAAGTACCCCACTGATCAACCCTCAAACTTGGAACTGACGATGGTTCTATTTTTTAGTTGTTAATATAGTATTATATAAGATATTATGTTAACTTAATTACATACTGGGCAATTCAATGAAATCATGTATTTGATAAGTAAAACATCAAACAGAGAGTAAACAGTCAGGTTGTTGATGGGTATCACGGAAACATTTATTACTAATTAAACAAGTTTTCAATAATTGACCACAATAGACAAACAATTCATTAATCAATGCCTGAATTTAGTAATAATATCACAAAAACGAACAAGGTGATGTTAAAATGGTAGTTGTCAAATTAAAGGCTACCAACCATTCTGCTGGACCAACAGAATTATATAAGAAACATTTCTCACAAATGACCAACAGATCTAGATTCTGTTGTAACTATAAGTACAATCGATGATAGCCAAGCCCACCAGTCGTAGCCACTGCATGATGTTAAATTACAGTAAATGTGGCACTGCCCTATAGGAAGGGCATTATTGTTAAAAAAAACAGACTTAGAAGCCTTTCACAACATAAAAAGGTCCAAAACAAAGAAATTTTATTAAAAAGAATCAGTTTCAAATTGTTTTAACATTAAGTTCAGATCCCTAACATTTGTATACCAATAGGTACTTTGAAGCTTTTCAAAAACTTGTCCATTAAACTTTACCACATTTGGGTGGTACAGACTGAACTACTGGTCAGCAAACTAAATGAATCAACTATTTTGATCCAATTATTACAGCAAGGGGAGCTTCTGCTTAAAACGGTACACATGTAGTATCATTGTTAAATATTGCATGTATTTTTTTCATTAGGAGCAATGCATACAATATTAAGGTGATGAAATATTAAATTTACATGTATACATGTTTATTATATAAAAGCTGTTATAAAGCACAACAGTGGAAAAAAATACTATTCAATGGTTAACAACCAAACAGCTCAGCAATATTGGTTCATGAAGTAACCCAATTGAAACGAAACAGTAATCTCAAAGTATTCATAATATCTCAAAAACTTGGGAATTCAGAATTCTTGTATAACCTGAAGACAATTTGTTATTAAGTTAATATGATTTAAGAAATGTTCTTCAAATCACTGATACAAACTTTGTCCGCCATTCTCTTCATCCTCTTTCATCAGCTGTTTCAACTTCTCTGCCTCGCTTTCATAATTCTGCTCCAATTCTTTCACTGAAAACTACACGATACAGTGAAAATTACATTTGGATCAATTGTTAAAACAAGAATACATGGAATTTTAAGTGGATATAATGATATCACTCACCTGGTATTCAATATATTTCACAAATTCATTAACATCTCACATCATCAACATTTAAAGGGTATATCCAATTAATTTAACCCAACATCAAATACCAGTTTGGATAATCAGAAGTAGTTTGGATGTTTTAACAAATTTGACACCTGTGATCTTGAATAAGCTTAAAGATTAATTCTTTTTCAATCTTTGCTGAGCCCCATTTCAGAAACCTAACAGTGAATTACCATGATTCTAGGTCTTTATTTTGATCAGAATTTGTGTGAGCATTATAACATCTTTGACCCATGTGACCTAAACCAAAGTGCAGAGGGCACACCAAGAGAATGTGTATGATGGATTGAAATAAAAAAATGAAGGAGGTGGCATGTCAGAATGGAAAGGCAGAAAAAAACACCCTGAAGAACCACATGTCAAAATGCCCTGATCACCACATACACTTGGATTCTTTCATCATTATTCAGTTACTTATTTTATTAATTGAAACAGCGTTTGATGACAAGGAATGTCATTACTTTGTCTTTGTGCAGGTAGTTTCTACAGGACTGGACTAAAGGGAAACTGTCATTACTTTGTCTTTTTGTGAATAATTTCTACAGGACTGGACTAAAGGGAAACTGTCATTACTTGATCTTTGTGAAGGTAGTTTTTACAAGACTGAATGGAAATATAGACAGGTTTGAGCCTTACCTTCGCTGCATATGGGTTACACTTGAACAAGTTTGTGATCAACTGGAGGGCCTGTTTCCGAACCGAGCTTGATTTATCCTTTAGCCGACCAACAACCAGAGTGGTCAAACTGACTTGTCTCCTCAGTGGAAGGCACTGGAAAAGCCATGCTTTTAATTGTTACAGAATTCTATAATTCATTAATCAATATAGATAGGAGCAGTCCAATGCTAGTGTTTACAACATTGTTCTAATTTTACTTCTGATGAAATAAAATTCTGTAGACTTTCAGGATAGATGTAATTCTACAATATTAATCATGTCCTTGTGTTGTGTATGAAACATGACAATACATACACTAATGCAAATGTTTCCTTTTATATGTAAAACACAATGTAACTTTACTCAATTATGCAATTTTACAGTTCATGTACAAGGCTCTATGCATGTAATATCTTTGAAGTGTTAGATTTTAAACAGCAATGACCAATGTCCCTAAAATAACATTAATACCACAGGGACAGCAAGTATTTTTTCAAAATCAAATTCTTTCCAAATGTAACTGTTTTCTTATAAAATGGTTCCTCCCATTGAAAGCTGTTTTATACTTGAGAAAACCAGCCTGTATCTCTATTGATTGTCCTGGTGACTCATTAGTTTGATCAGTGAGGTAACATTTACATTTTCATTTACTATGGCTGTCCAGATCTGCAGACATTTACTCCTGACATAGGCATTACAGTCATGGACATGTTCCTGAAATACAAAACCAAATTAAAAACTACAATTATCATCATAACAAATATTTTCTACAGGTGCTTAAGTGGCTCTAGTAATATACCGGTAAACCAATTTGTCACATGCAGACTTTAAGAACTTCTTTTATCTTCATAGATATTTTAAGTCTGACTGACAGAAAGGGCAGACATAGGTAACAATATATATATCCCTCCACTCATACGTTATTAGGGGGATGAAAAGGAAACATTCCATGCATTGTATTAAAGCCTGAAATCTTGTATCCATTTCACAAAAATCTTTTTCCAGGATTCAAGGCTGAACATAGATTTACACCATCTACACTGTGTAGGAATGAGTGAGAAACAGATATGTGAAAATTTACTGAAACTTCGGTCACAAGATATGTAGCCAGTGTTACAAAAAGACAGACATTTGACCACGTAACTTAAACTCAATCCCTTCTTTGTTTGAAGGGTATAAATCTAACATTTCCATGTTTGCAGTGATTATTTAATTATATTCTGTTTTATCTGTAAGTATGATCAGACCCCATTTCTAAGTCGGATCCAATTGTCTTTCAAAATTCAATGAAAGCAACTGCCTTGCTACAGTGAGTTTTAACATTACCGACTGGTCACACAAAAACAACATCACACACTGAAAGATTTCAGATCAATAATTGATTTGTCAAATCAAATCCTGGTTCACTGAACATCAGTACAGACATATTTTCTAAGAAAAGTTGATAGTCTGAGTAAAAGAATGTGCTATAGGCCAGGTTTATTGAGCTTATTTTGCTTTAAACAGTTGATAACCAGTGAAAAAAAAAATCAAATTAGTGCAGGTAAGAGAAGATGCCTTCACAGCAAAGCTTTGTTAACGTATCATAACAAATCTAATTTGCTTCTAAAAAACATTATCATTAAATGATCAATTCTGTTTTTAAATTTGATTGTATTCAATTTTCCACCTAACTGGTTAATTCTGACCAAATTTTGAACCAATTGTGAATGTTCAGAGCAGGAAAATGTTCTGCTGGTCTTACCTCCAGATGGTCAAGGAACTCGTCTCTGGTGGCTTTGGTCTTGTCATCCAAACCATCCTTGTTGAGGACCTTCATCAATATCTCCCCAATCATTCCCAGCACACAGTTCCTCATGACATATGGCTCAGTGTCAAGATGGCACAGCAACAGACTCATATTGGGAAGGACCAACGCAGGGATCCTGTCAGCTATCTCCACCAAGAAGGTGGAACAGTTGCGAGTCCCTGACGAGTCTTTTGCTGCGTCCTCTGGAGCAAGACGCCCAATCTCTCTGCAACAGTTTGTCAGTGTAAATATCTAAATCTAAAGAATGCTTTTCATTTCTTTCATTCAAGACTATTCCTACATTTAAATTATCAGAATTTGGAGTGCCTTATATTGCACTTGTAAATGCAAAATTTGCTACACATGAATGGATAATTAACATATCAGGCAAAATACTCAACGTAGATGATGTACTCTCTTTTTTTTTTAACACTCATGTCTGATTGGATCAACAACTTTTTTTCACATTGAGATTTAATGACAACTTTTTTAATAATCTTTCAAAGGTTAATTAATTGTAAAATCAGTATCAAGGAAGATTTCATTATGTCTGACCTACAATATTAAATGTAAGTCGAGACTTTATGGGCCGGAGTAATCATACAATGTATACATATTTGTCAATTTTCTCATCAAAAACTGATAACATAGATATTAAAAGCTCTGGTAGATTTTTACTTTCCAGTAGCTGCAGGCTAGCGACATAGACATTTTTACATCCCTGTCTGTACCTTGTAATTTCACACAGAACTGTTTTGACTCCAAATTCCTCTGTGATGACTTGTAGTGTCTGGGCCAGAGGAGCAACAAGGTGTTCAAAGTGCTGCACCAACTGTACTAGCTTTAGACTGCAGCCTAGGATCAATATAAAAAGTTTAATTTTCTCCTCGTTAACTAACTATAAAAGTTGTTATTTTGAGGTATTCTATTTTTCTACATTTTCGAGGATGGAATGAAGACAGTGAAAAAAGTTATCTTTGAAATATCACTAATAAAGACAACAATAGTCCATTTCATTCTCATTTTTTGTGTGAAAATTTGAACCGTTGAGAAAAACAACCTTTACAATATATCTTCAAAATGTTTTCATGGACGATGATCAAATTAAGTTGTACACTTGTGAATTGCCTTTGAAAACACATATTATGACATGTAGTGATTTTTTATGTAAATTAAAGGCACTTATAAAAGCAAGATGTATTCATTTTTTTCCAATTGCCAACTGAAGTTTTGTGAATATCTGAGTGACTTTACAAAACGAAGACAAATTACAATTCTGACATCAACATCTCTAAAATAAAGATGAATTTTACCTAAACTGTGGTTGTAGTTTTTCACCATCACAGCTATGATGTGATTCATTACTTGTCTTGTTTCCAATGCAGATGCATATGCTAGTCTTGGAGTTTCAAATAACTTGTAACAACAGTTTGTAACCAGACTGAAAAGCAATAGAAACAGGCATCATTCTACGTACGTCAACTCTGATCAAATTAATACATCAATATATCGTGCAAATATCTACTCTCTGATCACAGATTGAACGAATTTATGGAGTGTACTTAGAATAGTTTATTTTTCACAGAAAATATTATCAATTCTTTACCAATAAGATGAAAAATAACGATTGATAAATCTTCATCTTTGCTCCAAACAGATTCTCTATAAAAGGAATGTTTTGAATATATTTCATAGAGAACACGTATACAATGTAACTATAACAGGTCATATAATGGTGTATTTACTATCAAGGGTTATCTTTCTTGTTTTAGGTTGTTCTGGATATTCTGTTTTCCACAAGTATTTAAGTTCACTAATGAGACTGTGCAATCAGGGCTTATTTTATTTTGGACCAATCATGGGTCCCATTCCCAATTGAAATTAATGTATATTTAACCCAAGTCCCAAAATTTGCAATTAATACTCCCAACAAATTTCCTTCTCTGTGCATCAATTTTCTACCCCATAAAAGAACCTATCTGAAACCAGTGAAAAAATGTCCTGGTTTTCATGTGTAAGTGAGAGAGTTGAAACTATTGTCACCATGCTGTGTAATATAAATCACAGGACAGAGTCAATGTCAGTATACTAAAAAGAGCTTGGTCACTTCTTTGTATCCCTGGCTTGGATACCCCTCGTTGTAAGGGGCGATTGGAGTAAAGGGACAAACTAAAAATTAGAAATCAATTGCAACAAGTAAGGGGTATGTTGTTTCTTCTTGTTTATTGTTATGTTGACAGGTTTCACCAAAATTTAAGGGCTCTGTCAGGCCGACAACATAGAGAAATTTTCGACCTAAAGTACTAAATTCTGGGCACCTTTTCATTGTGGATAGCGATGTGTCATGTGACTTTAACATACTATCACCAGTGACATTATACAATAGTATTATGTGACTTTAACAATACCATCACCGTCGCATGGCTTCACTATCTATTCTGAGAGATGTTTACATGATGACCAATTACATCATAGTTATGCTATATCTTATTAATTTTAACAGTTAATTCTTACACCTTACTTTATTATGTTCATTCTCATACATGCATAGAGTTGGATTCCAATTTTATATCCCGGAGTTTTGTAATCATCAATTTATCAAAGTATTGGCATTTTTCATGAATTTGCAAAAAGAGTCATAAGAGACCTTTGACCTTTAACCTTGTAACAAAGTATTGTTTTTTTTATGAATTTGTAGAAAGTGTCATAAGAGACCTTTGACCCTTTAACCTTGTTTCAAAGTATTCATGTTTTTATAAAGCAGAAAGTGTCATAAGAGACCTTGTAACAAAGTATTGTTTTTTTTATGAATTTGTAGAAAGTGTCGTAAGAGATCTTTGACCCTTTAACCTTGTTTCAAAGTATTCGTGTTTTTATAAAGCAGAAAGTGTCATAAGAGACCTTGTAACAAAGTATTGTTTTTTTTATGAATTTGTAGAAAGTGTCATAAGAGATCTTTGACCCTTTAACCTTGTTTCAAAGTATTGGTGTTTTATGAATTTGCAGAAAGTGTCCTAAGTGACCTTTGACCCTTTAACATTGATTGATGACCACCGTAAGGTCATAAGGTACATTCACTGTTACCTAGATACAAGGAATTCTATCAAACACTGACAAGTAGTCAAGAACTGCTTTCTTGTTTTAATCAGCCATACTTGACAAATTCATCATCTGGTATTGGTGGGTCCCACAGCTGGTGAAGATTAAGTGAGACTAGGTGAAGCAGGGCCTTTAAGCCAATTGCTCTCTCTTCATCCCAATCCATTCCTGTGCTTGCCTTCTTCATTTTACTGGTCTTGGCACGACCCTGAACAAAAAAATGTAGCATCCTGCATCATTTTGTTTATAAAAGCCAGGTTTGAATAATTTTCTGCAGTAAAGACTAGTTTGAAAATATTTCCAGATAATGAACAGATACCTGGATTGAACTACAGCAATTCAAAACCTTACCTTTGCATTTACCAATTGTGTTGCACTTGGCTTAGAGTCATCTGCATCCAACATTTCCATGTACTGGCACAAAAGGTAGCACACCATCTTGACAGTATTGAGGCAGGCTTGTTTCTCCTCCCTAGCGGGAAGTACATCTCCCAGTACATTGACGAGTTCATTGGACAATGATTTTGCAACTAAGCAAAAAACAGATACCATTTTGATTAATTCTAATATCAAATAAGACAAGACAACGATTGAGATCAATATGTAATGGACATTTTGGAATGATAAAAATAACATCATTTTTATAACAAGAAAAATGAAGGGCCATACACCTGTAAATAGTATATATCAGTGACTTTTTTTATTAACTAGTTCAATTTTTCAAAATCTTATTGACCTATTATGGACAGATAAAATTGCTCCATTATTAAGATAACTTAAGTGATTATTTTTTAAAGTTGACAAGTCCAAAGGAAATTCACAAAATGATCTATTTCAGTTCATTTCTATGTAAAATATATAAGACACCATAATATTCAGCCACCTTCCAATAAGAAGAGACTGAAGTTCACACCTGTGAAATATCTTATTACATGGTAAATGACTTACTTTTCACAACAAGCTCCCAAGCATCCTCCTTCACGTCTTGAGAAATGTCTTTTTGTAAGCTTAAATAAACAGACAAGACGATAATTTTTTTGGTACAAAATTTAAGCAGAAAATTAATTAGATATTTTGTAAGTGCTTGATTTAAAATCATGGCATATGATATATTCAAAATTGCTGACCTCAACAATTAAAAAAAAAAAAGTCATTAACTTATCTATTTATGTTATTGATAAATTTTGTTCCTTGGGCATAATTAACGCAAAGTGAAAGATAAACATCCCTCTTAAGTGGTTAATAAGTGGAAGTGATTTTTGGGACTCAGATATTTGAGTCGTCGACTCATGTTTTTCCTGTTGGATTCTCTCAAATTCTGAGAACTCACTATATCTTTTAGTAATTTTAAATTGGTGTTCTGGACTCGTCTGAAAAAAAATCCTTCAAAAATTTCATGTGGAACTACATGTAGGATCCATTGAGGATGCACTGGGTATATGTGAGTCCTAACTAGCAATAGTAAATAGTGTCCAAACACAGAGAGGACAATAATATACTAAACACTTTTATTTGCTTTAGTATCTGCTTACCATCAGCAGCAACATACTTCCCACTGAAATTATCGAGTACTTTATAAGATTTTTTTCCTAATTTAGGATATTCTTCTATAAGTTGAAACTTTTTTCATGATTTAGAGTATTCTTTTATATGGTGAAACTTCAATTACAGGCTTTTCATAGCTAACTGACCAAATTAAGGGCATTAACAGGGCTAAACATTAAGTCTTCCCTTACTTATCAATGTCACACAGTTTTAAAACTTACCATAGGACACTGAATAGGACATCAAAATGTTCCAGAATTACACGAGCACCAGTAGATCTTAAGTTTGTCTTCAATTCTATAAATAGAAATTATAAAGGTATTGGTCAATACCTGAAAACACTACCTGCACCAGCTTAAGTCAAAATAACCACCACTTTTGTAATATAAATTATTAAAAATATCAACATCAAAGTATCAAATTATGTGTAAATGTAACAGAGGTCATTATTTATTTCAACTATCTTCTACTGGTATGTTTCCCATTTTTTCATCCTGCCATTTTTTTCCATCCACACATAAGCCGCATGACTTGTGAGGAAAAAAGGTATGGCTTATAATCCAGAAAATATGGAAGTCAAATTGATGTGAGTTTGGTGATTTTATTCTAGAGACCAAGATAATACCATGTGAAGAATCCTGACGTGGGGAATTAATGGAGTCATTCAACTTTTGTCTGTCAATTTTGTTTACCTCATTATTAAAGGGATATTCCGCACAAGTTAGGATTTCATAAAATGTTTTTGAAGAAAATTGTACAAAATTATGTACTCTTGTTCTAATATGGAAATTGTAACCTTGATTTACTATTTTAATAAACGTATGGTATTTAATTTGAGGAAATTCTTTATAGATTGATTTACAAACGTTCATACGGCTCTGATTGTGTTGTTATTGAAATATTCATGTAAATTATAAAATCGACAGAAAATAAATAAAGTTAAGAAAATGCAACCCCAGCAGATATTTTATCGAACAGTATACACACTTGTGTATTACCTAATACTCTGCATAAAATCATTGATCAAGTGATTCTTCAGTTCTGGATTTCTTGAAGCTTTATAGAGAGTTAAATTCATATTGGCTGAGACTATTTCCACATGTTCGAACTGACCACAGAAGAAATATTTTAAATTCTAATATTTATAGTTTTAAAAGTCATTAGAATGAGTTCTTAAAACATACAAAACAGTCAGAAAATTGGCAGAATATCCCTTTCAGATTGCGACCTCTTTAAACAGAATAAGATTTCAACTTATGGATTTTTTACACACTAAATTGAATGTGAAATATAAATGCAGATATGAAAGAAAATGCAAAGTGATTATTTGCTTTCCTATGAAATTTAAAGTTCTTCTTAGAATGTGAAGTTCAATCCGAATCCTTCACAGTAGAAAGCCTCTTGACAAGATTTTTGTCAAATAATCAACAATAACCTAAAACCCTGAAACTCAAACCAAACTTGTCAAAGATATTAAAGTTCTTTACGAGTGTCTGACATCTGATCAAAATGTGTAGCAAATTATTTCTTGTTTTTTTCTTTTCTTTTTTCATCGTTTGGCCAACTGATTATTAAGATGATACAACTGTAACCTACAATCATACAATGATACATTTATAAACCTGACAATACGTGTATGAAGCAATTTCCTGAAAACAAAAGGTATCTTAGATAATTAACTATAAACTTTGTCTACGTACCATGTAATGCACCAGTCAACTCCCTCGGTGATAACACCTCATCCACAACAAACTGGGACACATTTGTTTTGTTCAGCAAGTCATCTCGGGCAACAGGAATTAGAAATTCAAAGCTCATGGTGGCTGTAATGTATATATAAATAATTTAAGTTTGTTTTGGACATAAATTACTTTTTACAAATAAGTATTTATTATAGAATTGAAGTTCTTATGACACAACCACTAGAAGTGTGACATTTCAATGACTACACAGTCACCTTCATCAGACGAATGACAAGTGTGAAGTATACTAGCACTGACATACATAGTGTATTAGATGGTACAGAATCGACCAACTTTTTTGGCTGCACTATAATCCTATGCACACTAAGGTAGAAAATGTTCCAAAGTAGTATTTATCTTATTTAAAATAATTCAAGATGTTTGGTCATTTACAAGATATCTTGATCTGTTATAATATGTCATCTTATTTATGTCAGAGATCCTTTTTCTAGTTAACATGTTAATGATAACTAAAAATGATTAATGACATCACCATATATAATATTTATGATACATAGAAAATAATGCAAAGAAAAGTAAAAACATTTTGAAGATAATTTTACATGGCATTCAATAGTCAGACACAGATAAGGATGAGCTATAAATCTGATTGGGTTTTCCTTGAGTACTCAGGTTTCCTTCAAAAGTAAGATCCTTTGGGCGCTTCTGTCCAGGCTAACTAAGTTTCGAATAATTTGTTTTGCAGTTAATGTGAAATAGTTTGATTAAATTATGTTGAAATTGAAAAAAGAAAAAGAAAAAAAGAAAAGGACCAATAGCAAACATGAAGTAATATGAATGATTTGGCTGGTTGATCAAGCATATTGATAAAATTTCTTGCCATCAATGACAGCTCTAATTTTAGAGCTCTTTATGAACGAAAACACAGAAAATCGCCACAGAGGAGTATGTCTGTATATATAGGATGGGCTTGAGGCATCAAAAGTAAATTTGAATAGTCAATTCAATGAAGGAATTTGGATAAAAAAAATAAACTAAATGGCAAAAATTTATGTACCACAAGTACTGTACTCTTAAAACTGTCACTTATTTCTTGGGATGAACACCGATTATCCACGACCAATTTTTAGCAATTAACCGTTACAAGACAAAACACATAAAAGGAACATATATATGCATTTTTTAGTCTGGTAATACATAAATTCACATATCCTTACAAGTTATCAAAAAGACAACAACACCGATTTCGTTTCTTCTAAGTTGTCGTTCGAAGTTTCCGCCTTTTAGCCCGCATATGCCAATAGCCAATCAAATCAAAGTGTAATAATTTGCCCGTCGATTTATTTTCATTTCATTTCAAAAAATACTATTCGTGTAAACTACAACAAAGAAAAAAGAAATCTAAGAATTGTTTTAGGTGCTAGGTGTGTATGCTTTAATTCATACACACATTTTTGCCTGGAAATTTACGTCAACTTCGAGCCTCCTCGACGAGACCGGAAGTTAGATTGTAGTCTTTGAACTTTTAATTTTTACCGCCTGTGAATCAAGCATGCGGCTTGATTTTAGGATTTTACTTGTGATTTTTATTTTCTCGCTTTTTATTATTTATATTTTATCGTTTTATAGTATAATTTCGTTTTTAATTGCCACTTTTATTTGTATCTTTATCCTCATCATCGGCAGGCGCTCAAACCGAGAACGTTGTGCAACGAAGCTGAAGTCACCGGCAAATTTAGAAGTTGCATCGTCGTCTATAAAAAAGAAAAAGAAAACTTTGTCACCATCTCCACTTTCAAGGAGCAAATATAATCAACATTCAAAGGATATTTCTATCGATGAAAATATGCATACTAATGGAGTTTCGAATTCCTCTTTCATCGATAAAAAGTTTGACAGGTCGTTTGAATGGCGGTCACCTGTCGGTTCTCCCGGTATACGTTCTCGTGGTGTAGCATCGCCCGTTGTTGGAACAGGATTAAGAACTCGAAATGCAAGTCAGCTCATTTCCAGAAGACATTCCTTTTCTGTGAAATCCGCAGACACTACAACAAGTCCTGCTAAACATTATAGTAATAACAATTCAAGAATACCATTTTTACCAACTGTCAAAAGAGCACTGGGACTTGAAACAATAGTCAGCCCCAGGTAAGATTGTATACCGCCGGTATTTATCATTCACTTTGAAATACCCACGAGATAGTAATATCGCAAGAAATGTAAACAGATTGAAATTGATTAATTTCCCTAATGACAAAGAAAATTGAAATTGATAAATATAAGAATCTACTTTCGTTAAATTTACATTCCATGACATGTTAACTGGATAATGGTCCTTTGCTCTGTTCTTAACCAATTTGCCATCTTCCATTTTAATTACTAAATGAGTGTGTTAAAGAGGTGTTATCAATGGGTACAAGTCAATCAAAACCTCTGCCTGACGCACAGTCTTTTTTAATATTTGCAAAGTATTTACATTTTATTTATAACTTTTCTATAACTCTTGTCTTTATATGGCCAAGTTTTACTGAACGTCATTAGATAAAAATGGAGTAATAGAAAAATGTCAAATTTTTGGCACATTTTATTTCCATTTAGTAAATTTATTTTTTCTTGTGTAGATACATTGGTAAAGATGATAATAGCAGTTATACAAGTCACCCTGAGACTGCCTCTCCAGGGTTTGTCCCTGCTGTTCGACTTTCCAACCATGACCGCCATCCACTCTCCAAAGTACGGTCCTCTGTTGTGCGAAGTCCAAATACTATAAAGATAGCTCCCCCAGATCCTCACAAGCTTGGCAGTCCAAGGTATGGTTTTTTTTTTTTGCGTTTCCTGGTTTTTTTGTAAATATACATCAGCTGGATCCCTACTTCATTTACAATTCGGATCAGTGGCTAATTATTTAAGATATCAGCTACATCGAAAGGTCTGTAGGATTTTAACCCAGTAATGGATTATGGATTTTAACCAATTTCCCATCACAACAACAACTGACTATAAATCTTGGTCAGGAATGGCAATATACATACCCTGTTTATGTTTCCAACAACAAGAGCAAATGTTCCAATTCTACAGTAAGAAATACATTCCCAAACCTTATTAGAAATGCAAACAATACAATCAAGATTTTGAACAAGCAGGATATCAATACTCTAGATTTTTCCTCCAAACAATGTTTCCCTGTCAATACCAGTTCACATGTTTTAATTTCACTAAACATAATTTATGACCAATTATCCCAAACTGACCAGTGAAATTCAGTCTGACAAAAATTAATTTATGTTGCACAGGACTGATGGTAATTTTCTTCAAAACAATCCCTCATCTATACACAAATTAAAAAGGCTTCCTTCTCATGGTTCTAGATGATAAATATACCTTAGTTGTTATGAATGGTTGTCATATCACTCAGACCTTTGTCTTGCAGGTGTGGTAACACACATCACACCAAAGATTTTGTGAATACATCGTGCGCACACATACACACACGATACAATATCATGTGTACAATTGTACAAAAGGATTGGACGTTTTGCATTTTTTGTTTTTTGCATTAATTAATTTTATCACATATAGTTTCACACCTCAGAAAGTGGCTAGTAATGGTGCCGATCACATGGATATTGAAATTGATCGGGTATGATTATGACAGGTCCATTTTAACAAACACAGCACATAACACTGGGTTTGCATTAATTAATTTTATCACATAAAGTTTCACATCTCAGAAAGTGGCCAGTAATGGTGCCTTGACTACAATGAACGGCAGGCCACCTCCACCTCGCCACGGGTATGTTCATGACAGGTAACCAGACTCCTACTTTCACTACACAGCCTACTACAAAAAAATTATGCATAAAGATTTACCTGAGCATATATTTTTTGCTTAAAAAATTAATGAAAAATGAGAGAAATACAGACATAATGAAAAATGTCCTTTTCCTTTCTGTCGATATGAGATTTTGAAAGAATCATTGCTTTGACATAAAGAGATGTCCATTTAATGTATACATATATAACATGCGGCCGTACACTATGGTTGGTAACGTTTGGCTCTTTGTAAACAAAACAGTGTGCGATAGCTTATTTCATCCAATTTTCCTTTTGTGTGCACATCACACATTGTGTTATGTTGTGCGATCCCACAACTGTATATATAATACGAATCAGCCAACAGTCACATCAGCCACAATATTTAGTGGGTTGCCCACTTCTCATCACTTTGTTCAAGCATTTAGAAAAATTCTTAATAGTTCTTGAATTCACTTGTTTAAATTCTGCAATTTTGCTAATAGATAGACTGTGTTCTGACAATTTCACAAAATTTTCTTTCATCTCAGGTGTCAATTATATATAAGTGGCCTCTGACAGCCATTGACCAGAACAGACAACACAAATCTTATGTCAGGGGTCATTACTCTAATTAGGATACACATGCTTGCTTACACTAAACCCACTATTTTGTGTGTTGATTTTACAGGGATACAGGACACTGGAACCAAACTATTGTTAATACAATAACCAAAGTTTTTATCAGCGACATGACTGTTTTGCATTAATACTGACAGCCAGTAGCTGTAATAGTAATTAAGAAAGATTAAAATTTATATTTGTAATTTTCAAAATTTGTTATATGTTGAACATAAATTTTTTTTAACGACTATCTGTCTACTCTGTGATCACATTGGAAGTGATTTCATGACTGTATACATCAACTCCCGATTATTTATGTATACCAAATTTTGTCTGTAAATCAAGTTTCAACTCCATTTGCTCTTATTGTGTGCTTGAGTTTGATGTAAATACCTAGCTTTAGTGTCATTGTGCTGTACAGTTGTATGAAAACAGTATCCTTGGTTATCATTCCATGTTATCTTTCAACCTTTTTTGCCTCCAATATTTTTCATGTGTTAATTACTACTAATCTACAAAATATGTATGACATTTGGCAGGGTGCTAGAAGTTAGAAGGAAAGATCCAGTGACAGATGAGAACAGGAAGACGCCAGACATGCAATCTGTTCTTACTGCTCTCAAAGAAAAAAGGTAATGTATTATAAATACTTTGGCATTTATCCTTATTTCTGACACAAAGTCAAGGGTTTGGTTTATAAATACAGGACCATGAAATAATGCTGATTTGAAATCTTACTTAACATATAGGTGGACTTGCTTCGGGACAAATACATATATTCATGAGCAACAGAAAATACATATCATTGTTAAGTTAATGTAACCTTGTAGGTGATGCAATTTTCATTTGGAAAATCAGAAAAAATTGTCACCGTCTGTAAGCAGATGTTGGACTAACATTGAATTTTTAGGAAAGGAAGCCAGTGCATGCATTTTCATCAAAGGAGTTACAATAGTGTCTTCAGTGGACTGTTTCTATACATTCTGCAAAATTGTTTTCTCAGTAAATTTGGAAAAAGCACCTTGGGTGAAATTAAGAAAAAATCCTCAACATATTGGCAAAATATTCCTATATAGAAAAACAAATAAAATTAACATTTAGGCCGACACCTGTTGAAAGGCCTGCCATTTCACATATGTCAGTTTGAACTGAAACATTTAGTCTGTGTTCGCCCAACATTTCAAAGAAAGTGCAATAGCAACAATAGGACCTTGATAACATTGCAGAATAGTTTCAGAATAGAAGAAGTGATATCTAGTTACCACTTGACTAGACATACCATCCTGACATCTAGATCAGAAAAGTGTACAATCACGATTTCCCTTCCACTCCTCAGATTTTAATAGGCAAATGGATAGTTTTGAATTGAGAGTGTATTTCATCACTGCATCAACAAATTATTCTACATTGATTATAAATGTAATATTTTAACAGAAGAAAGAGAACAGCTGGCCCTGCAGAGGAGGATACCCATTGTCCTGAAGTACAGATCCAGAAATCCAAGAGAAGGTAAAATGAAATTTTGAGTTGTCATATGAATGGTTAAAGAAAGGGACCACAGGTAACTAAGGTAGTACAGAATGTTATGGGAAAAATTATTTTCAGCTCAACAGCTACTATTTACTGTGAGCTAATGTTGTTCCCCTGATGTCCTCCATCATCACTTCGGTTTTTTAAGTTAACATCCCACACTCTGTATATTGAGAATTTTTCATTTGCTGCTGTAGTTGAGCTTGGCAATCATTGATTTAACTTATACTAGAAGGATTCTTATTCACCAGTCCCTAATAGCTTACTAGAATTTGTCTGGATATCTGTTAAACTTTGATTAAGGTTTTAGGTAAAATTATTGAAAGGCTTACCTGTCATGTAATACTTATATAAATCTTCAGGTGTCTACCATGGAAACTGCAGGGTGAAAATGACAGTTATTTCTCTCTCTGTCATTTTCCCCATGGTCAATAAATGGCGGGTAGTTCAGATCACTCTGCATTCACAGTCTGTGATCCATTTGGCCATCCATATACAATTCTTTATCTTATTTTATATGTGGGAAAATACAGCGTTGATCTTTCACATATATCATATGAATTGATATCATATTGCTATGAGAGGACAGAAATCTGGTCAACATGTATTACATAATGTGATAAACAGGTTTTGTCTCATCTCTGAGGTTACTAGCAGAGTTGGTTGTAATTGAATAAGAAGTCAACTGAGCCTAAGCACTACCTTGAAGCCAACATAACTTAAAAATTGTGTTTTGTAATGGTTGTAATATTTTGCTTTTCAATTTGCCGTGGTGCGGCGTCTGTCATCTGTCCGTTGCCGTCCAGCATTAACTTCTCGATTCAAACAATTTCTTCTCAGTAACGGAAAGGCAGAGGGTATTGGTATTAGGCTTCCAGCATGCTAGGATGAAGGGCTACCAACTTTGTTCAAATTAATGACCTTGACCCACTTTCAAGGTCACAGGAGTTGGATGTCTTCAAACATCATCTTCTCAATAAGAGAAAGGCCAAGGATAACGATATTGGGCCTTTTGCATACAGGCAGAAAGAGCTACCAAGATTGTCAAATTAATAGCCTTTGCCCACTTTCAAGGTCACAGAGGCCAAATGTATTAAAATCTTGAAAGAACTTCTCAGTAACTAAAAGGCACAGGGTACTGATATTAGGTATGTAGCTTGCTGGGATAAGGGGCTAACAAATTAGGTAAAATGAATGACCTTGACCCACTGTTAAGGTTATATGGGTCAAATGTATGGACATCTTCTAAAAACTTCTTCCCATTAAATCAAAGACCCGGGTACTGATATTAGGTCTGTTGCTGGATGAAGTGCTACCAAGTTTGTTCAAATGAACGACCTTGACCTAGGTTTCATTGTCAAATTTGTTTTAACATTTAAACAGGTTTTTCTGGTGAACTAAGAGGCCCGAAGGCATGATATTTGGCGGGGATGAAACCTTTCCATGTTTGCAAAAATAAATGACCTTGACCGATGTTGAGGGTCACAGGGGTCAAATTTGTTAACGCCTTTAAAAAACTTCTAATAAAATAAAAGGCGTAGAGGCATGGTATTTGGCTGGTTATTTCTTAGGATGAAGCCAGACGAAGTTGCGAAAATAAATGACCATTACCTTTGTTCAAGGTCACAGGGGACAAATTTGTTAAAACTTGTAATTGACCTCTCATGAACTTAAAGGCCTTGGGGTATGATATTAGACTGGTATATATATACACCGGGTGAGTGCTGCAGGCCCATTGGGCCTCTTGTTTTATGAATTTTCTTTTAGGTATTCAGAACAGTTAGAGAACGATAGACCATTATTTTTTCATATATGATGAAGATAGTTTTAGAAATTATTGAAATAAGTTAAAAAAAAAATTTGTTCTACAGACGACAGGAAAGTCAACAGTCGAATGCTTCCACCTCATCATTACCACCCCTACCTGCCTCCCTTCCAGACCTTTCTGTTTCTGATTACAATATACCTCGTCTGGAAACACCTTCCTTGAAAAGGGCAGCTGCCCCAGAGGTTTCAGAATGGGAGGGAAGAGGAAATAATGCCAAGCGTCTTCGTCAGGAGGGGCGATACAACTCCATCTCTAGCTCACTCAGTTCCAGTCGTTACCTTGAGAGACACAATCGCAGTTACAGCCCCAGACCAGACTGGTCCCAGGTAAGCATTTGATAAGACAACGATCAAGATTGAAGGATTATGATTAATATTCAAAATAAATAAAATCTATTTAATATTTGAATCCATTTCCTTAATGTTTTCTATTTTTCCCCCTTGACAATAACTTTCACTTCCTTTCATATTTTTTTCACCTCCTTCAAAATGTCTTGTGAAAAATGAGACACTGCATGGCACAGCATTATTTATTGGTTGTTCCAGAAGCAGTGTCTACTTAGAGGTGTTAACTACTTTACACTTTTGATTTATCATGTAAAAGTTTCATTTCTAAGAAAAATTGAAATTAAAATGTAATTTTGTGTACGATTTCTATGGTTGCTTGAAGGAATCTACAGCTGAATTGAAACGAGCTATCCAAAGGGAAATCAACAAAATTACCCAGGAAATGCCGAGTGATTTAGTCACTAGTCTACGAGTAAGATTATACTGTAGTGTCTCCATGATTCAAACAGCTATACTAACATTGGGCGCTATAAACTGCCTAAACACTGATATTATCTACCCTATGATTATCATAACCTATCTTCCTCAGACAAGTGATCTGCTTGCAGTGATAAACCCAAACCAACTTGATGACTGTGTTCTCATTTTTTCCTGATCAGAATAAAGGGAAATATGCAAGGGATCCAAAACATTTTAAAGATAGTATTGCATAATTTGGAAAGACAGATGAAAAAATAAAAAAGAAATTGACATCAACATGCATTTATCTATTATTAGCCCATCATCATTAGATGGTGAGCTGTTCAAATCACTCTATGTTTGTGCTACATCATCTGTCCTTAAACAGATATTGTTATCTTTATTTCTGAGACATACCGGATGGATCTTTTTCAAATTTCATATGAAGGTTCCTCTTGGTACCTAGTTCGGCCATTTTGATTTTGAGACAGGTTAGGAAAACAGCTTGGATTTTAAATTAAAAGTTGTTATCAGTATTTGTTGAGGATGGAATAGATCTTTCTCAATATCATATGTAGGTTCCCTTCAGTCCCTAGTCATGCCCTTTTGATTTTGGGACTGATCAGAAAAGAAAATAGCCGACATGCGGCCATCTTGGATTTAATAATGAAAGTTTGTTATCTCCAGTTCTTGTGAAATACTGGATACATCCTTTTCAAATTTCATATGTACTTTTCCCTTGGTACATAATTGTGCATTTTTTTTATTTTGGAACTGGTCAGAAAAGCAAAATGGCTGCCAGGTCACTATTGTTGACTTTGACTATGAAAGTTTGTTATTGCTACTTCTTGAGAACAACTGGATGGATCTTTTCTTAAATTTCATATTCATTTTTCTGTTGGTCCATAGATACTTCTTGATATTGAAACTGATCAGAAAAACAAAATGGATAAAAGTCTCAAATTTTTATATAGTTAAGAGCAGATAAAATAGAAGAGAAAAGAATAGAGAGATCCAGCTTTTAGAACAAATGAAAATCAGACTAGAGTGTGTCAAGATCCCTCTTGTGTCTCTTGTTCTTGCATTTCTGCCTTGTTAGAATTAATTATCAGCTCAATTAAAACATGCTTTTGTATGGGCTCCCACAATATATTGTTTTTACACTCACCTTAATCTATATCAACTTATTCATATATCAAAATACAAATCACACTAGATTTCAGGCTGATTTTGGTGTGAAAGAATTATCCTTGTTTAATAACTTTATCTAGAACAAGACATCCAACAATACTTCCTGTTCAGAAGATGAGAAACTTATGATATAGTGCCTTATGTTAGTGCTTTTTTACACTAGCCAATAAGACTAATTTGAAACAGTCAAACAAAAGATATCCTCAAATAAGCCCTCTTCTTCATTTTGGAAGGATCATCAATTTTAAAACCATAAGCTTAAATTATTTTACAAATCAACTTTCCCATAACCAATATACTGAATATTTACTCTGGGCAGGGGATTTCATAAAGGATAAATTTAGATTTCTCAGTCCTCTCAAAAGTAGTGTAAAACCAGTCTTGAGAGTGTGCGTTATTCATTCATTGCTGTGTTATCAAAAGTGCCTCCTTAAAAAGGGGTGTGCTTTTGACAATTTTGAAGTCATCAGTATTATTAAAATCTTTGCTAGCCAAGGGTGTTCAACACTTGATTAAAATTGGAAAATAAGGCATTGTTATTAAAAGGCCGATAATTATACATCAAAAATTAATTTGAAAACTTTCAGGAATATAAAAAGCAACCTCTTGTTATTTCAAAAGCACAAAGAGCTGTTTTTGTCGAAATAAAGTAGCAGGCATTATATTTCCATGTGTTTTGGGACTTTAGTGGACAATATTCAATCATCAGTAAATACATACAGATTAAAGATTTGAAATATTTTCTATAATGCAAACATACAAATATTTTTCTGTAAACCTTAAGACAGATTAGAATCAATAATCATTTGATTAATGTGGGTTCAATTCTTGATTATGAAAATAGATTTCCATCACTAGCTAAAATTAATCTATATATAATACTAAAAGCAGCTGTGTAAAAATTACTGACAAGACAAGTGTAACAGTAACAATCTACATTATTACTAATGCTTGTGATAAAAAATTCTATTTACTAATATTACAATATAAAGCCTAAATTGAGAAGGGAAATGTTGTTTACTGATGGTAAACTTTTGGTGAGGCTAAACAAAATGAAATAAATATTGTTGAACCTATATAAAAATTATGTTTGTGATAATAAATTAAGAGTTCAATCTATAAGAGTTGACATTGTCCAAAATCATTCATGAATAAGTGTTAAAAAATGTCCTTACAAGGTGAGATATGAAAGAAATCACACTGAATCAACGCGGACATGTGATTTGGCTGAATCATTTGTCAATGATGGTCATTTACCGTCCTTGTACAGAGTGAACACACTGAACAATAGATACAACAATATCTCATCAATAGTTAGGCATATGTACAATCTGTAAATGTATTCAAACTTTCCAAATTATTAGTGAAACAAAAAGAAGGGGTTTGAACAATCACTAGATAGAAAATTTAATTGTTTTTCTCCGAAAAAAATGTGTGTTTGATCTTCCCACCTTTTCAAGCTGACCAGAGGTTTACCATACAGAGTGAGACTATTATCTTGCTGAGATGTGATTGCTGAGGCATTAAAGATGTTTACAAGTGAGAATGGAACTTCGACTGTTTCTCAACTGGAGCTAAAGAAATTATATACTGATAATCTGCTGTTGTAATCTAACAATGCTTTTGCTTTACCTAATTATCAACATCAGCTTATCCACTGTAGAGGCTAGTGCTAACACATATTGCTAGGTATGATTAGTGTATTGTACACAGCTGGGCTGTGTTGTAGAAATCTAGTCATGATTCACTTCCTGGACAATGAAGATACACCAAACCATATAAAACTACCCGTCAGAAATTATCTAATTTTGAAATTGCATTAATTGCTAATTAGCATGGAACATAAATATGAATAAGGCTTGAAAATGTAATTTCTAGCTATTGTTCAAAAGTGATTGTAATTTTCTAAGACAAGGTTAGCATGAAGTTTTGTTATTTCACCAGTCTCATGAACAATAAAATTTTTGTGTTACAGCTACATATCATGATGCAGGTGTTCTTTAGTAATCACTTTTTTTTCCTTCTGTCTCATCATCCGTTTACTGCAGATGATCTTGTTGTACATGAAACTGTGATTTTGAACATTGATGGAAGTGGAAGAGTTTTACATGTATGTCACTTTTTTGCTGAATCAGATACACAACTTTAACCCAAAGAAACAGCTTAAAAAAGGAAAAGTAGTACACTTAATCTCACATGTTTATAAATTTGTCAGTGTGAACAACATTACATTGACATTATTAATATGTCATTGATTTAACTTCTTACATCCCTTAATTGATTTATCTAGTTTATAGTATTTCTGTTTTTCAGCTGCACTGTGAGGGAGCACAAGACAAAAATGGCAAAGAAAATGCGGATATTCCAGTCAGCAGCTCGACTCAGGATCCAGATTCCTCATTGTCTGCTCTTCAGAGGTACCATTATAATTTTCACCTGTTTACCTACAGAAGAGATAGAATGTATAGCATCAGAGTTTGGAAAGTATTAAGGATCCTACTCAAATTTGTCGCCTTGCTTGAGGGTTTTTCTCTGCTGTTCAAGTTTACATGATGTAGGGAAAACATTTGAAAGGTTAAAGAACATAAAAAACAATTGTTCATTATTTATTTCTATTTTAGAATACTATATTGAGATAACATGACATGGCATGGAATCATATTTAGCTCACCTGGTCCAAAAGTCTTTATAATCCTACTTTTCCTGTAAGAATGAATGGCTATTGCCCAAATGTGGTCTTAAGCATTCTTTGGTGAAGGGGAATCAATCTTGTATTACTGTTAGGTCTCTGCCCCCTGAGGCAGGAGGGGCATGGCCCAATAAGAGATATAGAATAAAATCCTCAAAATCCTACTCCTGTAGGGATGAATGTTTTTTGCCCAAATTTGGTAAGAAGCATCTTTGGATGAATGGTAACCAAGTTTGTATAAGTATTGGTTCTCAGCCCTCAGGTTAGTGAGGGATGGGGCCAAAAAGAGCCAAGTTCTTTGAAAGTTTATCATTCTACAGTGGGACCCAATTATTTTTCATATTTCACATTTCTATGTTAAATGACTTAATAGCTGAAGTAGCCAGATGAGTGATGCAGGCCTTTTTAGCCTCCTGTCTGTACAATAACTCCTATCGATGGTAACACCCATTCAGGATAGTTTTTGTTTTTAATGAATTTTTGTAAAAACTTTCAATCTCATCAGAGCCGAAACAGTGATGTTGACACCAACTTTGGAGAAAGAGGACCACTCACTAGATGCTTCTGCATCAGATACTTCTTTACTGGACCAATCAAAGGTTAGTTCTCTTGTCATTGTTTCATGGAGGCAATTATCTACTATTATTGTTCAGTGTTTTGTTAAAGCTATTGTGTGATGTCTCTTTTTTCATGAAACCTTGTGTCTTATGTCATTGTTTTGTGACACCTTTTGTCTGATGTCAGTATTTTATGAAAGCTATTGTACAAATTGTCTCTTTATACACTAAACAGTGGGCGCTGGGTCTGTGTATACACTATATAGACAGTCACTGGGTCTGTGTATACACTATATAGATAGACACTGGGTCTGTGTATACACTATATAGACAGTCACTGGGTCTGTGTATACACTATATAGACAGTCACTGGGTCTGTGTATACACTATATAGACAGTCACTGGGTCTGTGTATACACTATATAGACAGTCACTGGGTCTGTGTATACACTATATATAGACAGTCACTGGGTCTGTATATACACTATATAGTCAGTCACTGGGTCTGTGTATACACTATATATAGACAGTCACTGGGTCTGTGTATACACTATATAGACAGTCACTGGGTCTGTGTATACACTATATAGACAGTCACTGGGTCTGTGTATACACTATATAGACAGTCATTGGGTCTGTGTATACACTATATATAGACAGTCACTGGGTCTGTATATATACTATATAGTCAGTCACTGGGTCTGTGTATACACTATATAGTCAGTCACTGGGTCTGTGTACTGTGTATACACTATATATAGACAGTCACTGGGTCTGTGTATACACTATATAGTCAGTCACTGGGTCTGTGTATACACTATATAGATAGTCACTGGGTCTGTGTATACACTATATAGACAGTCACTGGGTCTGTGTATACACTACATAGACAGTCACTGGGTCTGTGTATACACTATATAGACAGTCACTGGGTCTGTGTATACACTACAAAGACAGTCACTGGGTCTGTGTATACACTATATAGACAGTCACTGGGTCTGTGTATACACTATATATAGACAGTCACTGGGTCTGTGTATACACTATATAGACAGTCACTGGGTCTGTGTATACACTATATAGTCAGTCACTGGGTCTGAGTATACACTATATAGACAGTCACTGGGTCTGTGTATACACTATATATAGACAGTCACTGGGTCTGTATATACACTATATAGACAGTCACTGGGTCTGTGTATACACTATATAGACAGTCACTTTGTCTCTATACACTATACAAATGGTTGGTGGGTCTCTCTATATACTGTTATTGACAGATGGTTGCTTCATGCTAGTTTTGGTTTTATCTTGTGTTACCTTGTGATAGTGATGAGAATTGTATGGAGAAGCTACTTGAAAAGACCATCTTGGCAGGAACAATATTGATACATAAACCAGTGTCAGAGCAGGTGTACACCCGATCATGGCTAGTGGTAAAATATGTAATCCATGTATACTGTTTACCCTTTTGGCATAAGTAGCTATCAAATTATATTGAGGCACAGATTGTGGCACATATAAGAATCCAGCTTATTACAATTTAAATGATAACATACATTATCATCAAGAATATTTTTTCTTTCAGAACAAATCGATGAACACAAGACAAAAAGTGACCTTGAACAAGAGTTTCTCTGTTCGTAAACGTCAGATGTCTCTCTATACAGGCCTCAACAAGTCCTTTTCAAAAGTAAGTACAACATCCGTTTTCTTTGGGTACAAGAGACATTTCATTAGGATGAAAGTCCAGGTCATATGTCTCTATACAGGCTAAATCAGGTCCTTTCAGGATATATAGGTCAGATGTCGCTACAGGCAGCAACAAATTCTTTCAGGATAAATGTAGGTCAGCTGTCCCTATGTACAGACCTCAACCAATAGATCATATTTTATTTAAAGCAATGTTGACCAATGACTGATCATCCAGCTCAATAGTGCTATTATTTGTCACATATTCTGATACATGAAAACAGAGAAAAACTGACAGATTTCACAGATGAATTCAACACACACAGGTCAAGTTATAAATAGCAGTAGAACGGAGCCAAGGCAGTACCTCTGTTTCTGAGTAACTCTTTCTTGCTAAATGTATTCAAATGTGTGAAATGTCATTGTGTTCATTACAGGTACCCAAGTCTAACGTTGTAGCCTGTATGGAGGATTATGAAGCGGACCGTGAGGCAGAGCAGCGACGAGTTGAACAAATGCTGGAGGACATAGTATCCAGTGAAGAGACCAATAAAAACACTACAAAAGGTTAGTATTTAGGAACAACATCAAATCAGGAGGTTTTAAGGGTGTGAACAGGGAAGTCAGAATTTGAAATAACTGGTAAATGTATTTAGATATGAACTGAGGAAAAGTTCTGAGATTAGATATATTTACAATTACTATTGTAATTAACTACATAACTCTGTGATTCTCATTATCATTATACATAGATAATGATAGTTTCCTTGGCACATGTTAAGATGTTATGAATGAAGGACTATAACATGATGTCAATGAATCACCCTTGGCTTGAATTTCCTACATTTAAAATTCCCCTGCAAAATATGCCAGTCTTTTCAGGTTTTCTTTTTCTATTAGTTTAACTGATATATGAATATAGAAAATTGTTGTTATTTTTGTGGTTGTGGAAAAACTAAAACAGCTGTTCCATGATGATTGGTTTGCCCATCAAACTACATGTTTTCATCGCTTTTGTGTCTGTAAACTTTGGAATGGATAAAAAAGAAACTGTATTTTAAGGGAAAAAATGTAAATTTAAGGATTAATTTTTTTCCTCATTCATGTAAAACTTACCACGGTTCATTGAAGTTATTCCCTGATAACATAAACAAAGTAGAAAAATGTTACTTAAATTCATCTCTTGATTCCTATTGTTTTTTGTACAGAGAGTTTTCTAGGAGTGACCAATTCAGCCACATCTACATCCACCATCACACCTAAAGCTGCTTCTTCTATAGCCAGTACTTGTGAGTAATGTTAAAAAGATCAAAAAAGATTTTAGTGCCTCACTAACCATAAATATTCAGTGAAATGTCTTATATCAATTAATTTCTATCAGCTGTGAATATATCAAGGTTCTACTTCAATTAGGTTAGAACTAAGGCAAATGAGGGTTTCAGAACTGGATCAAACTAATGGTTTTACTTCGAATACACTTACTTTCTCTGCATGCTCTGACAAAATCAGAAACTCTAGGTCAGCAGTTGTATTGAATTCAGATCAAAAACCTGAAAAATCCCTACGCTGATGGTACTTACCTTATCCAGTGATAAGTCCAACCTTATTAATCATATAATAACCCCATCAGATATTCCTTTTTTGCATATTATTTGCCAATATTTCATCGTCGTGTATTTAAGCCTGTGATGGTACTAAGTTTCTCCATAAAATTCTTATCATTCCCATACCTGTGATGGCACCCAATCGCTCCATATGATCCATTATTCCACACTTTTGCAGCAGCTGCAGCTTCTTCTGGCGTGGTTCCTAACTTGTCGGTGAACTCCCTTTTTGTCTCCAAATCTATTACCACATCAACAACAGCAGCAACGACAGTCAAGATTTCCCCTACACAGCAGGTTGGACAGGTAACAACTACTGCACATGTTCCAACATTGGCGTCTAGCTCTCTAGCCTCTCCATTGTCATTTACAGATTCTGGTGCTAGTGCCACAAAGAGTGTAACACCAGCCACAAGTCTAGTCATACAGAGCAGCAATACTTCTGTGGTAACCACTCCAAGTAGCTCCATGTTTACTGGACTGGCTAACAGCACTACAGCTTCCATGTCTGCTACTACTACGGTGGCTTCAGTCTCAAGCGGCTTCCCTATGGGAAGTGTGACAACAAAAACTACTATGAGTTCACTTAATGACTCAAAATCTAATTCATCTAATGTCACTAAACTAGCGAATGCTGAGGCAGGGACAGTAGGTGCAGCTCTTTCTAGTGTCATCTCTGCAGTATATGCTTCAAAAAGTCCAGGTATGTTCAACTTTGGCCAAGCAAACACAAGTAAAGACACAACTGCACCTCCTGGTGGTGTTACAAATGTGTTGGCTGCTACTGTACAGCCAAGTCTAGGGGTTAACCAATCAGTGGCTGGAACATCTAAATTTGGAGATGTTAACAATGCTGTAGCCACAGCTGTAGCACCCACAGCTACTGCCACAGAAAAAAATACTCCAGCATTCAGCATGCCGAGTGTCAACACAGGATTCCCATTTGGATCTGCTACCAGTGTTAACCAACCCAGTGGTGCTGCCCCTACTCCTCTGTTCGGCAACACGACTCAATCTATCAGCAGCTCAGACTCAACTTCTGGTGCCAGCAATTTTCCTAAAGCGCCAACAGCTGCAACTACATTTGGAAGTGGAGCTCAAACAAATCAGCCAAAGTTCACCCCAGTTTTTGGAGCCCCAAACCCAACCACTCAGGCAAACATGTTTGGGGCCTCAACAGTAAACCCACCTGCATTTGGAAGCGCAACAACCACTTTTGCTACACCACAGAATACACCAGCTTTTGGAAATCCCACACCACAGGCTAAAACGGCACCTGGTGGCTTCAATTTTGTTGGTGGAGCTGGTCAAACTGCAAAAGCCCCCATTTTTGGTGGTGCTACGAACTCTACAGTAAACACCACTGCTTTTACTACAACGGCCTCTACAGCAGCAACTTCAGCTTTTAACTTTGGTACTTCAGTGCAGACAACCACAGCTGCGTCAGCCTTCAATTTTGGGAGTAATTCAACCATACAATCTACAAAATCATCCGATTTTAATTTTGCTTCTTCAAAACCAACAGCTGCAGTATCTTCAACTTTTAATTTTGGTGGACAATCAAATGCAAAGCCGCAAACAACATCAGCTTTCAGTTTTGGAGGGCAATCCAATCAGCAGCCGCAAACAACGTCAGCTTTTAATTTTGGAGGACAATCAAATCCACAACCACAAACAACATCAGCTTTTAATTTTGGAGGACAATCGAATCCGCCACAGCAAACATCAACTTTCAATTTCGGAGGGCAATCAAATCCCCAACCGCAAACAACATCAACATTCAATTTCAGAGGGCAATCAAATCCAACAACTTCTGCATCAACATTCAGTTTTGGAGCTACTGCTTCAACAGCATCTTCTCTCAGTTTTGGAAACAATGCAGCAAACAAAGGAGGGGCAGCTCCGGCCTTTGGCATGGCACAGCCTCAAGTAAGTACAACATCAGTGTTTGGAGGTTCAAAGACCCAGCCAGGAAACGCATTCCAGACTGGTATGACAAAGTCGGGTTCAGCACCAGCTTTTGGTGACACTGGTCCAAGTTTTGGTGGTGGCCCTAAGCCTTCAAATCCTTTTGGAACATCATCTACAGGGTTCAGTGGTGGTGCTACTTCAGCTGCTCCCCAGGCTGCTAGTGGTGTCACTTCTGTGTTTGGATTTGGAGCTACAACTCAACAGTCTAGCAATAACTCAAGTGGATTTAACTTCAGTGCTGCTGGGGCAGGAGGCGGCTCTTCTACATTCAATTTTGGTAAGTAAACGATTCTATGCTCTGCAACTATATCATCAATTATTGATAGAAAACCAATATAAGTTAATTCATTGTTTAAAAATACATACTTAAGGAATATTCTGCAAATTTCTGGTGGTCTTATTCTTTTAGAACTCTTTCTAATGATTTTAAAACTAATGACAGCACTAGGGACAACAGAGGCAGGATCCTATAGGGAAATATCACAAATTTTTTAAATCCCTTCTTCTGCAAGTATTTCAGGATTCTGTCTCAATTTGACCTGAATCGTCCTCTGAACTTTTTTATAAACAGTTGTTCCCTGCTCCATGTGCCGGAGAGGCTGGGCCAAATTGGGGATATAAAGCAAATTCCTTAAGATTCTTCTTCTGTAGGAACGGTAGTCTGTCACAATTTTGTTATAAAGAATTTAAGGTGAAGGAGTAAACAGTAGTTCTTGGCTCCCTAAGGCAGGAAGGGCAGGGACCAATCAGAAAATTAAGCAAATTCTATAAAATCTTAATGCTAAAAAATAAAAAGAATGTCAGGATTCTTTCCCAATTTGGTTCAAGCATCCTTTCGTGTAACAGTGGGTCTCAACATCTAGGGTCAAATAGCGCAAATTCTTAAAAATTTTTAATCTGAAGGAATTGTGTCTCAATTTAGTCTGAAGCATTCTTTGGTGATGGAGACACTTTTGCTGAAAACATGAGGGGAGAATGGAGGGAGCTTATAGAAGAAATAGATGAAAACTTTTGGATTTCCTTTTCCTTAAGTTTCCATAAAAAAAATCTGCCATGTATGCGATACTTATCATATGCGCCTCTTGTTTGCATGAAATCATCATATGAAATCCTAACTTGTGCTCAATATCCATTTGAAATAGAAGGGTTATTAGTCCCATTTTAGGAAACGGGAAGAGGAGGGGTACAGATTTCTTCTCAGTCACTCCGTCTGTCTCTCTATCTGTGACAAAGTTTGTCCATGTTCTAGTGGCTTCATTCCTTTAATCATATTTAAAGCACTTATTTAACATAAACTATCTTGGACATGTTTGAGTTTCAGGTTTGTTAAGTCAAGGTTGCTGTCACTATTTTTTTTAGAAAATTGTCAGTACTCTAGCATTAATTCCTTGAAAGATTTTAATGAAATTCTAGTAAACCTTAACATACTTATAGACATTAAAATATCATGAGAAACTTTGACAATGGCTTGTTGTAGAGAATTTGAGCCAAAATGTGTGTCAGCAGTGCACAATCTTTGACAATGGCTTGTTGTAGAGAATTTGAGCCAAAATTTGTGTCAGCAGTGCACAATCTTTGACAATGGCTTGTTGTAGAGAATTTGAGCCAAAATTTGTGTCAGCAGTGCGCAATCTTTGACAATGGCTTGTTGTAGAGAATTTGAGCCAAAATTTGTGTCAGCAGTGCACAATCTTAAAGGAAAAGCTGAACAGCTGAACACTGGTCGTTTTCAACTCCCTTCCAGCAGCATTACCTTCCAAGTGAATAGTGACTAAATATATATAGAGCAATAATTATGACATCGTTGTCTCTGTCAATATTTTGGACTAAATATGATTTCTCAATGTTTTCAAACATTCCGATAATATAATAAAGCAAAAAAAGATAGGGTTCAAACTATCACTAGACAGAAAATGTTTTTTTTTGTTTATCATGTATTAAACTCTAGATTATTGCTGAGAACCATCACCGCACAAGTTTAATGATTAATGTACGTATAATTATCATCATCATCCCTACATACATCTTAGTAGAAGTTTTCAGTGAAAATTTAAACATTCATTATATAATAGGATTTTGCTTGTTAACAAAGCTTTGTTAAAGTTTTCTGCTTAGCTCACATTTGAACTTTATTTCTAACAAAGTATCATTATCCCTGCACACATTTCAGATTGAAAAATTCCACATGTTTACTGTAGACTTTGCTTCTCACTTGAGCTAACTTTGATTTTCTGTTCAGACCTAGGATATACTTGTATCACAATATGTATTGCCATCATCCCCACACATATTATTACTTATAATTCTTGTATTGAAAAAATCACATATTCGACCTGATGGTTAATTGCATGCACTTAGATTTCACATTGGTTTTGATAGATATGTTTTTGTTGACAGGAGGATCTGGAACCCCTGGCTTTGGAGCAGGTTCACCAGCCCCTGGATTTGGTCAGGCACCTGGTACACCAGCTGGTCAAGGCATGTTTAATGTAGGAGCCAGTAATTCTGCAACAAAGCCTCGTGCCATGACCAAAGCCAAACGAAGAGGAGCTAGGAGATAAGAGGGAATTACTATTTAAAAGTGAAAATGGCACTTATGGACCTAGTTTGTCTTGACCTACTTAAGATTGTCAAGATGTTGCTAACAGATCATTTGATTACAGGATAATAAAAATTCTTCTCTAAGGAATAAACAAGAAGCAATTTTTTTGGCTTGAATTGCACTCCCCTGATCATTGTGTTGTACAGAAACTTTGAAGACAAGGGAACAGTCCTATTGATATGTGTGGGAAATTCAGCTGAATTCACAGTGTTTCAGATTGAAAATACTGATTCTAACCGAATTTGTAATACTGAAATTGTGATTGTCCTGATGTTGTCATCTAAACAATTGAATCTCCTGGCGATGTCCAGAATAGATTCTCCTGGAAGTGTGTGTTTGATCTTTCCAGTCATCTACGTGTATAACATTGGTCTGTACATTGAAGCAGCCATTAGCAACTTTCTGATACTGTCATAATCATCTTGTTATGATTCAGTTACATGGAGAGGTAAATATTGTTACTGGTGTCCTTTGTGTTGTCCCATCCCAACTCAGTAATCTCACTCTACCTGATAAAATCCTATTTCAGGGGTCAGTGTCAGTGTCACCATTAATTAATAATCATAGAAAATTATCAACAATGATTTCATTTGGACTCCATTTTTTACGGAATTCAAGGAAGTCTTAAGAACAAGGTCGTCATAACTGAAAATCAACCAATTCAGTGACATTACTTGAACCACTTGTTTGATTTAAGGAATTTTGATCAAACTATATTATGATGATAGTTCCAAGGTCAAGGTTATCATTAATTAATGAAAGATCTTTTTACCTAAGGACATGCACGTGTTAAATACATCTTCACATTAATCTTTTAATTTTCTGATTCAAGCCTTTCTGATTTATTATGTACTTCATGGATATTTTTACATGGTTTTGTGTTTCTGACCAAATTTTTTTTTTTTTTTTGGGAAACAGTTCAGATATATAAACATAATATATATATATATATTTGCATATTGTTGAGCATGAATAGACGTCTGCATTCATGCTGCATATTTTATTATTCATAGGAACTGTTTTGTTTCATAGTATCTTCGGTGAGAATAAATTACTCTCATTGCCGAATTACCTATTGAGAAAAAACATGATCCCTTGTTTATATGTAAACAAGTAAAGGTGATAACTATTGTATTTAATTATGATGATGATCTAATAACCGTGGTGGGATAACAAATTATGTAATGCAAAATACTATAAATCTCGGGGTTTTTTTTGTGAATTTGTATTTTTGCAGATATCTGGAATGCTTTAAATGACTTGATGAAATTTTGCTAGCAATTAATATCGTGAATTAAATAAAACCAGATATATATATATGTTTGTGTGACTTTCATCTTATTAAATGTGCTTTGCTTAATGTTCCTAAGTTGTATAATTTTTTTATTGACTCTCTTCATTATGAATATTAAATGCAAGATATGTATCTCAAAAATAAAGGAGCTTGATGACATGTTCTTGTCCAGGTACCGTTGATGATGTACCTATTGTCTGAGTTGTGTGAATTTTAGTTCTCGGTCATCTGTGATTCTGTCTATCCATGTTCATGTAATCATCGTCCAGTTACTTCAAAAGTTTGTACTTCTCAGTTACTTTAATGATTTTTCACATCATCAGGGTTGTGTGAATGTTCGTGCTTGCATCCAGGTTCTGTAAATGTTTGAACACATTAATCAGGTTCTACAAATGATTGTTATCATTATCCATGATCGCTTTGACTTAAACTGTTAAAGGCTGGATGAACCTGCAAGAGAAACACCAAACACATATTGAGACTGAGGCTGGGCTTCATTGTTATGTTTTATAGGAAACTCCGATTCTGTGCTTTTCGAGCTTCACCATAATGTTGAACTATTTCTGCTTGGTTATGCTAAAAGCGACCCAAATCACCCCAGTCATATTAATGATTTTCTCCATCATCCATGCTGTGTAAATATTTGCACTCATCATCCAGGCTCAGTACGTTTGAGGCTGTACATAAGTCTATAAAGGCCATATGATAAGAAATAGGAACTGCCGTAGAGTGAGTGCAATGTCTTCAATACTATGAGAAGTAAATTTATATCAGCTAAGTGACTAGTGGGTCCTTGAGTCAATGTTTTTGTTTTTTGTGAAACTAGGGACATCTGTTGATAATTCATTATCTGATAATTTGATGCTACTGCTCACAGGGGCAAGTGATGATAGCTTTATACATGGGCTTCGTTACCTGCCAAACTTTTCAATGTTTCCTATTTTAGTATGGTTTTGTTGGGTCTATCATGACATCTCCGGGAAATTTCTTGAGATCTTTGGAATGTTAATTTCGAAGATTGTTGGAAATTTCCCTGAAATGTTGCAGTAGTTCTATATCATATTGCTTCATGTTTTAGTTTATTCTGTGCTTTAAACCAGATATTAGATCAACAGGAAATGATAATAATGTTATTTCATCCTGATTGGTTAAAATTAGACTGGATTGCCTGGCATAGTTTTTATACTCTCCACTAGATTTTGCTTTTTTAATACAACGTGCGCAGTCTAGTGGAGATAATTTGTACTAAGGCAGGTAATCCACTCTAACATAAAATCCACTTTCTCTAACAAGTTTTTGACTTTACGGGTTTCAAATTTTCAGTGTATGTGTTTGTGAAGTTTCTTGGAATGATTTAAAATTTTGGTATGTGTTTGTTTCATTATGATTGGGGTTGTAGCTCTGAATACTGTTTTTACCAATAAGTCAGAATATCCATAAATAATACCATATATTACTCAATCATATTTTTCTTGAACGTGAAAACATGACCGTAGTTACATGATCAGCTGCTGCTTTTTTCATTGTCTATATTTCCTCTGAGCACTGATTACAAATTTGCAAAGATGAGTGAGATATTCTGAAGTAACACTGTAATTACAGTACAGGTCTATGAAATAATCAATTGCTTCGTTATGTTATTATTTTACTTAAACATAATTCATTGCCATAGTGTAAAGCAATAGATGTGGCACAAGTTATTGTAACATAATATTAGCCTTTTCACCAGACATTCAAAATCACAGTATCACATTAACTAATCACTGGCAGCCATCAGGCAAATCATTTTGTTGTTCATGAAAAATACAGGAACAATGATAAGCCTAATTCATTGTATCATCCAGGGTCTGTGATTATTTGTATTTATAATACAGATACAATACAATCATTGTTTTTTTAAGTTGGATCTTGTTGTCATGGACGTGAGTTGATTGAATGGAAATAATAGGAAAACGTTAGGACAGCTGGTCTCAAAGTATACTTTGATGAACATGAAAATATTGTACCAATGGAAAAATCAGTATTTTCTAACATTGACTTACAAAAATGAATTACAAATGTGATTTAATTCCTTTTTGGTGGATTAAAGTGTTTGGTTTGAATTACATACAGGGGTGATGTTACATCTGTTATTTATTAGTTGTATATATACTGGCAGTGAATTATGAGCTCAAGTCATAACACTTATAAGGTAAAAGAAACAAACAAGGTTATATACAGTAGCAATATCTTCCAGAGTTGCCGTTCGTAACCGCCTATAACTCATTTAATGGTATTCTTACCTTAACAAATTGTGTTAACAACTTCTTCTGTTTGGTATGGTCAGTATGTTCGCAACGGTCATTATGTACTGTCATCATTCATTAGAGAAAGCTAAATAGGGTTTTCGGTTTTTCTTTTTTTTTTCTTTTTTTTTTTTTTTGTTTTGTTTAAATTATGTGCTTGTTATTATTGATATACATTTTGTTGTATGAAATACACAAAATTTGGTCTACAATTTGTGATTTGCAAAATCATGTTGATTATCATTTTGTAATGTAAGATCATAAGAATAAAGAACATTTTTGAAAAAAACCCATTAATGGTCATTGTCTTTACATCACAAAGACCTTGTTCAGTGTCTATCCATTGGTCTATGAACTACTTCACCTGATAAATAGACAGGAACTTAACTCAGTGTGGACCATAAATCTTCCTTAATTAACTTTGAACCAGTGCAGCATTTAAAACAAGTGTCACAGTCACAACATTTAAAATCTTCATACTTCATTTGCACAAAAGGCTGTATCCACAGGGCTTTAGAACAAACAGTTAAGTGTGGACCATAAATAGTCCTTAAGTTTGAACTAGTGTAGCATTGAAAACTGGTGCCATAACTTCAGTCTTGATATTTCACTTGTACACTTAGCTGTATTGACAGGACTTCCACATAAATAGTTGAGTATGATCATGAATGGCCCCATCAAAAGTTTGAACCATGGCAGTTTTAAAATGAATGCCATAACCAATTTTGAAAATCTTTATAAAAATGTATTTCATATTTACGCAAAGCTGTATCAATAGGGCTTTCACACAAATAGTTGAATATGGACCATAAAGGGTCCTAACTAATGAAAGAACCAGTTCATTATTTAAGACGAGTGCCACAACCACAATTTTTGAAAATCTTGATACTTCACTTTCACAGAAAGCTTTATCCGAAGGACTTTCAACAAATAGGTGAATATGGACTATAAAAGGACAAAACTAAAGTTTGAACCAGTGTATCATTTAATAAGGGAACCGTAGCCACAATCTTGAAAATCTTTTTCACTTGTATACAAAACTGTATTGAGACAGTACTTTTATTTGTGATTTTTCTGGTCCAATTATAGTCCTAACTGAAATATAAACCCATTGAAGGTTGGATGCAAAAGCTGTCCTCTCAAAAATCTGGCTATTTCTTCCTAAAGAAAGTCATATCTAGGCAGAACTTTCACTTACGAGCTGCTTGGACCATTCAAGTATGTCACTATCTCTGACCTTTTGGTCTTTACTTGAGCATGCATATGTTAACATTATATTCTGCACAAGTTGGCAAATTTATGTTGTTTTTGTTTTGTTTTTTTTTGCCTTTTTAGAACTCTTTCTAGTGACCTTTAAAACTATTGTCAACATCAACAGACAAGTGAAATTGAAAATACCCCCTTGTCAAGCTTAATTTAGACCATCTAAATATAGCACATCGGGGAATCCAAACCACACTGACTGTATCATAGATTTTATGCGAGGTATTAGGGGAATACATAGGTGTGTATGCTTCATTTATAATTTCAGCTGGGATGAGAATTCTAGTGCTAGCAAACCTGTTGTGGCTCAATAATGGGTCAGCTTATGTTTTTAAATCAATCTAGTAAGATCTATAAAGGATTTCCTCAAACAGAATATTGTTTGTTTGTTTATATGATTAATTTCTAAAAGAATGCAAATAAATCCTTTCATGAATTCTTTCATAAACAAAAGCCCTATAGGGCCTGTATCTTTCACCTAGCATTACTTGAATAAAATTACTTCATTACAACTAAAGGAAATCTTGATATCCAAGCACACAACCCTTTGACCCTAGTGAATCAGCCATACCATTCATTCATACTTCAGACCAAATCATTCCTTCAGGAGGAATAGGATTGTAAAGAATATGCTCTATTTTCAATATTGGGCCCTGGTCAAATCTATTCAATTGTTCATGACTAGTAGCAATTTGTAGAAAAAGTTGATGGACGGATGCCACCGTATATCAATGACTCACTTGGCCCTTCTGGCCAGATAAACTTAAAATATATGAAATTCCAACTGGAATTTCGACATTTAGATCATATGTATTTCTCATAAAGTGAGGTTGGCTTATGGAATCAGGGTGGACCTACAGATCTTATTTTGTTTTCTCACAAGCTTCAACCATGCCTTTTCAGGTCTGTACTTATATTTGCAAGTCTGTCCGGATTTATGCCTGAAATATTATATTTAAAGTGCCAATAAAACGGTATGACCGTGTAAGCAATTAGAACAATTTTCAGACTGCCCACATCATACCAATTTGTAGATTTCCCTTGTTCGTTAGTTTTGCTTTGTCAATTCTGGGATAATTTGAAAAACAAAATGTTTGACAAGAGTTTTTTTTATGATAACAGCTTCACTTCAATCATTTCCATAAGAATTATTCCTCTTTTCTAATTTTATGAAAATTTTAGGAGGTGTATACCATAGTAATAGGCAATATGCTTTCAGTTCTAATTAAATGCTAAATGTTGGGTTTTTTACTGGTAAAATCCCAAAATTAATTAAGGTCCACAAGAGTCATGATGTTTTCAGCATCACAATTATGTTTTAAGGACAAGCAAAGCAAACTAATAAAATAGTGATATATAAAGTAAGCTTTATGTCTCTGAACTCTCAATTATTACTTTGTATACAAAATCTAAAAGACAAGTGCCTCTTTTTTATTTAATTCTTCCACCTGTTTTACAAATATGAAATAGACAATTCTTCTGTACATACAATGTGAGAAAAACATCAGTTCAACAATGTTTTTATTATGATCATAAACAATTCGCACAATTACACGAATATCTAAAGGATTGTAGCACTTCATACTTGGCTATCCACACAAGATGTATATCAGGAGGAGTCAAGATTTATTCCAACATCAAAAGTCAATCATTTATTTTTTTTTAATCTTCAAATGACATTTTCAATTGTTTCAGTCCTCGATATCAGAATTGACTTTCCACTTGACCTGTGAAAATGGACAAGCCAACACACTGCTTCTCCATTATCCAATTGGTACATCTCATGGTCCATAAATTTAAGTTTGTTGTTATGTGGTATGAACTTTTATGAATGATTTTTCAGTGATGAGACAATGGTCAGTATGTCTCATAAAACTTTGGTATTTCATCCCCCGTCATGACGAAGCGTTCTACTCCATCTCTGTTGATACAAGCCATCCTGATAACACCTCCACTGGAACCATCTCGACTCATCGCCAAGGCCAGACCTAAAATAAAAATAATATTTTTTTCTTATTTCTGTTGAACAAGAAAAGCAAATATCTTTCTTTCAAAGAGGCCCAGCAGTCTTACAAGTTTTTTTTGTAAATGCTTCTCAAATCTCCAAAGAGGGTCAAATGTTTTAAAACAGGCTTCGGTCGCTAACATGTAAGAAAATGGCTGTGCTTTTATCTAATTTACAAGCGTTATCAAACTGATTATGATATAAAAATGATTAGCATGAATCTTAATCCTTCAAATTCAGCAGAATAAATAGGTAACTCACCATTTGATACAAATTTCAAACATTCCTCTTTGGTCATGTCCTCCTTGTAGTTTGAGTCTACATAACCATAGATGTAAGTACTACCAGAACCTCCAGTAGCGAATGGCATTCTCGTCAACATGCCACCCAATGGTACTGTGAACACCTGTTACAGAGAAAAATAACCACATACAAAATATGATCTTGATCACCAAGTTCTTGCTGAAGCTACAATTGAGAGTTGAAGAACATGTCTTAGATTTCTATTCCTATGTGAGAGATACATGTAACACCAAATGAAGCAGGGGAAAAAACATCTCATGGATTAAGAATTGGGACAGTAAAATAATTTGTTCACTTTCATATTCCCTGTTTAAGGTCTATCGTTGAAGTGAAGTCCTTAGTTTTGCACATTTTCTTGTTTAATAACTCCTTGTACTTGTTCTAAATGAAGGCGATATTATGACAATGTTGTGTTCAATCAAGTGGAGATTATGACAGTGTTGTGTTCAATCAAGGAGGAATTATTTGAATGTTCCTAAATGTGGTGGAGTTTTACCTGTCCTCCTTCTTCTTTGTCCCAGCCACCAACAATGATACCAGCACTCAGACTGTCCCTGTAGTTGTAACACAAGTCCCTAAACACATTGGCTGCCACTTTCACTGGTGGCTCCTCACCATGTTCCATTCTGTAAGTAAAACATTGCACTGAAAAGTTTACAAATACTCCTGATTGTGTTAGGTATCTTTCAATTTGCTCCTACAGAAGTCCTCTTATCTTTGCAAGTGTTCTAGTCATCATTTCAGGATCCCTAAAGAAACCCCTTTCTGTTCCCTTTTGAATTTAGAAAACATATCTCCTGCAAGAACCTTCTTTCTTTGTGGGACTGATTAATTTCCTCTCAAGAGGCAGGAACCCCCTTCCTTGTTAAAGAAAATGATGTACTTTCATCTCATTCAGGAGCCCAATTACTTATCTCAAAGTGCTGTAATTTCCTTCAGTATCACCCTTGCTTTTGGAAAAGCTTTCATCACCTTCAAGAACCTTGTTTCTTGTCTGAAAGTGCTGTTATCCCCTTTAGGACCTCCGTTATTTATCTCAAAGTGCCATTACAAGATATATCTCCTTCAGGAGCCCTGTTACTTATCTGAAAGAGCTTTTATCTCCTTCAGGAGCCCTGTTACTTGTCTGAAAGAGCTTTCATCTCCTTCAGGAGCCCCATTACTTGTCTGAAAGAGCTTTTATCTCCTTCAGGAGCTCCATTACTTATCTGAAAGAGCTTTTATCTCCTTCAGGAGCCTTGTTATTTGTCTGAGAGAGCTTTTATCGCCTTCAGAAACCCTGTTTCTTGTCTGAAAGAGCTTTTTATCTCCTTCAGGAGCCCTGTTACTTGTCTGAAAGAGCTTTTATCTCCTTCAGGAGCCTTGTTATTCGTCTGAAAGTGCTGTTATCTCCTTCAGTATCATTCTTACTTGTAGAAAAGCTATCACTTTCAGGAACCCACTTACTTTTGAAAGTGCTATTACTTCCTTCATGAATCTGTTACTTATTGTTTCCTTCAGCACTCCCCTATTTGCAGCAATGCTTGTGGAACTGGTTTTTTTTTTTTTTTTTTTTTGTAATCTCCAGCAAATGCCACTTAAGTTGTGGAATTAGTAACATGGGTCTGCTTACTTGTGGAAGTTGAGGTGATATGTAACAATATCTGCAATTGCTTGGGTGTCGGCAGCAGATCCCGACCTACAGCAGTAAATCCTGTCTGTCACTTTGGTCAGTTTGTCTGTCACACGGTTCGCAACATAAGCTCTGTAAATACACAAAGTTTAGAATTTTGTATCATCCATTTTGTTTCTCCATTAAATACAATGATGTCGTTAACTTGAAAATCAGTTGAGGTTTCTAAAAGAGGAAATGAAATCAAAACCAAGAAAATCTGGGCATTGAAGTTTACATTTTTTTACCAAGTGTGTTCATAACAAAAGTGTTACCCTGTTGTAGTCCTCGAGTCTGCACCAATTATTACTCCACCATCAAACTGTACAGCCATAATAGTTGTCTGAAATAAAAATGTACAAATGGACATTCAATAATATAATAATACAATACATTTTCTCCAGTCTGAAGAGAGTATAATTTTGGTAGCTAGGTTGAAAAAGAGAACTTTGGAGAAATTTCATAAAGTATAGCCATTGTTAATATGCTGAGAAGTAAAGTTGTTTGGAAAAATGAGTGGAAATAGTTTATAACGATGAAATGCTTTGACACAAAAGCAAGACGGTTAAAAATTATAAGCTTCACCTTTCCATCATGATTTATAACTTTTATCTATTCTATAATTCATAATGTCTTTCTATCGTAAACTATTACAACAATGTCTGAATGTCAACTCATTACACAGGTCACCAAAATTTCCTGATTTCTACAGGAAGGAATTCTGTCTATTGACTGCAAACAAGACACAAATAAAATTGCAGATAAACAGTCAGAACCCTTTAGATTTCTAGACATGTTGTAGATTAGAATCTAATATTGTGTCATATACTGTAGGTTTTGTTCTATATCCAGTATGACAACTGTCAAATCTCCAATTTTGGACTGGAAGTTCCAGTTGGTTCCGTTTATTTCAGTTAATTTGGCAATCACCAGTATGAAATTTGAGTTTTGAAATAGAGATTTAAAAAAGAAAATACCAAAACTGATTGGACCACAACCCCACATTGGGTAATACTCTTGCATTTGAGGAATAGCTACTGCTTTGAGTAATCAGGGTTTTTTTTCCATTTTTCAACAAAACAGGGTGGCATCTTTTCACCTCGACCCAATAGCCACTGTGACTAAAATTTAAAATGAGACAATCTTTTTATTATTTTCTTTGTGTGTAAAAATGTACACTGTTGCATTGGTTATTGAAAAAAAATAAAAATATGACACCCTTACATAAATAAATATCTAGAAGAAAATATGAGTTCCTATTTGAAAATGAGCATGCATTTGAGTAACTAAATGATTACTGAACGCAATAACAATCCCTCAAATGCAGGACTATGACCCATATGCAGTGTTGTACCCAACCTGTGCAATGATGTATCTTTAAACTAAGTAAGATTCGATACACGAGGTTGTAATAAGATGTTTAAGGGCAGACATGACAAAACATAAATTGATAACATTTAGGTCTATAAGTATAAATTGATAGACTTTCCAACAGGAGATAATCAGTTTCCCAGTTAACAGGTTGACCACTCGTCATTTAATATAAGACTGTATTTACTCTTAGCTAAGACACCATGTGTTATCTCTAGGACGATGGACATTTACATATCGATAGTAATTGCATCTTGCCGATTGGGACACAGACAATGGTACTACTCAAATCTTACACGACAAATGTCATTTGTTAAGCTTTGTTAACAGTTAAGCATCGATCCCCCATTGCACATGCTGATTGACCAAATGATTTAAGACATACACAATCTACACTATATCGTCATAATTACAATACAGTTAACTTACCCCGGTTTCGTGCTCGGCATTCAGCCAATCTGGGCAGGACAAATCGGATGAAAACATGCCGGGTTGCATTTCACTAGTCATGGTTGCCATCTTTAATTTTGACTGAAGAGTTATACAAGAACGATAACTGCATACAGGAGGGGCACGACGCAATATTCTGTGTAACGGCAATCATTCAAGAATGAAGAGATCTATCATGCGCTGGTTTCCTTTACTAATAAATAAACCTATTTTTTCCTGTATTTGTTTTACAGCAGGGTCTGGTAAGTCTTCGCTTCTGCTAATACCACGCATTTTGAAAACTCTTTTAAGATATATATATTTAAGGCTTTTTTGTAAGTTATATACATAGACATACTAATAAAGAGCCATATACTTCCAGATCATTCTAGACTTACCTCTATTATTGCCAAATTTCTCGATTTAGGAAATTTGGTATTGTATGTATGGAAACAAAGGAAATTTGAAATACATAAACATAACTTCCAAGTTATTCCGTTTAGAACATATTTTCTATATCGGCAAAATGGAAAGCGAAGTCAGAACCTCGGACTTATATCTATATCTTAGTCCGTGCCATAATCTAGAAATGCAAATACATTTAGTTGTAGATATATAGATATATCTGTGTCCGTGATGCTTTACAGGGACTTATTTCTAATTCGAATAATTAGTGTACTTTTTTTCACTGGTGTAAAAAAAAGTGGTAAGTCATTTTAGGACATATTTTGAACGTCTTGTGCAATAAGATCTACAATAAAAAAAATATGGCTAATTAAACAGTTAATTAAGTAGTTAAAATGTATCTGTTGCGTTGTAATTGTTCCATTGGGCATGGTGGAAAGTGCAAGTGTCATGCAGTGGCGCTTCTTTAGAGTGTCTTACAAAATGTCCGACTTTATATATAATTATAGACAGTAGGTAATCAATATTTAATTTTCCCCCCAATTTGTAACAGGACCCTGTAATGTGACCCTTAATGAATATATATATATATATTTTATTTATTTATTTCTGTTTTGATTTTTATTGATGATAATCAACACATTAGTGGATAACTGAGTTCTATGTCTTGATTTCAAATAAGTCAAGTTGATTTTTACTCTGTTCAACGTTGGCGTGTATAATACTTTGTGGCTTTGAATTTTTGGCGCCTAAAACATTTTATCTGTTAACACAAACGTTTCGTGTTGTTGAACACTTACTTTCCTTAAAAGGTAACACAGGATTGTTATTTTAAGCGTGCACAGACTTACAATGAGTATATGAATTAATACAAGTGTTAAGGTGAGCTCTACCAGCAAAGAGAAAAACTGTAAGTAATAACAAACAAAAATAAACATAATTACAGTAAAGGTGATGACGTGTATGTACGAAAAATGAATCAAAACACTCGATAAAAATAAACAAAATTACAGTAAAGGTGATGACGTACATGTACAAAAAATGAATCAAAACACTCGACAAAAATAAACAAAATTACAGTAAAGGTGACGACGTACATGTACAAAAAATGAATCAAAACACTCGATAAAAATAAACAAAATTACAGTAAAGGTGATGACGTACATGTACAAAAAATGAATCAAACCACTCGACAAAAATAAACAAAATTACAGTAAAGGTGATGACGTACATGTACAAAAAATGAATCAAAACACTCGACAAAAATAAACAAAATTACAGTAAAGGTGATGACGTACATGTACAAAAAATGAATCAAAACACTCGACAAAAATAAACAAAATTACAGTAAAGGTGATGACGTACATGTACAAAAAATGAATCAAAACACTCGACAAAAATCAACAAAATTACAGTAAAGGTGATGACGTACATGTATGAAAAATGAATCAAAACACTCGACAAAAATAAACAAAATTACAGTAAAGGTGATGACGTACATGTACGAAAAATGAATCAAAACACTCGACAAAAATAAACAAAATTACAGTAAAGGTGACGATGTACGAAACATGTCAAAACACGACAAAATAAACAAAATTACAGTAAAGGTGATGACATGTACCACTCGACAAAAATAAACAAAATTACAGTAAAGGTGATGACGTACATGTACGAAAAATGAATCAAAACACTCGACAAAAATAAACAAAATTACAGTAAAGGTGATGACATACATGTACAAAAAATGAATCAAAACACTCGACAAAAATAAACAAAATTACAGTAAAGGTGATGACGTGTATGTACGAAAAATGAATCAAAACACACGACAAAAATAAACAAAATTACAGTAAAGGTGATGACGTACATGTACAAAAAATGAATCAAAACACTCGACAAAAATAAACAAAATTACAGTAAAGGTGATGACGTGTATGTACGAAAAATGAATCAAAACACTCGACAAAAATAAACAAAATTACAGTAAAGGTGACGACGTACATGTACAAAAAATGAATCAAAACACTCGACAAAAATAAACAAAATTACAGTAAAGGTGATGACGTGTATGTACGAAAAATGAATCAAAACACTCGACAAAAATAAACAAAATTACAGTAAAGGTGATGACGTACATGTACAAAAAATGAATCAAAACACTCGACAAAAATAAACAAAACTACAGTAAAGGTGATGACGTATATGTACGAAAAATGAATCAAAACACTCGACAAAAATAAACAAAATTACAGTAAAGGTGACGACGTACATGTACAAAAAATGAATCAAAACACTCGACAAAAATAAACAAAATTACAGTAAAGGTGACGACGTACATGTACAAAAAATGAATCAAAACACTCGACAAAAATAAACAAAATTACAGTAAAGGTGACGACGTACATGTACAAAAAATGAATCAAAACACTCGACAAAAATAATTCCCAATGTGCTAGAAGACAAAGGAAAATTTAGATGAAGATTCATGAAAACAAAAATTGAAAATACTTTGGAGTAAATTGTATCCTCGATAATCCGGGAGAGTGATAGTGCGCGTAATAATAAAATGCAGTTAAAACGAGTCAAAAGCATTATTTTGCGCTGTTAATCCGGGACGTTTTCAATTGAACTGAGACTCAAAGTACAGGGTGAACAAGTGAGAATTACATATATTTTAGGATTGTATCCACAGATTGCCCTGGTATATTTTGGAACATTTCCTTAGGGTTGGTAATGTCAAAAGAATAAATGTACTTATAACACAGTCAGTAGATTGGAGTGTGACGTTTCGATGATTACACAGTCACCTTCATCAGACAAATGACCAGTGTGGAGCGTAACCGAAGGGTGATAACAATGTACTGTAGTCATTTCGACAATGCTTTGTTTAACACTTGGTCATAGATGTTGTTGTTTTACCTATTTTGGAATGTTCCCAGTCAATTATATGATTTTGCAGTGTGGAATGATCTGTAATGCAGATTTAATGATCTGGGACAGTGAATGCTTTCGCTCTGATCTAGTGAATTTGTTGCCTTCTTGGAATTCCACTTCTTTCTGATGTTCATGGAGTCGAATCTCCTGCCTGTTTCTCCGATATATGATGATTGCCCTCGTTTTGATATAAAAATTACATTAAAATGAGCAACATAAAGACGGATTTGTTTGATTCTCGTTTGTATTCCTGGTGGTTTTATAACATGGTGCGTGCCATCAATGAAACAGAAGATACTTACTCTCTTCTGAAAAAAACATTGTTTTAACTTTCTTGTACTTTTTAAGGGGTAAATCTCTCTATCGTTAACTATCTTTTTCGCCTAGTGTCATCAAATTAGAGTTTGAATTATGATGCTTTTGACGTGTCAGTTTTTGCAGAAGCAAGGTTACTGAAAACTGTTTGAACAGTTATTGAAATTATATATTTACCAAATTTATTTTAAAAAATTAGCTCACAGCTTTCTTTCATTAATATATATAAGGGGTAAATACAAAGTAAAAATGTTACAAAAATATATTTTGAATCCGTGCAAATACAATAAAATAGTAAAAATTAGGACATCTGACGACTGTAACAACAAAACGGCAGACATAGGTCATCTTTAATTTTGAATCTGGATCGATCATTTTCATATTTCATATGTAAGTTCCATTTGGCCCCCTGTCATTCATGGACGAACTGAAAATAAGAGAAAAGAAGGGAAAATATCCTGCTGACGAAGCACTAAATTAGCACTCATATATACAGTGATGGGCACCAAGATCACTTTGGGATTTATTTTTTTCCAGTTAAAATGTATTCACTATTTAGCCTTTTATTGTGTTATAGTTCTTGCTCAGTTGGTTGGAGTGTTGACTTTTGTAACCTCAGGGAAAGACGCTCCCTACCCGTGGCGGTTTATGTTTCACAGGAAGCTTGGAAATGGACCAGACATGGTTGTATCCTTAGGCAAGACGCTTTACCCTAATTGTGTTGGATGATATGAGACAGTCGTTTGCATGCTGTTCAGAGAGGTAACAACCAGCTTCTACAACCTAAGGAGGCCCCTTCTTAATGATCCTGCCTATCCAGGGGGAGATAACCCAACAATCAATCAGAATCAGGGGGTAGCAGTCTAGCTCTCGAGACACACACCATGAGCATAGCATTGCTTTAGGAAATTAACCACCAGTGTAGACTAGTTAGGTGACTTGTACTCCCAACATGTATAATTTGTCTTGTACATATCACAGCTAAAAAAGAGAAAACAAAACAGTAAATGTAGAAACCTTATCTTTTTATTCAAAAGTTTCAAATGTTCTCTATATTACAAATGTATCTTATACCCCAACAATTTAATCAATGTTAATCAAAGTTGTTTACAATCGTTTAGTGATCAATTATTGTATGTGACAAAACGTCTACTATATTGACTTCTGCATGACTAGATAATTCAATGATCTACAGATTTACCTTTTGGTAAAGTTCTCTAGAGGTAATGAAACATGCACCAAAATGACCAGGTTTACAGAATGAGTTTTCGCTCAGATGATTGATTTTTGTCCAATTTGGTAGGATGAAAACATTCCTATCATATCTTGTGTAGTTGTTAACAGAGAAAATGTTGTAAAATGAAAACATGCCTTTCATGCTGTCAAGTGACATCCACTTTTCAATCAGTTCACCTTTTGATTAACTTATGAAGATTATAAATAATGGGTGAAAACTACAGCAAACTGCCATTTACAAGATTTCCTGTCTATCTATAGCCTTGAAATTAGTATATGAACTCATATTTTATAGATAGCAAATGGACCGACACTCTAATAATCACATACATACATCTCACGCAGTCAACAATCAGCACACTCAAACATTGTCACCAGTAAATCATTAGTTTTTATGAAGGAGTTTTCTATAATATAAATATATGTAATATCTTCAACACTGAGGAAGTCAAATCCAGAATGTTGGTGTAACCAATCTGAAGTAAATGTAAACCTGTCTGCGATGGACACCCAAGGGAGCAGAAGAGTGGCCTTTATAAGCAGGGACCTTCATATTCTGGTGCAATTACTATGACTTTCATTACACTGGGACAAAAAAAGTGATGGCCTTTATAGACAGGTATTTCTTACTTAAGGCAAATATAATTATATGAAACTCCAAACTAAATAAAGAAATTGTCCAACTCTTTTTAATTACAATTTAAAATACCTGAAGACAAGTGACGAATATGGTAATGTTATTTTCCAACAATCAGAGCCAATCACAAATGTTAAGTAAAATACAACCCTTCCCATCTTTTTGCTTTTATTTCTGCATTGTTCCATTTCCTCTCTATGCTGTCAGTGTCTCATACACAAATCAATTCAAATAGGAATAAGAACAATATAGTAAATATTGATTGCTTCACTGATATTTTGTTGTGGTCCTATGTTTGTCTGGTAGTCCACATGTACATTGGAGTATCTTCTCTCGTTAATGTATTGTATACAGAGGCAGGACTTTTGAAGCTAAATGTCAAATAACCTCATTCATACTTATATCAATCAATAATTGGCTATTGAGATCAATGATACTCTTTCGTTTTTGTAGTAATGAGTTTTTGCCTTTTGAGGTAATTCTATGTTCAGAACAAATGTTCTAATACGAGAAAATGTAGCATTGTCACATATGCGTTAATTTAAAATTTATTTATTACTGATGTAAGCACAGCTATATGTAAAATATTATGTGTTCAGGAACAAAAAAATATCAAATCATTGTGAGGTTTTTCAATTGATTGGTCACCTGTATCCTGAATTACGAAAAACATTTTGGCCCTATCTTCATGATTTGTAGAAATAGTAAATGAAATACTTTTTACATATTCAAACAAAAATCATCCAATGGACACATTTCTCAAATTAATCTTAACATGCAGAATTTTCTGCATCTGTTGAATTCTCTGTCACAATGCAAAGTTGTTAATGAAACATTATCAAATGAATAATTAAGATTTAAAAAAAAAAAAAATTTGACTGCATACTTATAAACTGTTATGCAAAATAAACTGAAACAAAACAAGTCTATCTTCTTCTTTGTTTATGTGTTGGTCCTGAACTTGTTGGGGCATTATTTGTTGATTCTGACTCTGTTTCTTGTTTCACTTTTAGCCACTTTAGAGGTTTTCTTCTGAACATCGGCCAAGGTGGTAATGTCAGCTGTGAACAGCAATAGGATTTTTAATTAAAAGATTGATATAATTTTACTGGATCCATTTCTGTATGTATTATTCAATGTTTATCATATTATAGAAAAGTTTGATGTGTACCATGTAAGTACTTGGCTTACAGAAGGATCCACTAGTCCACTTCCTGAAGTTATAAAAACCTATCTTTACCAGAATTAATGTATCACAGAAGTTGTAATATCAAACAAGTATAAACACACCTAACCTACAGCATAGCTGAAATTACATGCAAAATACATATTGAACTATAAAATTATAAAACAACACAATGATACCAAACTTACAAAACAGGAGATAACAAAGCCGGCTATGAGAATATACATGGTCTGTGAAAACTGCTGGCAGATGTATCCCCAAATAAAGCCGACCACCTGTAGGAAATAATGCATACATATAGGATTTTGTATCCACTTCCTATATAAACATAAAGATAACAAGAGGCCCTATTAGCCTTCAGATTTACATATACTTTTATTGAGAAACATAGTGTCAGACCGATTGCCCTCCCACTGTGATGTTTCAGAGCAAATATGGTCATTTCTCTTAGAGACTGCCTACCTCAATATTCCCAAGGGTTAAAATCAACTTTATCTATTTAAGAAATGATATCCCTCCCCTAGTGATATTTCCAACCAAATTTGGTTGAAATCCACACAAGTGGTTAGGAAGAATAGCAGCATTTGTAGCCCTCCTCCTCTCTTTTCCCTACATATCTATATCTATTCAATAAATGACTGTCATCTTTCAAAACGTTTCGGACCAAATTTGATTTAAACCTGCTTAGGCCTGAAGGCGGAATAGCATTTTAAAGCATGATTTAATAATTTCCCCTTTAGGGCCTCAACCCTGTCAACAGGGTTCAAATCAACTTCAACTATTTAAGAAATGATTCTCTGTCTGAATGATATTTCAGACCAAATTTGGTTGGAATCTGAGATTTAGGAGGAGTGGTGTTTCAACAGGAAAGTATACAGTCTGGCCCACAATAATGGACAAATCTCAAAAGCAATAATTTATCCTCATCCTCTAGATAAGATGATCTAAAGAATGGCAAGTACATATTATTGTATGCTATCACAATTATTGACATTAATATACAACATAAATTCTTGATTATATACCAAAAGTATGATCTAAATCAGTGGGCTGGCTGGGGCTAAGAGGAATTCCATTTACAATACCATACCGGCGTATTATATCACTATACAACTGTACAGTATATATATTACAATAATTTTCAAAATAGAGCAGTTTGATTGGACATAATTATATAAAATGATAATCCAAGTCTATCAATATTAATACAGAAGCTCTATCAAGTTCCATCCCAGTGAAAACTGGTCTGTTATTCAAAACCTTCCTTTTACTTACCCCAAACACCATTATAATGATTTGGAACCATTTTTCTGCCCTTTTCTGTCCATCAAAATCCTACAACAAATGAAAAAGTGACACTTTAGAAATGTTATATATTCATTGACTTTCTTTCTTCAAAGCAGAGATTTTACAATATGTCAACCATTTTTTCCTGTTTTCTACAACATATTGATTAAGTTATTCATTTCACTTATATTAATATGTACATTGTTTGCAATGATTACCATCAGAGTCCACCATCTTTCATTCACTAGTGTTATTCTTGTTTTCAAACCAAGAATGAAGTGGTCTTCTAGACTGTCAAAGTAAACATATCAATGGACGTCCAGAAAATCAACAAGACAAAAATAGCAACTTGTACTGATCTGTGAACTGACCTGCACACTAAACATGAAAGTGAACAGTGATATCAAACCCAACAGTAAATTGTGTGAAGGATACCAAACTGACGGATATTAAATTTGTGTGTGAAAGATACCAAACTGGTGGGTGTTTAGTCGGTGTGTGAAGAACATTAAACCAATGTCAATTGGTTGCCAAAAAATGGCAAGAAAAACAAATATATTACTACAACAAAGAATAACTGCAATAGTTGTCTCAATCCACTTGTTTTGTAAAACAACACATAACTTTGTATGCTGTGACTCCTTTACCCTTGAGGTTCTCTTCTAATTTTGGAGTCAAACAATATCCATACTGCCACCTTGCAACAACACCATGTCTCCTGCTCTACCAGCACGACTATTCCCTACCTTGGATCACCCTACACTACTTTATGCCATCTTCTTCCATTCACTCTACTTTTGCTACCTTGCCTCAACATCCTATACTAGCTTACAATGCCATCCTGATTTACTAATACCACTCTTTGCCCTTGCATTACCCTACATCATTCTTGCCATTTTCATTCACTAATTCCTATCTTGCATCAACCTGCACATATAGTAACATTCTACACCATTTTGCTCCATTCTCTGATATCTTGTGTCTACTTTAGCATACTAATGCCATTCTGCTCCACTAATGCAAGCTTAGCCTGCACAATCTTATACATATAAGGTTGCCATCTCAATGTAACCGACCTCTGACGAGTTACAATATACCAGTTTTAACAAAAACAATCAGTAACAATGGAACAATACAGTTCCAAAATTATATGGATAATTTTGTTTTGGTCTTGTACTCCACCAATTTTGTATTGATATCAAGGTGTCGTTTATTTTTTTCCCCAAAACCAGTTTTACAGTATCATATACCAGGCCCTGCTTATGATCAATATACTGAGAGCAGTCGAGGGGAGGCAAATCTTACAAAGAAACAGGAAAAAATATCAAAAAACTGAAACTATCATGTCCGTGCTCTGATTGGAACGTTGATAAATACTGAAGACCCATATCTAAATTTAGACAGATTTTTTTCATGTCATTTACAAAACTGAATAAATAGTTATAAAAAAGCAAGCATTAAAACATGGCTTTCTTAGAAATAAAGAAGATCAACGTTAAAATATGGAAATACATCCAGCACGATTATTTAGTAATTTAAAGCAAAATCTGCATCATCGAACGTTATTTGAAACTATCAGATACTCATTTTATAGAGCTGGTAAAAGAATATTAATAATTCGTTTTCAATATCGTCGGCGAACAGCTGCTACATTTTCGCACTTTCCATAAATTTCATTGAATTATAAAACCGAGGCTTGAAAATTCTGAAACACTCAAAGTGATTCCTTCTGAGGAAAAGGAATAATTACCATATGTGTTGGAATGTTTTTGATAAAAGCCGGTACAAATTTCTCGAGATATTCCATAATTTCTTCAGTAGTGAGCTGCAACAAGAGGAGCCGGAAGTTGACGTTGCGTTAGAAAAACGACAGTAGAACTCTTTTATTTTGGAGTCGAAATATCCGTATCCGGTTTGAAAAAAATGAGAGCTTTAAGTGTAAAGCAGCAGTACTGTTAACGATTCAATGGTGGCTTAAAGCAGTAAACATTCGCAGACGTATCACGTTTGGAAAATGGGTGTTCCGAAATTTTACAGATGGATTAGCGAACGCTTTCCATGTCTGAGTGAAGTTGTAAAGGAGTTTCAGGTAAGACGACCACTTTCATAATCAAGTTTACAGGACATAATACTTTCCAAGAATTGTGCAACATTTCATTATCCTCTCATCGTGTGTGGATGGAAACGAAATTAGCAGAATGAAAGAAATATAAAAAAACCTACTGCATTTGAAAAAGGTGGTAATTGCACTGAAGCTCTCACACTGTTGGACATACAATGGCAAAGGCAAAATTAAAAACTCTTTGGCAATTTAAAAATTGCATTTGTGAAATTCCCAATTGCTCATTACAGAGGATAAATATCTGCTGAACTCAGACATATTGGTGTAAACATAAACAAAGGAGTGTTTATTAAATAACCTGACTATTGCATTATTTTCATATCACGGTTAGTGGTATACATTTTGTCTCTGAAATAATAATTTGATGTCAGTATTCACATTTATGATTATTTATTGATATTTACGCATTTATTGACTATGCTTATTTTAACTATCAATTTTTTATCAGAAAAAAAACATATGAGTACATTCAGCTGATGCAAATTGATTAACTATTCATGAAAAACATGATTAATATTGAACATTACTCAAGGAAATGATTATTATGAAACATGATTTAACCAGCTGGCTAATGAATACTTATTAGGAAACATATGCTAAACCTTAGACCCATCAGTTGTGATCATCTTTTTTGTTTACTTTGTAGATTCCTGAGTTTGACAACCTTTACCTGGACATGAATGGCGTTGTCCACACATGTTCACACCCTGATGATGGCAATCCACATTTCAGAATCACAGAAGAGAAAATATTTAAAGATATATTTTATTACCTGGAGGTACACATGATTTTGTAAATCAATATAATATTAAGCCTTACAGTATCAGATGTTGATATCAAGAATGTGTGTCCTTGGATTTTTTTCAATTGATTGACACACAAACTTAAAATCTCTTTATCAACCTCAGACCTGATAATAATGATAGCTTAAGCAGATAATTAATAGATCAATTTTAACTGAAATTTTCTAATTCACTCAATTTTCCTATAAAAAATTGCTTTTTATAACTTTTATATCTATTACTGGTGTATGACCTTTGTTTTTGCTATATACATGTTTACTGATTTAGGTCTTTTTCATGTGTCTGTAATGCTGTAATTCTTGTCTAATTAATAGATTTTCATTCTCTTACAGTTTTTGTTTCGTACCATCAAACCAAAGAAAGTTTTCTTCATGGCAATAGATGGTGTGGCTCCCCGAGCAAAGATGAACCAACAGCGAGGACGAAGATTCAGGTCATTATTATTTAGGGTTGTGTTCCCAATCCAGTGCTATCACTCTGTAGGCCTCATTTCTTAGCAAATATAGATTAATTTTAATATACAATAAGGTGGTATGTCAGAATAATTAGTATTTACTGACACTTTTTTTTCTTGGTGCAGTTCTGTTTCACTGCTATTTTCTTGTTAGGACTACAAAGAACATGGGTTGTTTGAGAGGTGATTCTTTGCAGAGGATCTGCAACACAAAATCAAATCTCTCTACTCTATATTTAGTATAATTTTGGTATTTTATATAGAAATATTTCTGATTTTTACAGATCTGCACGAGATGCAGAAGAATTAGAACGCAAAGCAAGGGAGTCAGGTGAAACACTTCCTACAGAGAAAAGATTTGACTCCAATTGTATTACACCAGGTATAGTTAGATTATATTGCCTTGTAATTTCTTGTTTTTGTCCACTGGAATATAAATCTGAAGCATTGTTTTTGCAGCTACTTACATATACATTCTTCCATATATACATGATATGTTAAATTCTTACTGTATAACAGCATCAACAGTAAACACTACAGATAAGTTAATGATATATAATAGAATCCATTAAGACAACACAACAATATTTGTTAATACACATTTTCCCAAATTTGTGTTTGTTAGTTATTGATATTTTTCAGCAATAAAAGGTACAGCAATTAAATTTGTTTCGCGAATATTTTATTTTGCAAACTCGCCTCTGCAGACTTATTTAGGAAATCAGAATTTTGTCAACACTGATCTTAAAAAAATGTAGAAATCGTGCCTGATGAGCATGGATATCACTGTCCACCATATACCTTCATTATGACTCTTTCAATTGAAAAAGGACCCCCCTCCTACCCTAAAAAAATCAGTATAGAGTTTTACTCTACTTATAAATGATGTGAGTCACCAGACTCTTACAACTGATAAATTTAAGGGTCCCAGGGAAAACACAGGATGAGATTAGTGATATGAACTACTAAAAGCTCCTATATTGGCAACCAATAGCTGTTAGTGCTAGGATGTCATCAACAGTATTGTACAAATAATTATGAAAGATTTGAATTTGCATTTGGCTCTCCTTATATATTCACATGAAAATAAATCTGATACAAAATACAAGTGATTTAATGTAGTTTCTTTTTTTAAAAGTTAAATTCTAATCTCCTTATCATTAACTTTAATCCTTGTTACTTGATCAAAACATTTATCTTATGTTTGAACAAAATGTTTTTGCTGCTGGATGACAGGTACTGAGTTCATGGTACGACTGCAGGAACAGTTGAAGTACTTTGTTGTGAACAAGATCTCCACAGATCCACTATGGCAAGGTGTGCAGGTGCACTTATCAGGCCATGAGGTAATCTGCACCCCCATGTAATTAACATAAAACTGGAAATCATCCATATTTACCAGCCTAGAACAAGACATCCCCTCTTCTTATTAGACAAAAAATAGAACTTTAAATCTCCTGTACAAGTAGTCCTAAAGAAAATAATTTGTATAAAGCAGGCCCAAATTAGAGCAGAATGTGTCAGCTGTATTGATCTGCCTGGAAATGTAAACTGAACACAAAGAAAATTACTTGTACAACAGAAGTTAAACAGTGAGGAAGTTGAGCTGAAAGATATTTTTTTTGTAAAATTGCGTGTTACCATTTTCAAAAAGAAGTGCAAGATCAACTTTCAGTAAAATAACTGGTACTAAATTTCTGTTTCATTTTATTTTCACATATCATTTTCTACAATGTGATGATTTGTGTTTGTCATGTAGACGCCTGGTGAGGGAGAACACAAGATCATGGATTATATCCGCCATGAGAAATCCAAGCCAAATTATGACCACAACACAAGGCATTGCTTGTATGGTTTAGATGCTGATCTGGTAATTATGATATTTTCTGCTGAATTTTAAAATTTGATCTTATTCTCTTGAATACCATGAGAGATATTTTAATGTGAATTTTAATATGTTTAGTTTTTTGGTATTTGTTTAGGCTAATATTTAGCAGAAAAGCAGTCTGATTAACTTAAATAACGTCATTTTTAAGCTACTATAATATTGATATCAAACACCTGATGGCCAACAGATATACTCTGACTTTGTATGACTGTATTAAGATATGGAAGTCTACTATGTTTTAACAGATGATGCTGGGTCTTTCAAGTCATGAACCTCATTTCTCCCTACTAAGAGAAGAAGTAAAATTTGGTAAAAAAGACTCAAAAAAGTAAGTTGAGTGTTTTGATGCCTTTCCACGATGTATTGGATGAGTCAGTTTAGTGTTGACTTTTCTAGTATTAGTTACTATTACACTGTACATACAGGATACACTAGTGGACTGTTCTCAACATTCAAAACTTTCCCAAAATACACTTGTTGACTTGTATAATTGCTATTATGTATCTGTCATGAAAATGCTAGTTATCTTAACAAGTGTCTACCATATAATACTTGGTTATTCGGTAATTGTTAAATAAATCATGGATATATTTGAGTATGATGTGTAATGCATACATTTGAGTATGATGTGTAATGCATACATTTGAGTATGATGTGCAATGTATACATTTGAGTATGATGTGTAATGCATACATTTGAGTATGATGTGCAATGTATACATTTGAGTATGATGTGTAATGCATACATTTGAGTATGATGTGCAATGCATACATTTGAGTATGATGTGTAATTTATACATTTGAGTATGATGTGCAATGTATACATTTGAGTATGATGTGTAATGTATACACCTGAGTATGATGTGTTATGTTTACACCTGAGTATGATGTGTAATGTATACACCTGAGTATGATGTGTAATGTATATACTTCAGTATGATGTGTAATGTATACACCTGAGTATGATGTGTAATGTATACACCTGAGTATGATGTGTAATGTTTACACCTGAGTATGATGTGTAATGTATACACCTGAGTATGATGTGTAATGTATACACCTGAGTATGATGTGTAATGTATACACCTGAGTATGATGTGTGATGTATACACCTGAGTATGATGTGTAATGTATACACCTGAGTATGATGTGTAATGTTTACACCTGAGTATGATGTGTGATGTATACACCTGAGTATGATGTATGATGTATACACCTGAGTATGATGTGTAATGTATATACTTCAGTATGATGTGTAATATATACACCTGAGTATGATGTGTGATGTATACACCTGAATATGATGTGTGATGTATACATCTGAGTATGATGTGTGATGCATACACCTGAGTATGATGTGTGATGTATACACCTGAGTATGATGTGTGATGTATACACCTGAGTATGATGTGTGATGTATACACCTGAGTATGATGTGTGATGTATACACCTGAGTATGATGTGTAATGTATATACTTCAGTATGATGTGTAATGTATACACCTGAGTATGATGTGTGATGTATACACCTGAGTATGATGTGTGATGTATACACCTGAGTATGATGTGTGATGTATACACCTGAGTATGATGTGTGATGTATACACCTGATTATGATGTGTAATGTATATACTTAAGTATGATGTGTAATGTATACACCTGAGTATGATGTGTGATGTTAACACCTGAGTATGATGTGTGATGTATACACCTGAGTATGATGTGTGATGTATACACCTGAGTATGATGTGTAATGTTTCAATCTTGATATATTCTTTTTCACAGACCATCAACACCTGAAGAGACAACTTTCCATCTTTTACATTTGTCCTTGTTTCGAGAATACCTTGACTTCGAATTTTCAGCATTGAAGGTAAGGAAAAAAACTTGTTATTGATGGACCTATACCACTGCCTAAATCATCTGTTTTCTGAGAGAAATTGCTGAGTGATGAATTATTTGCCTAGTTTTCTTTCACACTAATCATGAACTTTTCACTTTTGCCCATTGTTGATGTTAACATTAAGATTTAGCCCATCATTTTTTGTCCTTGTATTGGACAAAGGGTCAAAAGAGTGAAAGTCAGACTGCGAGGAAAAATTTTCCTGTGTACTGTGTACACTATATTTTTCAGCTGAAATTGGATGTAGACTTTAGATATACAGTTAATGAATATGGTATATATTTGGGTGATGCTTTACAGGTACAAGAATGTTGTTAGAATGTATTTAAAATCAGTGTGATATGTTACAGTTCTTTAATGAATATATTAAATTAATGTCAGTTTTGCTGTAAGAGTACATCAATTGATCATGACTTGAATAAATCTTGACCAGAACCTGTGGTCATGATACATTTTTTTCATTATTTTTTATGAAAGGTTGATGGTTTCCATGGTGATTTAAAGTGTACAAAATTAACATGACAATATGTAATTATGATGGTTATAATCTACAGGACAAGCTACCCTTTGGGTATGACCTTGAAAGGGTTATTGATGACTGGATCCTGATGGGGTTTTTGGTAGGAAACGACTTCATTCCTCATCTACCTAACCTACACATCAATCATGATGCTCTGCCACTCATCTGGTCGACATACATCAATGTGTTACCTCGCTGTGGAGGTGAGGGACAGACTGCTGTTTTTATAATAGCCGTACTAATGAAATAGAAACTAGACTCTTCATCCATTAGACACTGTTATTAAAAGTAACCAGTAAATAATAATTACACTAGGAAATCCTGATTAGTACAAACCATGTGGTGGGAATCTTTTAATTGGGGAGCAAAAGAATTGTAATTTAATTAGATGTACAAAATTTATATAACTTACTGGACATGGACAAGTAACTTTCTCAATGGTAAAGTAGTATTGCAAGATAGAAGTAGGATAATTGAGTACAGTGACTATCTTTATAAATCTCATGTAATAAACTCATCATTCCAGGGTATCTCCATACTGGTGGCAAACTACACCTGGACAGATTTGAGATCTTCATGACAGAACTAGCCAAGGTAAGGTCATTTGTACAATTTGACCTACATAATTTGGTGGGAATGATGTCTTATTTTCCATGGGACAGATTGGTGAATTGAAAAGAAAACATGTTCAAATAAACACTGAGTTATCCTCTGCCCATGTGTTATCATCTGGAAGCATGGAAGTGATGTGTTGGATGAAACAAATTGATTATTGTTGTGCTAGGTACTGTTTCATTATAAAGATGGACATACTCATGTAGTTATCTCCCTTGTTTTACTGCCAGAATCCCATATCGTTATTGTATGAAAACATGAATTTTAATTACTTTGTAAATATAACAAAAACTGACTTTACTGCGATCTACCCATGTTAAAATGTTATTATTTAGAAACAACATGTACTTTTACAAGGATTTAAATTTTTCACAGATAATCCTATAATAATTGTTTAAATTTCAGTTTGACTTTGAAAAATTTGAAGAGACATTTGCAGATCTGAAATGGCTTGAAAGCAAAACAGAAAAATGTCCTACAAGGAAGAAAAACCACCATAAGGAAATAAGCAAACTAAAACAGGTAAACAGAGGAAAAGGTCATCATATCCACTTTTTAATGTACATCAGATATAGGTATTAATTAGATGTACTTCATAGATCAGTGGTTTTGCTTGAATGAAGATAATCTGCCAATCTCATTTTGGTTATTCATTTCATGTCTGATGATGGTGTTAAGATTTGTTTGTCAGCTGAAACTTAGTACAGGTATTTTGTTCTTTTCAGAGAAAACAGGATGATAATCAGTTTGCTGCCTTGATGGAGGAGAGTGGAGTTAATGTGGACGAGGAATTTGATGAAGACTTTATGGGTAATATACCTTACTGAGAAAATTATTATTTGTAATGGTATGCTATAAAAATTTGAACTGTTGAAATATATTATACAGTGCGAATTAGCATCAATTGAAGTAAAAAAATATCTGTCTGGCTCCCACTTTATGTACAGTTCTCTGGTTGACTCCTTTTTAAGCGTTTTCCACATTAGCATTTGAATGATTTTGAAAACTTGGACGCATGAAGTAAAAAGAAAGATTATATCACATGATTGTTACAGATGGGGATGGATTAGAATTTCATCACTTACCTGATATCAAACAAGACAGTCATGGTTCCACATTTGACGAGGAGTTTCGAGTACACAAACGTCACTACTACATGACAAAAATGGACTACAAACAGTTCACAGAGTAAGGAAACAGATAGTGAAAAAGTTGTGAGAGTGAGGAAATGAATATATTTTACAATTCTATGGTCATATATTATGGCTAGGTAACATCAGTCTTTAATTTTGTTCTGAGTAATGTTAGGTTAAACATATAGGCACTTTCATCCCAAGTGACAATGTAAAGAGTAAAAGAAGTTCTTGGAGTAAAGATGATCCTAATTTGGATCATTGCTTAGAACAGATTAAACAAAAGACAGTTTCACACAGCTGAAAACTGCCTCCGTCGATTTAAAATGACAATCATTCTGTTTTCTCCACTTACATTACAGTGATGTGTTGAGAGAACAAGCAGAGTGTTATGTGCGAGGTATACAGTGGATATTGTATTACTACTTTGATGGAGTACCATCCTGGAGTTGGTAAGTTTTATTTTATATGGACGATCCCGGTTTGGTAAATATTAATTCCCGAGATGCTTTCCTATATTTGGTGAGTTAAGATACTTTAGTTTACCTTGAAGTCATTAGCCTCTTTAAAATTGGCTTCTTGAAATCAATTGATATAACTTTTGTGATGGAGTTGTGTCCTGGAGTTAGTAAATACTTACTCTGATGGCTTGGTATCTTGGATTTGGTAAATACCTCTACTTTGATGGAGTGGTATTTTGGAGTTGGTAAATACCTCTACTTTGATGGAATGGTATTTTGGTATTTTGGATTTGGTAAATACCTCTACTTTGATGGAGTGGTATTTTGGAGTTGGTAAATACCTCTACTTTGATGGAGTGGTATTTTGGAGTTGGTAAATACCTCTACTTTGATGGAGTGGTATCTTGGAGTTGGTAAATACCTCCACTCTGATGGAGTGGTATCTTGGAGTTGGTAAATACCTCCACTCTGATGGAGTGGTATCTTGGAGTTGGTAAATACCTCTACTCTGATAGAGTGATATTTTGGAGTTGGTAAATACCTCCACTCTGATGGAGTGGTATCTTGGAGTTGGTAAATACCTCCACTCTGATGGAGTGGTATCTTGGAGTTGGTAAATACTTCTACTCTGATGGAGCAGTATTTTGGAGTTGGTAAATACCTCTGTTCTGATAGTATCATATCTTTGACTTAATATTAACCTCTTTTAATGATATTAAATTCTAATGAATATCTTCCTTGACAGGTTTTATCCCCACCACTATGCACCATACATCAGTGATATTAGGAGTTTCAAACATATGGAAATCCAGTTTGACCGCAGTAAACCCTTTCTACCGTTCCAGCAGTTGATGGCTGTACTGCCATCTAACAGCAAGGACCTATTGCCTCAAGCATACTGGGTATGTACTTACAAAACACTATACAAACATTCAACCTAACAATAAACAATCTCCAGACAGAGATACAGAAATTTAGCTCACCTCCATGAATGGTTAGTGAACTAATGTCTTGGTTTATCGTCCGTCTGAAATCCATAACCACAATGCCCATGACAGTCACATTGGACCTGTGGCATGCTGGGATAAAGGCCTACCAAGTTTGATCAAATGAATGACCTTGACTGTCTTTTAAAATCACAAATCTTTAAACAACTTCTTCTCGAAAACCAATAACCTCTTTCTCAGTCACAGACTTAAAGTTGTATGTGCTATGTCTATAAGAACAAATTCTTCTTGATAACAAAGAGGCCTTTTATCATTAAATTAACACAGCAGGAAGCTGAACGAAGACTTTCGAAATCATTCATATGAATGACCTTGACACACTTTTAATGCCAACCATTAACTCCAGGGTCATAGTATCTTTGATATGTTTTGGAAATGGTCTTCTAGTTTGCCAAAGTTGACTTTATCAACAAAGTTTTCATTCTAGGTTACAGAAAAGATGACATACGACATCATGTTGAATTATTATTGCACAAATTTACTTAGGATTCTGGGCCACTATTGTAAAATTCAAAGTGTGTGGTCTTCATTAAAACCCTGTTGGGAGCCACCTATCTGCTCACTTATTTAATCCCAACAGGTAAGTTTACCATGGGATGTTTGAGGGACACCTGCCAGTATTGACCTGTTCATAGACCCAAATGACTTTTTATGCCTTATTAACAGCATATGGTACAACACACAGAGGAACACAAGTCTAATTAAGTTTCAAATTTAGTAGGTGTCTTGTTTTTTTTTTCAGATAGCATTGTGAAGGTAAATCCCTGATAATTAACGGCTTGCATTGCTTCATATAAAAAATGACCAAGTCAGATTTCAAACAGATCTCTCCCTTAGTGTTTCATTTACCAATCACAAACTGTCCTTGCTATATGTACTGTACTCCTATATATATATAGGATATACTGCATGTTAATTTGAAAACTGTTGTCATATTACAACAAATATTCCTAATGAAAATGGGAATTCATTAACAATGTTTTAATTCTCAGTGATTAATTTTTGTGATTATGCTTCAAATATAAATTTGCCAAAGTAAAAACCATGCAAAATCAGTTGGTTTAGAGCATATGTAAACATTCAACATAAATAGACAAAAGGCAAAATTATCTATCTTGTAATCAACCACTGAATTAGCCGATGTATTTTTTAAGCATATGTCAAAAGTGTAATATAGCCTTCAGTACCTATATTTCATTGGTTTCGCGAGCCAGAAATCAATTCCTTGTCAATTTTGATGTTATGATATAAAATATGACATAACATCATGAATTGTAAATCGCACAACAATGTTGGTTGCCTCTGTTTGATTTAGTCCTTTATATTTTGACTTTAAAACCAATCAAAACGTAACTTTCTTAATTGAATGATAATAGATATGAAACTTTGAGATTGTTATGAAACTCATCTTAACGTTGCAATGTTTGCATACCAAGGCTAAAAAAAAAATTCACTTCTAAGACTCTTCATGAAATCATAAATAAAAACTCATTTAAGATCCTGATTATGTTGATGTATATTTACTGACTGTATGGAATTCTGGTTTATTGTTTCAGTTAATTTTGTAAGCTTATTTGTACTTGACAGAGTTTAATGCTAATGGACAACTCTGAAATCATTGATTTCTACCCGGTCAACTTCGAAACTGATCTCAATGGAAAGCTGCAGGACTGGGAGGCTGTCGTCCTTATTCCATTCATAGATGAGGTACACTCTTCATGATATTAGGATTGGGAAAATACAGTCTGCAAGACTAGCATAAAATTATGTTTTTTTTTGGGCTCAAATTCGTGGTTTTACAAAATTATGTATTTTTCTTCGCTTTTGATTTGGGGGATATGTGTTATCCACAAAATCCACTAGTACTCAAGTTTCCTGTCAATTTTTAATTTTTTATTTCACTGATATATAAATTTGTGGATTAAGATTATCCACAGATTCAACAATTATAAAATAAGTGTTCTAGACTAATTGTCTCTCATGTATACAGTCAAGTTAAATTTCCACTTAATGTAAAGGCATGGTAGTATAAATTCATGGTTTTATTGCTAATGATAATGGTATTCAACAGATCGCTTAAAATTTATATGTAAAGCCTTTATTTTTAAAATAAAAAGAAATTAATCAAATGAAAAATAGCATTTCTTTTGCATTTTTAGTAAACAAATAATTGTATCTGTACAAAATGGACAGGATCTTTTATTGTTGTCTTCTTGTAGAAACGTTTGCTCACTGCCATGGAAAAAGTTGAATGTCAGATGACACCCTCAGAAAAGAAGAGAAATTGTCACAGTCCAAGTCTGTGTTTTGACTATGTCCCTGATCTCCTGCCTGCCTATCCCTCGTCCTTACCAGGAACTTTCTCAGATATTCTCATCAACCATGCTCAGTAAGTACACTGTGTTACAACAGTATCACCATTCTCCTGCCTCCTACCTGTCATCCTTACCAGGAACTTTCTCAGATATTCTCATCAACCATGCTCAGTAAGTACACTGTGTTACAACAGTATCACCATTCTCCTGCCTCCTACCTGTCATCCTTACCAGGAACTTTCTCAGATATTCTCATCAACCATGCTCAGTAAGTACAGTGTTACAACAGTATCACCATTCTCCTGCCTCCTACCTGTCATCCTTACCAGGAACTTTCTCAGATATTCTCATCAACCATGCTCAGTAAGTACACTGTGTTACAACAGTATCACCATTCTCCTGCCTCCTACCTGTCATCCTTACCAGGAACTTTCTCAGATATTCTCATCAACCATGCTCAGTAAGTACAGTGTTACAACAGTATCACCATTCTCCTGCCTCCTACCTGTCATCCTTACCAGGAACTTTCTCAGATATTCTCATCAATCATGCTCAGTAAGTACAGTGTTACAACAGTATCACCATTCTCCTGCCTCCTACCTGTCATCCTTACCAGGAACTTTCTTAGATATTCTCATCAACCATGCTCAATGAGTTTACTGTTTTAAGACAACATAACCAATCTTCCGTCACCTTCCCCTCATCCATGCTTGGAACTTTTCCGTATCACTTTATAAACATTTCAACTGGGTTTGCAAAAATGGTTCAATGTTTGCTTCTTTTTTGTTTACCAGTACACTTTCCAACATTGAACAAAAGAGCCAATTTAATCTGTTCATATGATTAAATCTATAAAAAATTCTTGCAACATTGGATTTTACCAGTCTAAAAAAATCACTGTGAAGTATGTTATAAAATCTGCTTTGGATTATTCAAGTTTAATATACAAACTTGTATAATCACATAAAAAATTGGAAGAAAGTACTGGAAGCATATATTAAGAAGAAAAACATTATTTCAATGAATTATTCCTCAGTGTTACATAATACTGTCGGAGCCTTGTAAGTAAAGTGAGGTTTTGAACATGTTTAAAATATTTGACAGCACGGTAAGTTACATGTATTGAACAATATAAACAAGTGTTGTACTTTTTGTTCGTGGAAGTAAAATTTGTTGCATATTAATCAGGTAGTACTATATGAAAGAATTTTTACTTCACTATATGACAGACTAACGCTGATCCCCAAAGATGAATTCCAACTGCCTCGTCACCTCATCAAGAAAGGGCTACTAAAAGAAACACGACAGGATGTGTATTTCCCTGGCTTTCCTACCTTCAAGCATCTACCTCATAAGGTAAGTGTTTTCAACCTTCAGACATCTACCTCATAAGGTAAGTGTTTTCAACCTTCAGACCTCTACCTCATAAGGTAAGGCTTTTCTACATTCAATCATCTACCTCATAAGGTAAGGGTTTTCAACCTTCAGACATCTACCTCATAAGGTAAGGGTTTTCAACCTTCAGACATCTACCTCATAAGGTAAGGGTTTTCAACCTTCAGACATCTACCTCATAAGGTAAGGGTTTTCAACCTTCAGACATCTACCTCATAAGGTAAGGGTTTTCAACCTTCAGACATCTACCTCGTAAGGTAAGGGTTTTCAACCTTCAGACATCTACCTCATAAGGTAAGTGTTTTCAACCTTCAGACATCTACCTTGTAAGGTAAGGGTTTTCAACCTTCAGACATCTACCTCATAAGGTAAGTGTTTTCAACCTTCAGACATCTACCTTGTAAGGTAAGGGTTTTCAACCTTCAGACATCTACCTCATAAGGTAAGGGTTTTCAACCTTCAGACATCTACCTTGTAAGGTAAGGGTTTTCAACCTTCAGACATCTACCTCATAAGGTAAGTGTTTTCAACCTTCAGACATCTACCTTGTAAGGTAAGGGTTTTCAACCTTCAGACATCTACCTTGTAAGGTAAGGGTTTTCAACCTTCAGACATCCACCTCGTAAGGTAAGGGTTTTCAACCTTCAGATATCTATCTCATAAGGTAAGGATTTTTGACCATCAAATATCCATCTCATAAGGTGAAGCTCTTCCACCACCCAAATATCTACCTCATAAAAGTCCTATACATGTACTGATAAAGTAAATACATATATAAAACTCTCTAACTTAGTATTCGAACAGGAAGTGATGAAAATTGATGTAATATGGAACCAGTTACAGATCTTCAATAATGTCTTTGTCTGTAATATTTTTTATGATGTTAGAGGCTGAGGTGTTCAGCAGACGAGCAAGATTTGATAACATTTATCCTCTCCCTGTTTTGATGCTGAGTTTATTCTCCATGCAGATAAAATGTTTGAGGTCAAGGAATTTGTAATGAACAATATTTTCTGTCCTTTTTCAGGCTTACTTGAAGAAAGAGGGTGTGAAAGTGTTTTCAGCCAATAGTCGTGGAGAAAATATGATGCTTTCACTTCTCCCAGTAAAAGATGAGGTAAGTTGACCCATTTGATTTATCATCTTAATTGTGATTATAAATTGAGATTAAGGACATATATAAGGACATGTGGAAATAGACAGAAACACTAAAACTGTCAAAGCAGTCTATACACACTCTTTAATTGTTAAAGGGTATACATATCACACTAGAGATTTATTGAATATGTACCTGGCATATGCCTGATCTGAACAAATTTTTTTTAATTTTAAACAATGCATGTAATCAATAGAGTTTAACATGTTGATATTGAAAACACTGAAGTTTGTTATAAACTTTGTATCTTAACTCTTAATTCTTATTTGGCTCCCATAATTTTTTCCCCAGGATATAAAGACTATTGCCAACTCTGTCCTGCACACCAGCGTGTTTGTAAATTGGCCTCATATGATGGAAGTCAAGGTTGTCTCTGTTTCTGATGGTGGTACACGGTGGGTTTTCATGTAGTGGTCATAGTTAACATAGTAATCATATCTAATTTGGCCCAATTAAGTTTTAGAGCAATACACACAATGACGAATTTGCACATGCATAACAATTGTTATTTAGAAAAGAAATCATATTTTAGCACCATATCTTTAGCATAAAAAGTGATTAAATAAGATTATAAACAAAATATATGTCTTTACAATATTTTAACCAATGATATTGGATATTGCATGATTCTGATCTTGTTCTGCTGTTGGTAGATATGAACTTAGTACTACTAAGTGTGAGGGTGGCCAGACAAAGACGAGAGTTGTGGAGGAGGAGATGACCCCCTCTGACCAGACTATCTGGAGGAAGGATGTTGTAGCTATCAGGGAGAGGTAGGTACTGGGTCTGTGTTCAGGGAGAGATAGGTACTGGGTCGGTGTTAGCTATCAGGGAGAGGTAGGTACAGACTCTGTGTTAGCTATCAGGGAGAGGTAGGTACAGACTCTGTGTTAGCTATCAGGGAGAGGTAGGTACTGGGTCTGTGTTCAGGGAGAGATAGGTACTGGGTCGGTGTTAGCTATCAGGGAGAGGTAGGTACTGGGTCTGTGTTAGCTATCAGGGAGAGGTAGGTATAGACTCTGTGTTAGCTATCAGGGAGAGGTAGGTACTGTCTCTGTGTTAGCTATCAGGGAGAGGTAGGTACTGGGTCTGTGTTAGCTATCAGGGAGAGGTAGGTACTGTCTCTGTGTTAGCTATCAGGGAGAGGTAGGTACTGTCTCTGTGTTAGCTATCAGGGAGAGGTAGGTACTGTCTCTGTGTTAGCTATCAGGGAGAGGTAGGTACTGGGTCTGTGTTCAGGGAGAGATAGGTACTGGGTCGGTGTTAGCTATCAGGGAGAGGTAGGTACTGGGTCTGTGTTCAGGGAGAGATAGGTACTGGGTCGGTGTTAGCTATCAGGGAGAGGTAGGTACTGTCTCTGTGTTAGCTATCAGGGAGAGGTAGGTACTGGGTCTGTGTTCAGGGAGAGATAGGTACTGGGTCTGTGTTAGCTATCAGGGAGAGGTAGGTACAGACTCTGTGTTAGCTATCAGGGAGAGGTAGGTACAGACTCTGTGTTAGCTATCAGGGAGAGGTAGGTACTGGGTCTGTGTTCAGGGAGAGATAGGTACTGGGTCTGTGTTAGCTATCAGGGAGAGGTAGGTACAGACTCTTTGTTAGCTATCAGGGAGAGGTAGGTACTGTCTCTGTGTTAGCTATCAGGGAGAGGTAGGTACTGGGTCTGTGTTCAGGGAGAGATAGGTACTGGGTCGGTGTTAGCTATCAGGGAGAGGTAGGTACTGTCTCTGTGTTAGCTATCAGGGAGAGGTAGGTACAGACTCTGTGTTAGCTATCAAGGAGAGGTAGGTACTGGGTCTGTGTTAACTATCAGCGAGAGGTATGTACTGGGTCTGTGTTAGCTATCACGGAGAGGTAGGTACTGGCTCTGTGTTAACTATCACGGAGAGGTAGGTACTGTCTCTGTGTTAACTATCACGGAGAGGTAGGTACTGTCTCTGTGTTAGCTATCAGGGAGAGGTAGGTACAGACTCTGTGTTAGCTATCAAGGAGAGGTAGGTACTGGGTCTGTGTTAACTATCAGCGAGAGGTATGTACTGGGTCTGTGTTAGCTATCACGGAGAGGTATGTACTGGCTCTGTGTTAACTATCACGGAGAGGTAGGTACTGTCTCTGTGTTAACTATCACGGAGAGGTAGGTACTGGTTCTGTGTTAGCTATCAGGGAGAGGTAGGTACAGACTCTGTGTTAGCTATCAAGGAGAGGTAGGTACTGGGTCTGTGTTAACTATCAGCGAGAGGTATGTACTGGGTCTGTGTTAGCTATCACGGAGAGGTAGGTACTGGCTCTGTGTTAACTATCACGGAGAGGTAGGTACTGTCTCTGTGTTAACTATCACGGAGAGGTAGGTACTGTCTCTGTGTTAACTATCAGGGAGAGGTAGGTACAGACTCTTTGTTAGCTATCAAGGAGAGGTAGGTACTGTCTCTGTGTTAGCTATCAGGGAGAGGTAGGTACAGACTCTGTGTTAGCTATCAAGGAGAGGTAGGTACTGGGTCTGTGTTAACTATCAGCGAGAGGTATGTACTGGGTCTGTGTTAGCTATCACGGAGAGGTAGGTACTGGTTCTGTGTTAGCTATCACGGAGAGGCAGGTACTGTCTCTGTGTTAACTATCACGGAGAGGTAGGTACTGGGTCGGTGTTAGCTATCAGGGAGAGGTAGGTACTGGGTCTGTGTTAGCTATCAGGGAGAGGTAGGTACTGGGTCTGTGTTAACTATCAGCGAGAGGTATGTACTGGGTCTGTGTTAGCTATCACGGAGAGGTAGGTACTGGGTCTGTGTTAACTATCAGCGAGAGGTAGGTACTGTCTCTGTGTTAACTATCACGGAGAGGTAGGTACTGTCTCTGTGTTAACTATCAGGGAGAGGTAGGTACAGACTCTTTGTTAGCTATCAGGGAGAGGTAGGTACTGGCTCTGTATTAGCTATCAGGGAGAGGTAAGTACTGGCTCTGTGTGACAGAATTAACCTGTTTGACACACCGTTACCCCCAATATATGGTCACCACTGTTACAGTGCATCAGAAAAAGCTTATTATTTAAAATCAATGAATCAGAAAGTCATTCTGTTTTGAAATAATTTTGATATGTTGATTTTTGCTTTGTCAGGTATCATGACCGCCTCGGAGTGGATGTGGGTCAAACTCATGTATCTCTTAGGGCATTACCTCTTGTGGGCAGGAAGTGAGTATTTTTACAAGAATAATCCTGGTTCACTGTCTACAGTGTTTGACAGTGTCTTATTACACTTGTAAATGTGATTGTTCAGTGGTAAATGGGAGTGTTTAAGTTTGGATGTTTGATGGTAAATGTAAGTGTTTAACCATGGGACAATACTTTTGCCAGTTACTATACCTTCGGTTCTTTTGACAGGTATGTTTGTGGAGCACATGGAAAGATTGTGTTGGAGAAACAGTTTGCCAGTAATCCTGTGACTTTTCTTTACCAAACATCTGTCAAGGTAAATATTTTATTTCAAGTTTTATTTATCTGAAACAACCATTCAGCTACTCCTCTGATTGGCTATCATTCCTTGTCCAACAAAGGTTGGTGAGTATTATGCTAATAGATTTGATCTGTCTGTCAAAAACTAATCAAAATTACTTCACAGATCAGCGCATCAATCATGAAACTTAGCATTTTGTTATGGTGGAAGTTTCGTGTTTGGTATTTGTTTAACCTGGAAACAAATGCCTATTGATTGATGTCTCCAGGTCTCAAGCTTATTCTGATGTCCCTGAGGGGTTCTGCAAGGTTTGGCAGGGGATCTATGTTTATAGTCTGTGGTTTTACATAACTTATATCTGACATTACTGGGATTGACCAAGGTTTACATGGCAGGTGTTATCGAACAAAGAGAAGATGCTTACTCTTCCGGACACCTGTCTTATTCTCCTTGTACTTTTTCATAAGTCTTCATGTAAATCATTCTTTTGTTCAGATTTCCCCCAAGTTTTATTGAATTTGAATTAAGATTATTTTCACATGTTGGTGTTTTCTTGTTGTTTTTTTTTTTAATATTTATCTATAGCCTGTAAAAACAATGTTTTTATCCTCCTTTGTAGAACCTGAATGTGTACGACACATCTTTCTGCCAGTTCAGCACGCTTGGAGAGCTGTTTCCTGCCAAGGAAGCTGTCTTCATGCTGGGATGGCCTCACTATGGTTGTCAGGGGGAGGTAAATGTAACATCTACTTGAAATCAAATGATTACCTGTCTAATTGGAAGGTGTGGTTTTCTTACTCACAAGAAAAAAATGATAATAATTATTTAAATGGCTAAAAATTTGCATCAACTTACACATATAATTAATGAAGAAGAGATTTAAACATTTTTTTGATATCAAATCAAATTGATATCATATTTTATTTTCGATACATGCAGATCAGGATTTGTAGTCAAACATTTAAAAAATTGAAGAGGAAACAATTCTTATGGTGTGTTTTTTAGGTCGTTGATATAGAAGACGATTCCCGAGTGAGAATAAATGTGTCAATCCTTGAGGAACCTTCACTAACCTCTGTGGAGGACAGTCAGGATGTAAGTGTTACATTTTCCATATAAATACTGTCACGTTGACTAACACTAAATCATACCATCAACATCAGGACATAATGTTTTATGCTCTCCATATAATTAATGATATAAGCCTCACACTCTCCACATAATTAGTTCTATGTTCAGTAACACTCAGTTGTACTGTTTACCACTGTTTTTCACATGTCAGTCTCACACTTTTTCAAACCATCTAGCATAAACCTCTAGTCAAGAATTTAAGCTCTTTTGTTGAAATAATTATTCTCCAGCCATTTTATAGATGAAAAATCAAATACCATTTGTCTGATTTGGTTCTTTTGTAGATTTCTCCCATCGTCCTGAGTTTTTACTTGTTAGGTGAATTATCAAAGACATGTGTCATTTAGCCTGAAAAGGTCATTACCTGTCGACTGTTTCAGGTTAAATGGTTGAAATTTCATTTCTGATTTGACCTGTAGTGTATTTTAAGATTAATTAATCACCATGGAATTCTGATACTAAACCAGTGTTAAAGAGTAATGGCGTGTAACCGCCAGATTTGACCTAAACGTGAACAGCAATAGAATAAAAAAATTAATTTTCCATTTTGATGATTTTGGATAGGTTATTTCAGTGAGCTATACCCAAATACCAGTAAACATACTGGATATGTGTTGTGTGTTAATTTTACAGATCATCAAAGTTGCTCTCTGAAGCAATATGTGCTAAAACATGAGAGTTTCCCCTGCTTTGAATGCAATTTTGAAACACAATGTACACATGTACCAACTTTTAGGCAACTGAAACTAATCCAGTGTGATCAGATGTAACTTAAATCCTTTCCTCAAAAACTTGTAAAAGTTTGTGCTGATACCAAAGAATTGAAAAGACAAATAAGACCAAAACTGTTAAGTTTTTATGTGTTTAATTTTGACGCTATTTCCAACGTCATTGTTTATAGATTGGTAAGATCCATTGAATTCATGAGGTCACACAGACATCATAAAATTCCTTATTTTTTTGTTTTCAATACACATTTTTACTAAACCAATTCTAGTGGTAAGTGTCCTTTAATTTAATTCTTCATATGCATTGAGGCAAGTACTGGTCAAAACCCAACCCATTGTCTTTGATAATAATGAATGTAGCTAGTGATATAGAGTCCTACATGGTAGTGTCACAGGTACAGGAATAATCCAACCATTAAATTAATCTTTTGTTTTGCCTTTTCTTGCATATTTTTCAACTTTAATTATAATATCGCCAATATACATGGTTAACACCCTTCTTTCTGGATGTACACTTTCTATATTTAGACACATTGGTTCCAAGTGCATGTTTACTAGTCATTACTCATGTATTTTTAGACTTACTTAGGAGATGAATTGAAATAGGTGCTCTGTCACAGTTAAGTGTCATACTTCTTAGGTAGTTTCTCTACTAAATGATTATTGTCATATTTCAGTATCTAGGGATTCAGTATTATCCTGGATATGCTGTTGCCCCTCGGCTTTCCATCACCTCCCACTTTCTGTCACGGATGACTGGCTGCATCATGGTGACTCCTGGGTCACCTGACAATCCAAATGAACGTTTTAAAACTAATATCGGTCTCAACTTGAAGTTTACAAAGAGAAATGAGGAGGTGCCTGGATACACAAAGAAGACAGAAGAGGGATGGACTTACTCGGACAAAGCCCTACAGGTGGTCAGTGAATATCTGAGAGAGTAAGTGAAATAAGAAAGTCAAATGATCATTACCATATATGGTATTATATGGTATTTAATGAGAAATTACCTAAATTTATAGAGCACTTTCTGGTTTCATTATGAAATAGCTGGGCATAGTGTTGCCTCTGTCATCATTCATTTGTGATTTGGTTTCTGCTTATTTTCTCTATGACAGAGGGAAATATTGGAATGTAATTTCTGGTGTATTTTTATGGTGTAGAGATACAGGTTAAATTTACCTGTCTGTGAATTTTGTTTCCAGTTTACGCTCCTTTTTTTCTGTGCTGGATTGGAAAATTTAACTGAAGTTTGGCATGTCAGGTTGAATATTTGTTATAGTGTTACGGCTTGTTCTTTTTTAGTTCTGAGTTCACACTGGCTTAGTCATGGGTAGAGATACAGAACAGGAATGTGATATGTAGTTTTATTGTAAGCACATCGTCGCTCATCAATTAACTTTCGCCATCAGTATTGGTCAACCACAACATGATAGAGACTAAAACATCATAGGTATTCAAACCAATAACACTACATGTGTTAACAATCCTCCTTCATAATTATAAGTTGGGGATATTTGTGGTTTAAACTCAAACTTCATCTGTACTTGTTACTTTAATAATGATTTAAAAATGTCTTTAAAAAAGATAAAAGAAAACAACATTTTGATCATCATACTTTCTTGTTTTAGGATAAACTTGAATGATATTTTTTAGAATTTGTATTCAATATACTTCTACTTAGTTTAATCTTAGACTAAATAAAACTAACTGATTCAAACTGTTGTATCTTTAGTTTCATCTCAACTTCACTAAGCCATGTTTTATTTTAGTCTGACAACTAAGACACACATGTAGAACTAAAACACACTTGCATTTAAATATTTCAGCCAAGGTGAGAGATGGGCTTAGCTTGTCAACAAATGCACAAGCAATGTGCACAGGGAACTTTCTTTTCAGTATTCTCTGTGTTTTTTGTTAATCTGTTAATCTCTGTTTCAACCAAAAAGACGTTTGTGGCTTAGCTTTATATAATCTAGTAGAAAATATCACTATTTTGTATTTGTATGATAAACAGTTTTGGCATGATGGATAAAGCAAGGTTTTGATTTCTTACATAATTATTTGCAAATTTAAACAGTAGCAGGAATGGAGCATTTACAAAACTAATTGGAAAATGATAAAATTGTTGAACAAGTTGCAGAAAGATTGAAAAAATACAGCATTCATATGTTGTTCATGAAATTGTCTAACCTTAAAGTTTGTGATTTTTGTTCCAGATTTCCTGAAATATGGTCTTATATCAGTTCTAAAGACAGTGGCAGGGGAGATAACTTCTATGAGACAGAACTCTTTAAGGATGGAAGGTAAAGATACAGTAAGATAAACAAAAGCTATTTGAAGTAATGAATTAAAGGTCAAGGATTATATTTTCCTCTTTCATCTGAAGTCTTCCTGACACAAATTGAAAAATTATTTTTATAATCATAAAACAATGACAATGCTGAGGTGGTCAGTTTTGAAACAAATACAGGAAATTTTACATTTTAAAGACAAAAATTGACAGCAAAAAGTTATTCCAAACATAAAGGAAATCTATGTCAGAAAAAGGTGTTGGAAAAAAAACATATTCTCTGATGTCAGATAGAGATGATGTAGTATTTGACAACAAGATTTTGAATTTGGTGCTATACACAGTAGTCTATGTATACTGTAGTGTGATTGTTATAGCTACTAATCTCTGATGAAATATTTGGTGAAAAAAACCCAACTCATTTAACCTTTGCTTCATATTTCACTGCAAATTTTAATGCATTGATTAGAAAGTACCATTTTGAATGTACCATAAGATACGTCATCTCTGGCAAAATATCATAGTGGAATTTTGTCAACATTCTAAAACTTTGTCAGGTTTGTGATTATTCAAGTATTGAAGATGTGTATTGTTAAGACTGTTCTATATTTTAATTATCATTCACATAATGTTTTTAATTGAAGCCCACACAGCCTGAAGAAGATGACAGACTATGTAAAGTCATTACCTTGTAGTAATGTGAAGATCATGAAGGCCGGGGCGGAGATACTGGATCAGGGTGTTATCAGTGCAGTAGAGGAGGAAGTCCAGAAAGTCATTGTAAGTTTTGAATGGTGACATTTTTTCACTTTATCAGTGACTTGTATAGTTCTCTGTATCAGCTAATGATTGCTTAAAGCAGTTTTGTAAATATTTGACAACTTTGTCATGTGTTATCAGAGAAGCCTCCACATCAGCTGAGGAAGTCAATGCAAAGAATTAATGCTGATCCAGTGTTGTTTGTTCTGTGTTGTTTTTTATTCCCTGCAAAACACGTTTGTGGTGGATATTAAATTAGGCTCTGTGCTTGCATCCGTCTGTCCGAGGGCTTTTTCCGAGCTATAACTTCAAAACTGTTCAACTCAACTTCACAAAAACTTGCTGTATATACTAAGTTAGTGTTCTTACTGTGCTTTTTGTTATCAACAACTTTTCTTATTTTTATTTTTTAATCTTTTTCTGTTACCAAGGCAACATAGCCAAAAAACACAAAATTAGTGTTAATGTTCCTTTCCAGGCTGTAACTTCAGAACTGTTCAATTCAACTTCACAGAACTTGCTGTATATACTAATTTAGTGCCCTGGTTGTGCCTTTTGGTAAACCTTTGATAGTGAATCTCCAAAATATTTTCATAAATGATGTTGCATTATCATAGTTATGATTTGTTTTACAGAGAGTGACTTCCTTGGAATTTTACATATCTGACTATTAGATGCTGTTTATGGTATGAATTGTTTTATTGTCAAGGATTACCATTGAGTATGTCCCTATCATTTCCAGTATATGGTATAAATTATTTTGTTTTCAGGAAGTCAATAAAAGGAAACAGCGCAGAGTAAAGATGCAAGTGAAGCCACACTTGTTGTTCAAGGTAAAGTCATCTGTTTAAATATTATATTTAGATAAGATAAAGTTACCTCTTATATGATGTAAATTGTCTGTATGATGCCTCTCCATTTTACACGGGTTAGTTGGAAGGGGATAGCATATGATGTTACCCATGTTCCTCCTATCACTGCAAATGAATCAAATTTCATATGTAAGTTCCCCTTTGTCACTAGTTAACCCATTTGATTTTGGGACTGGTTAGAAAAGTAGAATTGCTGAAAGGAGACCATCTTTGATTTGACAGTTTAATATTTATTTTTCCTTTTTCTTAAGAATTTCCATGTCATTTAATTAAGATCAAATAAGAGACAAGATGGGAAAAGAACAAATTATGATCAAACAATGGTGGGCATTTGAATCCCTCTGGGATCTCTTGTTGTAACTTGAAACAGGTTTTTGTAGGTTTGGTGTATTATATTCAGTTTAGAGTTAAAAAGATGATAAATTTAATAGCATAGTACATGTATTGTTATTGGATATTAACCAACAAAATCCAATCATACTGAGAAAGAATTTAATGATTTGCATTTTATTTCTGTAACAAAATTTACGATAGTGAATTATTTTTCTGATGAGATATCAGCATTCCTCATACTTTGATGAAAATGTAAAAAATATGGACCTCCCACACAATATCCAAAGATATGTTCTATAACTTGTTTTCCAACGTCTTGCATTAATCAAGATTGAGACCAGTTTGCCTACAAGTCCTACATGTATATTTTAAACATTTTCTCTAACTTCCAGCCAATGGTTGGACAGGGGAACATGTTACCAGACCCGTCTGTGGAGCTCTATCTGTTTGATCGAGTGGTCAATGTAAGGAAAGGTTATCCAGTACCGTTTGGTCTGAGAGGCACGGTCACTGGGATCCATCTAGAGGAAAAGGAAAGCGACACAATATATGACATAGTGTTTGATGACGAGTTCCAAGGGGGGATCACTCTAAGGTACTGTTTGAGGCAATGTAATTGTAAATCTCTTATGTGATTAAATTAATTAACCTTTTTTCTTTTTTTTTTTTTGGAAAGAAACACTTGATATCTTGACAACTTCTTGAATTTATTTAAACAATAATAGTTGGGAGCAGGACCTACTTGTCTAACACATATTTTCTAGTTTTACTTGTAGATGTTCTTAGTAGACATGAAATATTACTTTGAATGTGATGTGAAACTTTAAACTGATTTCCAGGTTTCTTGTTTGATACATTATCGTAAGTGTCATTATGGTCCAGTTATCACACATTATTCAGCATTGTGGACTTGTTGATGATAACATTGGTCATCAAATGCTGTTATCAACCTACTGAGATCAGGTGCTGGTAAAAGATTTTTATATTAGAGTGAAGATCCTCAATCAAATCTGTAGGACTTTGTTTCTGTAGGAGTGGTTTGTAGTCATGGTATGAGAATCACCATTTCCTTATTTATCTGTCCTATTAGGTGTTCACCAGGCAAAGGCTACAGAATGCCAAAGTCAGGACTGATTAACTTATCTCATGGGATACGGAAGAATGAGAGAAAAACAGGAAAAGCAGCAGCCAACCAACAGGCTCTTTACAAGTATCACAATTCAGCCAATCAACAGTCATATAACAAAAGGCAGCAGAACTTTGATTCTCCAACAAGATCAAACAATATGTCTTATGCAGCAGCTAGTCAGGGAGGTAGAAGTGACAATCGCTACAGAAACCCGGGTAATTATAATGACAATAGAACCTTTACCAAGGGAGAGAAGCAGTACCAAAACTTACGTTCTGAGCAGGATAACAACTGGAGAAGGAAAGATTCTAACCAAGACTTTAGGGGGAGTCCAAACAGAGTGAACAGCAACTGGAGAGAGGGATGTAAAGAGAACAGCCAACACTCACAGGTAAGTGTAATTACATTGGGTAGATACTGGAAAGTAAGTGGTACAGCCAACACTCAAAGGTAGGTGTAATTACATTGGGTAGATACTGGAAAGTAAGTGGTACAGCCAACACTCAAAGGTAGGTGTAATTACATTGGGTAGATACTGGAAAGTAAGTGGAACAACCAACACCCAAAGGTAGGTGTAATTACATTGGGTAGATACTGGAAAGTAAGTGGTACAGCCAACACCCAAAGGTAGGTGTGATTACATTGGGTAGATACTGGAAAGTAAATGATACAGCCAACACTCAAAGGTAGATGTTTATTAGGAAAAGCAGTTATAATAAAGAGGGAAATAGAGAGAACAGACAACACAGTAATAACAGGAGAGATTCATTTTATGATTCCTCTAAATAGTAAAGGACCTTGGAATCTTTTCTTGATATTTTTAGGCAATTGGACTATACAGCATAGTGGTATCTGTGTTTCAGGGTGCCAAGGTCAATTTATACAGAATCACCTAACATATGTATATATATTTATATATTTTGTGATTTGATTCTAACAGTTGGAAAACCCATCCCAGCAGTCTGATTTACACTGGAAAAGTTTCAACGCAGAGGGTGGAGCATCTTCTCCAAAGTTTGTCACTCCAAAGGTCACACAGTCTGCTAAATCCACACCAGGCAAGAGGGATGGAACCAAAGGCCAAACAGGAAAGGTAACATGTTGAATTTAAGATAGGAACATTTATTTAATGAAATTATTTTGTTAGGAATTATCACAATTGGTGAAAAGTTATTTCCCTTCTTTAAGTCTCGCATGTCGGAGATAAAAAGAGAAAATTTGTTAAACTTGAATTTTCTGGGTCAAGGTCAAGGGTCACTGTTGCTAAAAAATAGAATTGGAAATACACTGACAAAAATATATTCTATGACGCCCATACAGGGGGGTCAAACTTCTGAAATTTCACATGATGATTCACTGTGCAATAATGGTTTATACAGCTTCTTAGGTGAGGTCAAGATCACTGCTAGGTAAAAAATAGAACTTGGAACATGCTGTCAAAAATACATGATACAGTCAAACTCAGTTATATTGAAATACCGATTTATTTCAAATAGAACAAAATTTCTGTCCAAATGTCTTCTTGGTCTCTGTAAAATTTGTTAATCTAAATTCTTGCTTTAAGGCAACATTACGGTAAAACAATTTTTTTTTCGATTATTTTATTATTGCATATATATATCAAGTGTATAGCCTGATGAACAATAACAGTTTGTGTTCGCTGAAATATCCACAGAAAGAGGTTATCAATAATTATACAAAAGGAAATTCTTTTCTGTTGATCAACAATCAGGATATGTTAATTTGTGCGTCCTATATGGCAACATTTGTGCACAAAACACCATCACCTGTAAACAAATATGGCTTCCTGCTTGAAACAGCTGGCAATGAATTACTTATTTCGTTATTCTCAATTGACTTAGAATTATTAAACAACATTTGCTACACCCATAACAAAATCCTGTGCTGACTACGTCACTACTGTCATTGTCGTTTCTGTCCACCATCATGTGTTTGTGTTTACAAAAGGAACTGCCTCGTTTTCAAACTTTGGCGTGATGGTATCAGTGCTAAATTTCAGAGGGGTTTCCTGAACCAAGAAGTGGTCAGGCTGGGGCTCATAATAGAAAATGTGAAATCAAACATGTGTGATTGTACTTTACTGTAAAACTTATTTTCTGATATAATGAATGTACTTCCAACCTAAATAAAAGTGTATCAGATTTATTCTTTCATTTTTAGATCAAAAACTTGTTTTGGAATATAAGACCTCATTTTATGGACATGAATACATTTGAATTTGTTGCCAATTTTATTTGTCGTTGTTGAACTCCATTTGTTTGAAAACTGTACACTTTAATCCAGAGAATTTCAATTTAATTGAGCTCTTCAGTATAATCAGGTTCAACTGTAAATGAATATATCACTTATAATTATTCTTTTATGACATCATGAAGAAAACTGAGTTGTCTAATCAGGTCAAAGTGGATCACCAGGTCAAAGGTCAAAGTGAAATTTTACATATCTTCATCCTAAACCTTTTAATTATGATATTTAGGAAAAAACAATGTATATCGGAATCAAATGCTGATTACCAGCTCAAGATAGTAATGTGGTATATGTGTCATTTGACAGGCTTTCGTGGAACCGCAGAACTCGGATTTCCTAAATATGTGGCAAGAATTAAAATCCTCTGGGAACTTGGATCAATCAGGAAAGTCCCCTAGTAAGGATCAACCAGGAACATCAATTAGTATCAATCAACCAGGAAAGTCTCTTTGTAAGGAGCAACCAGGAATGACTCTAAGTATGGCTGCTGCAGCGCTGGAAAAACTGCCCAAACCATCTGTGCCTCCATTAGAAAAAGATCAACCTTTAGTTTCTGTAACAACAGAGGACTCCAAGATTTCTGTGGAGAGTCTATTTAGCCAAGCTAATAAATTACAACACAGTGTAGACAATGATCAATTTAGTGCCATGATTAAATCTCTGGAGATATCCAGTCAAGATTCCACGCTTACGATGGAGGATGGGTCCATTGTTGTTCGTAGTAAGAGTCCAGCCAGGGATGCTGATGTGAGTTTTCTTGCTTTGGTAAAATTTTTGAAGTTCTGGAGAATATAAGATCAAATATTAGAAAAGTCTTGATGTGCCCTTAAGGGTGGAATTATCAAACTTACACACAAATGAAGGATTCTGATTTTTATATATTGGAATACTATAACATTATCCTTTAGAAAATTGTATGAAGTCATTAAAATAAATTTTATACATCATTCAACACAATCATAATGATTGCTTGATAATTTCTGAATAAACCCATCACATGGTGAAAAATGATTAATTTAAGTTTTTTTCCCTGACGAATGTGTTGACATTAATTTCTTTACACTTAATTGTTAAAACCTTCTTTATTATTGTTCATGTAGGCTGAAATAAAACAGATGTTGAACATTGGTTCATCAGCATCTTCTTTGGAGCCTGGACCTGTTAAACAGCAGGAAGTCAACACAACAGTGAATCCTAGTCCTAAAACCTATGGACGACAAATGTCTGTTCAGGAACTGTTTGAAGGTATGGAGTGGGAAAAGGAGACATGATATTGAGAACTGCTAATGTCAATGTATCTAGGAGTTTTTCTGATAGACACCTATAGGCTGTTGTATTCTTATGTCTCATCTTAGCTGTAGAATCAAAACAATTTTCTTATACAATGTATTAGTTGAATCTAAAATGGCTGAAATTAACAATATTGATTTAAATAACAGTTTTCCTTGATTGCTAATGCCTCCAGTTTTGAATGTACATTCATTTAATTGTCAGGAATTTAAATGATTATCGGCATATAATTAAGGTCTCTGTGGTCAAATGAGATGGACAGCTGTATCTACATAGTTAAGGTTTCTGTGGTAAAATGAGATGGACAGCTGTATCTACATAGTTAGGGTTTCTGTGGTAAAATGAGAAGGACAGCTGTATCTACATAGTTAAGGTTTCTGTGGTAAAATGAGATGGACAGCTGTATCTACATAGTTAAGGTTTCTGTGGTCGAATGAGATGGACAGCTGTATCTACATAGTTAAGGTTTCTGTGGTAAAATGAGATGGACAGCTGTATCTACATAGTTAAGGTTCCTGTGGTCGAATGAGATGGACAGCTGTATCTACATAGTTAGGGTTTCAGTGGTCGAATGAGAAGGACAGCTGTATCTACATAGTTAAGGTTTCTGTGGTAAAATGAGATGGACAGCTGTATCTACATAGTTAAGGTTCCTGTGGTCGAATGAGATGGACAGCTGTATCTACATAGTTAGGGTTTCAGTGGTCGAATGAGAAGGACAGCTGTATCTACATAGTTAGGGTTTCTGTGGTAAAATGAGATGGACAGCTGTATCTACATAGTTAGGGTTTCAGTGGTCGAATGAGATGGACAGCTGTATCTACATAGTTAGGGTTTCTGTGGTAAAATGAGATGGACAGCTGTATCTACATAGTTAAGGTTTCTGTGGTCGAATGAGATGGACAGCTGTATCTACATAGTTAAGGTTTCAGTGGTCGAATGAGAGGGACAGCTGTATCTACATAGTTAAGGTTTCTGTGGTCTAATGAGAAGGACAGCTGTATCTACATAGTTAAGAATTCTGTGGTCGAATGAGAAGGACAGCTGTATCTACATAGTTAGGGTTTCTGTGGTCGAATGAGATGGACAGCTGTATCTACATAGTTAGGGTTTCTGTGGTAAAATGAGATGGACAGCTGTATCTACATAATCAAGGTTTCTGTGGTCGAATGAGATGGACAGCTGTATCTACATAGTTAAGGTTTCTGTGGTCGAATGAGATGGACAGCTGTATCTACATAGTTAAGGTTTCTGTGGTCAAATGAGATGGACAGCTGTATCTACATTATCAAGGTTTCTGTGGTCGAATGAAATGGACAGCTGTATCTACATAGTTAAGGTTTCTGTGGTCAAATGAGATGGACAGCTGTATCTACATAGTTAAGGTTTCTGTGGTAAAATGAGATGGACAGCTGTATCTACATAGTTAGGGTTTCTGTGGTCAGATGAGATGGACAGCTGTATCTACATAGTTAAGGTTTCTGTGGTCGAATGAGATGGACAGCTGTATCTACATAGTTAGGGTTTCTGTGGTAAAATGAGATGGTATCTACATAGTTAAGGTTTCTGTGGTAAAATGAGAGGGACAGCTGTATCTACATAGTTAAGGTTTCTGTGGTCGAATGAGATGGACAGCTGTATCTACATAGTTAGGGTTTCTGTGGTAAAATGAGATGGACAGCTGTATCTACATAGTTAAGGTTTCTGTGGTCGAATGAGATGGACAGCTGTATCTACATAGTTAGGGTTTCTGTGGTAAAATGAGATGGACAGCTGTATCTACATAGTTAAGGTTTCTGTGGTCGAATGAGATGGACAGCTATATCTACATAGTTAGGGTTTCTGTGGTAAAATGAGATGGACAGCTGTATCTACATAGTTAAGGTTTCTGTGGTAAAATGAGATGGACAGCTGTATCTACATAGTTAGGGTTTCTGTGGTAAAATGAGATGGACAGCTGTATCTACATAGTTAAGGTTTCTGTGGTCGAATGAGATGGACAGCTGTATCTACATAGTTAAGGTTTCTGTGGTCGAATGAGATGGACAGCTGTATCTACATAGTTAGGGTTTCTGTGGTAAAATGAGATGGACAGCTGTATCTACATAGTTAAGGTTTCTGTGGTCGAATGAGATTGACAGTTGTATCTACATAGTTAAGGTTTCTGTGGTTGTTAAGGTTTTAATGGTGGATTGAGAATGACAAAGAATTAGAACAACCATTATACTGCATGAAAAGAATGTGAAATAGTACTACTCAAAGCTTTGAACAGTTTGTCAGAACTCTTTCTGTTGGGGTGTGTACTTTCCATCATATGTAACATCTCAATTATTTTCATTCAATGTGTTTAGGTATAATGCAGCCAGCTAAACATGCAGCAAAATCTGAAACTAATGCAACAGAGACAATCAATGATGACAGATCCCACCATAGTGATCCTAAACCCCAGGGATCAGCAGCCCAAGCCCCCGCCTCAAAGTCAAACACATCTGCAGGAAACTACACTACTTCCAACACATCCCTGCCGCCAGGGTTAGTGCATCCCTACCCCCCACCACTACAGGTCCCGCCTCCTGCCATGATGCATCCAATGACAAATCGCCCTAGACAGCAGTCTTCACAATACCAGGCCAGGGGAACACATCCCAATGTTCAGTTTAGAGGACATCACCAAGGCAACCAACTACAAAAACCAGCACAAAGGTAGGACACATTTATGTAAGGTATTCATGGTAAAGTTTTGCTGTCTTGTGTAAGCCTTTAAAGCAAGATAAGTGTTTGGAAATTTGGTAACTTCATTCATGAGGATGATGCTAAATAATATTAAACATTATCAATGAAATTATATTAAGAATGTGTGTTTTTGTCTTTCTGTATAGAAGAGTAAACTGTCAGGATTGATATCACATTTTATCTTGTTGTTTTTAGTATACGTTAGCGGAAAATAACTCTTTCTAAGAGAAAGCAAAATGGTGAGAACTTGTAGTAGTAATTTAAGCTCTTTTCTTTATTTAGAATTTATAATAAGCAATTTGATATCATTTCTGCAAAGCTATGTCATATAGTTATGTACAGTCAAACCTGACCGCAGGCCACTCATTGCAGAAAAGAAAAATGATCTTAACAAGCACAAGAGCCTTTATATAGAAATTCACTAACTTTCACATTACATTGGAACCAAATACCAGTGGTCTTTATAGACAGGTATTTTTATATACAGATGGCCTCTAAGGCAGCTTTGACTTTTGAGGTCACCTAAGACAAAGTCTCAAAAACTGGGTCAAATTGACTGAAATTTCAAAGATGTTCTACTGTTCCTGGGTGGAAAATCTTATATAGAGAAATTCAAATCTTGGGTGAAATTTCTTTAAATTCAAACTTAGTAAGAAGCCTTAGCTTGAGAAAGCAGTCAATGTATACACAATCTGCATTTGCATTTGTGTACAATATAGTTAAAAGTTATATTACTTTTTTAACAAAATCATTTCTATGACATGTTACACGAAGCAATGTGACTCAGATGACTGTTAAGACCCTTAGGCCTCTTATTTTAGAATTAAATATGATTCAGATTGTATTATCAATTTGATGGCTGGCTTTGTTTATCATCTTGGTTTTTCTTTTTACCTATTGTGATTTTTTCCTTCTTTTCCATTGACCAGAAATCCTGTGCTGGAGTTAGTTGCCAGGTGTAAAATGATGGGTCTACATGAACCTAAATATGATTTTCTTGGAAAGGTATGTACCTGTATGAAAACTAGGTTAGAAATTATGGAAGAGAAAGATATACATCTCAACACCCTAGCTTTTTGACTGTTTTAATGAGACCTTTTGACCTTTGAGTTACATAACAAATTCCAATATTTTTATGGGGTGGGGCCCCTTGTAATAGGAGTTAAAAGAAACTATTAGCATGTTCTCTTTGATAAAGAACAAAGGAATGTGATGGCAGTTATATTGGACATAGGGCCTTACATCTCAGGCTGTTGATTGGAAAATTTCTACTTATAAAATGGCTGATCAAGTTATGCCATTGTTTTTTCATACTGGTGTATGTAGAGTAGACACCTTTGATTTAATGATGAAATACAATATTTATTTTTATATTATGATAAGTCAGTTAGAAATTAAATAAAACTTTCTACTTATGATGCAGATTGATGATGACACAATGTGATGCTGACAATACATGAATTTAGAAAGTGTTACAAAGATCTTTACAATCAGTTAACAGTCTTGAAAATAAAGCCAAGCTTTTCTGCTCATGATGACTATACTTTTCTTCAAGAGAACATTCCATTGTCAAACAGGTGCAGCTAATGAGTTTATGATGAATCATTTCTTTCTGTCGCAAATACATGAATGTTTGTTTTTCTAAGTGTTAGATCCTAACATGCCTGTTGTATTTGAGTAAAATGACAAATAGAATTACTGGATACTCATTGATTAATTCAGGAAAGGTTTTGTAGGGTTTAGTTATTTAAACAGATAAGGTAAGTGAATCCATCTCTATATATTGTTGTTGTGATTTCAGGTGGGCTCCTTCTGCTGTGTTGTTACTCTTTCCAATGGACATAGATTCATGGGGTCTAAAACTCGCACAAAAGAGGAAGCAGCTGAAAGTGCCGCAGGTGTAGTGCTTGTAAACATGGTAAGTGATCAGATTATCTCCCTTTGGCATCTAATAAGATAAACATAACAATATCTGGGAGATTTCACTCAAACTTTCATGATGGCTGAAGTTATCATAATGTCAAATCAGTTTTAGTTCATCTCTTGGCAAAAATGTGGTGCTTGAGTTGCCACCCAAGCCTGTGTTTTGTTCCTACTGCTAGTGATTGGTTTGCAAGAAGATGTTATATGGAACATGTCCACATATGACTTTGGTTTTTGTATGCCTGCAAAAATTTTGACAGGACATATTATGATATGGCACTATCATTCCAATGTGAACTTTATGGTCCAGAGATCTTTTCCTACATTTTTTAATCAGTCTCTTTCAAACTTGGTGGCATCACCAACAAATGAAGTTGTTTTCCTGAAGAACTGTTCAGTTTTTGAAAGTCTTCATCATAATCTTGCCCAAAGATCTCCTCTCTCAGTTTTTGGTGATCTATTTCAGTTATTTTGGTTTGGTTCAACAGTTTTTGGAAGAGTAATTGCCCCTTTTTTTCGACATTTTAATCTTAATTTGGTTCTTTGAAACTTGGTAGGCTTTACAACTATTTATGTAATTATGTTTTTCTGAACCACATTAAGTTTTGACAGTCTTTGGAAGAGTTATTGCCCTTTATTTTTTTTTGGAAGCGGTTTGATTATGTCTAGAGATCATCTCTGTCAGTTTTCAATTGATATTACTGAAACTTGGTAGGCCTTGATTTAATGCCATGTATTTGTCAGTTTCTTTTTGATGAAAAAAACTATCATTTTATTACCATGTTTGTTTTCATTTTGATAAAATAATATGTGTACGTTTCTCTTTGACATGGGACAGGTAATTTTTAGTGAACCTGTCCACTCCTGGATTTGGTTAAGGTGCACATTCATCATATAGCTGGTTTATACATGAGAGTAAACAAATATAATTTGGTACTTATATTTGGTGAAGGGGTTTCTTTTTGTGCGAGATTAATGTGAGAATGGAATGCACATCTTAGCAATCTGTTTTATGATGAACTGTGTCTATTTACCTGTGTTTGATATGTTTAGATGCCTCCACAAGCCATGCACCCTTTGATGACACCAAGGGCCTTTGGTGGCATGCCAGCCCAGATGATGCAGCATCCTCAGTTCTCCTCACCTAACTCAGCCTTCAAACCTGTTTCTCCTAAAGGTTTGTCATTTGTGTGATAAATGTGGGGCCAAATGAATAACTGTGTACCAGGAAATTTTCAGCCCCATTTATTTATTGCCGTTTTTGGCCTATGAACATGGACGGCAAATTTAAGAAGTGGTGAACATTTTGTTACACTTACATAACTCTTTTATATACCGGGTAATCCTCAGAGGGCAAAATCATCTTGATGTGTATTTGTGTATAACGGTACAAAGACAAAAATAACCCGTCTTGAAAAAATCCTGGTATACTGTATACAAACAGAAGAATCTATGCGACCTTTTGTAGACTTTCTTGTTGTAACCTGTTACATGTTTGAAAAAATAAAGAATACTGATGTTTTGTCAAGTCTTAACAGGACACAAACAACAACTGGGCAATACATTCACTTTGTCTGTTTGACTTGGAGGTAAACTGTCTTTAGACCAGTTGATACAAAAGGATAAGAATTCTCATCATTCTTTGTTTTACAGCAGAAATATTTCAGCACCATCTTTTGTTTTCTGTCATGTGTGGCTTATTTCATCACATGACACACTGTTTCCTAAAATAAACATTCTGTCACAAAAGCTGCAGCATTACAGTGATGTGGCTGTAGTACGTAAATCTTTGTATTGATATACTACAAGAATGATGGTTCTACCTACAGATGTACACATACTACAAGGTACTTTGTGCAGCAATATAGGGTCTGTACAGTTAATGAATTTTGAAGTTGTAATTAAGATTTAAGTGGTGGTGTTTATGATACCTGCCAACTTTCCTGATTCAATCGGTAGTTTCACAATTTTCACTTCCCAGCCCCATCTCCCATTCGTATTGATCAAACGTGTGGTAATCTCCTGATTTCTTTTATTTATGAGTTTTGATAGTAAATATTATTAATACACATACATTGTTTGTATTTGCTTCAAAATTTCAACATTGACAAGTGATTTCTACTGTTAAAACAATGTAATTAGCACAACAGATCAAGGAGGTATAGACAGGTCTGTATCATTTATACAGCATTATTATTTTTTTGCCATGTGATCAGTTAATACTACCAAACATTTAGACAAACAAGGAATAAACATACAGTATATTTCATTTTTTTATCCAGAATTTATTGAACATCCCAGAGGTCATCATTCACAACCACCTAACTACACTGGAAACCAATCACAGAAGGGGAGACAAAACCAAGCAGCCAATCAGTATTCAGATAACAGATACCACCAACAACAGCAGCAGGCACCCCCTCACTATCATGATAGTCGAGGACATTACCAGACATCCAAACAGGATAACAGAAATATGAGCTATGTACCCAATCAGGGGCATTATCAGATGCAAAGACAGAAAGTCTCACCCAATCAACGAGCAGATAACAAAGGCCTTGACAGCAAAGATGCCTCTCCTCCCAAATCTAATCCATTTGTACCCATGCAGGTGAATATTGATAAAGATGATCTTCTTTAATAAGATTTCGATTGAAACAAACCTTTATCATTAAAACAAATCAATTTCAGTTCATGAATATCTTTTTCAAAAAAGGACTATGACAATTGAGGATACCAGAAACATCAATTTATCTGCTGTTTTGGATGTTGTGGTTTTAATTTCTTTTATTCCATGTCGCAAGTTAAATTGGTTCGGGAAATCTTTATCATGTTGTTTAATGATAGGATATTGTTGTGTTTGATGTTTAGCTTGTTTCATATTGATGACAATTGTCAAGAAAAAAATGTTCTGTTGTTGTCAGGTCACTCGTAAAACACCTAGTAAACGACGGGAATCGGAGAGCAGAGACAGTAATGGGCAGTTAATGGACACAAGCCCCAGATCTGACAATAGCCCATGGTCAGATAAGGATCACAGCAGGTCTGAGCCACCCAACACTGCCCGTGACTTGTTTGGTGATAAATCTCAAAAATCTGTTATGCAGGAGCCTCAGACAGCCAAGACTGAACTAAATGGACAGGTTCCAAAAGAAGCAACTTCTGCCAAATCTCCCCGACAAAGCCACCAACAGTCAAAATCTTCAGGGCAGCCAACAAAACGTCGGTCTAGAATGGCTGCTAACTTCAGCATGGGTAACTAGAATATCTGTTTGGAAGTTTTTGAGGAAAAAAACACTGGACTGTTTTGATGAAGTTGACAATAAGGATGAATTTTGTGATACTAGTTGTGAGGATATTGAGATGTTGTGAGGACAATTTATGAGGACATATGTGTTGATCATGTGCAGATCTATTCCATATCATTTGTATACTGTTGTACTTAATCTTTCCTTTATATGCACCGTATTTATCCTAAAAAAATCTACAGGACAAAAATTCTGTTTTCAACTCAAATAATGTAGGGTTTTTAACTGAAATGTTCCATAAATCTTCAGACAATTTTGAAAATATGAAGTATAAATATGTTGATGGTTAACAGCAAATCATTGAGTATTCTACTCAGCTGTGTAGTGAAAGTGTTTGCCTGAAATATACAGCAAGAACTTATTCCTGAACTTGAAACTTTCTCGCAGGAAAAAAACCCAACTTTTATTTTTCTCTGTAAAAATTCTGTGTATGTTCTCAGAATGATAACAAGAATGAAGTAAAATTCCTATTCTACATGACTAATCTATAAAATCACAATGATTTGGGATTTCTGTAGCATTGGCTCATACATGTATTAATTATCTTCTATAAAATATGTTATACTTTACATGTGTATGTCATACTTCATTTTCATGAATGAATTATGATATATCTTATTTTACAAACGTGTTGAATATTTTCATGACCGGTACAGTGAATTTCCTGTGTTGCAGTTGGAATATAAATATTTTTTTTTTGTGCAAAGATTGAAAATTTTCATTGTAATGCAGGAGTACATTTGTGTGAACTACACTTAATGTAACTAATCTTCTTCATTAAAAATCTATAAACCGGAGATATAATAGTAACTGTGAAACATTTATAGTACAACAGAGACAAGTCTTTTATTTTTGTTATAAAGATGAACATGTGTTTAAATCATTTCAAGTCAAGTATGCAGATGTATACTGTGATATTAGAATGTAGTTTTTATGAGGAAACAATATTTTTAAGGTAAATTTTATGGTGTGTGTATATATATAGAAATGAATTGTTGTGAACCAGTTGGATTTTCTGAGATTATATACTAGCAAATTCCTCATCAATTGCATTCTTCAGAACTTTGATAACATTTGAACCTAACATAAATATAAATATTTTCTTTCATTTCATCATTTCTCAAAAAGAACAAGTATAAAGCAGAAAAAAAACATGATTCGTTTTGACTTTAAGTTAATTTGTTTTTGTTGTAAATTAAAGTAACATTTCTCTGTATCAAATTGTATATTCTATAAATAAGAATTCTTTACATCAAGCTCTGTTTTCTCATCGTTTCAAAGTGATCTACCTGTTGATTTGGTCATTAACTTTGACTTTGGGTTGTTTTTTAAAGCATGATCTAAACAGTATTCACCCCAAATTGACAGACACTGCCCTCATTTTGACCACATGATTTTACGTCCAGAGGGTCACTTTTAACATGTGGCAAACTTGATAGTAAGATATGATATAGTAAATAAAATTTCTAGAAATTTTCAGAAATGTGTTTAGTTTCTTTTCAGAATAAAATGAAGAATTTATAAGTGAATTTGTACAGAGAGGATATTCTCTGTTTCCTGATCAATCACAGTTATATTTCACGTTGTAGGGTGGAGAGATTTTCCCCGAGTGTGTAGCACAAATCAAAAATCAAACTAGCATTAACAAAAGGTGTAAAAAAAAAATGCCATAAACGGAATAATTTTTATTTCTTGATAAATTACAGTTATATCTCATCTTGTAGGGTGGAAATTTTGATATTTATATCGAAGTTTCTGCCCTTCAACATGAAATATAAGTTTTATCAATCAAGGAACTATTAATGCATATCATTTTTTTTGTTGTATTTTTCAAAATTTTGCATTATACATGAAGATAACAAGACAAGACACACATATTAACATTCACACATATGACTCATCATCATCATCGTCATCACCACCACCACCACCACCATAATGATAATGAATTTTAACTGATGCCAGTTTGAACTTGCCACTCTGTTTGATATGTATGCTTTATTAACATTATTCTGCAGTAAAAATAGTTTCACATCTTCAAATTATATAAAATGAAATCAATATTTCATTATCAACATATTAAAATCAGACAAGGATCAATTCTCGGATAATTGAGATATTGGGGAAACGAAGTATGCATTCTTTGTGTGTTTTTTAAGATAGCTTCTATTACAGTATAAAATCACTCTTTCAATATGTGTTAACATTTTCCATTAATTATGCACAATCCTTACAAAAGCACATCTGTGCTTTAGTTCTTTGTTACTAGCTGGTGACATTATTAAATGAAATGTAAACAAGTTCATTTGATACTTTTACTACGTTTCAATGATAATAAAAAGGGTTTAATATAAAGGTAATAAGTAAATCTACAGTTATTTATGCTCCAATCACTGCAATTAAAAACTAACCTTTCTAGTCCTTGTTAATTACTTTTTTCTATAATATGTTGTATCTGATCTAGCGCAGACCGGAAATATCGGGTAAAATCCACTTTGCATATTTAAATACCTCATACATAGTGACCTTTAAATGTTCCATTAGGTGTATTTCTCATATTGATTTCCTGAAGTGGTGCATGTGGGTGTAGAGTCATTAGCATACATGGTGCTGTTCCACTTAAGTTCAATGCAACGAATAAAAACAACCTATCGAGAGGTATTCAAGTTTAAAAAAACAACTACGTAGCAATATTTTCGCAAAAGAAAAAAGAAAAGAAAAAATGAAGCAAAAACATGGGAAGCTTTAGAAGCTAATGGTTCTGGTGTAGTGGATCTGTTTTACATACGTCTAATATACGTTATCTTTCTCATGATACACAATGATATCATCTAAAAATAGTTGAGCGCAATTAGTTTAACGGGTATGGAAACTGAATTTGATTATCACAATTTACAAAATGTAATACCCAACATTACTGTCTGAGTTCGTAAGGATTCTTAAATAGTGTATTTTGAAATGAATAGTTTGAAACACCGAGTTAAAGATTTTTTACTGTTGTATACAAAAGCAGGATTTTAACACGTCTTCAAAACGCAGTCGTGTGATTTTCCTGGTAAGCCTGGGTTGTCACATGAACAAAGCCCCCGAAAACACCGTTCATTTTGTCCCTGTATTCCTAATCTTTCTTTCTTCAATAGCCCCGAGCCTTACGACTCATAGGCACAAAAGTAGAACATAGACATAAACATATATAATATATAATACATCCATGTAGCATACACTCATACGCACGACCACATCCACCCTCATCCTCTCACACACATCCACGCACACACACGAGTTCAGGTTTATTCCGGGGGGCCTTACAGCCCATAGGTTTACATGAATATTATGCATACATTCATAAACATGTTATAATTGCCATATAATGTATACGGAGAGTGACCTCCCTTGACGAGTATGCTTAATAATGTATAATAAACATGTACAACTTCACATAAATACATATCCAGAACGTAAATAAATCATAAAGTACGTTTTCACACACACCTATCACTATTATTTTAATTATTGTTTGGGACCAACGTCCTCTATTATGGTCGTTAATCCCTAATAACAATAATCACACACACCCTCACACGTTCACATACATGTAAGCACACATGCTTAAGCGAAAACACTCCAGTACTCACTCGCTTACGTGCGAATCCGCACATACCCCTTGTGTATGAAAAACTGAACTCCTTACAAATCAAATCTAATAATGGTTTTGCTTATAATACTTCAGATCGCCGTTTAAATGCATAATGAATAAATTTTCCGAGGTTATTTAATTTCTTTACATTGTTTATACTTAAAAGCTTAATTAATTTGAACACACTAGGTTTGCGAAAATAATAATGATTACAAATATTTAGATCGGAGATCTACATAAAAGGGACATTTCAAAATAAAATGGAATTCGTCTTCAATATCTCTATTATTACATAATGTACAGATCCTATTTTATCTGGCTACGTTCCTATATCTACAACTTTCAATATTGAGCTGATGTGATGATAATCTTATTTTTGATACGCATTTCCTGAATCGATAGTCGATAGGTTTCCTTAAATGAAACTGCAGCCCAAAATTGTCTATCAAATGCTGATATAAATATCCTTTAGGGGACTTTCGAATATTGCTCAACAATTCTTGAATATGAATTTCTTGAAACTTACACTCAATTAACTTGTACACTAGTTTTCTGTTAAGACTGCTGTTCCATAAGTACCCTAATCCTAATGTATCTAGTTCTAACTTAATATTTACAATCCACTCATCATTATCTAATAATCTTTGTTCATAGCATGCTTTCAACACACAATTATCTGTATCTTTGATTTTAGTCCAGTATTTCATTATTTTCAATTTTCTGACAATATACATTGGTAATCTTCCTAATTCAAAATAAACTAAATCATGATTTGTACTTTTCGCAACACCTAAAATCTTTTGACAAAAATGTGAATGTACTTTTTCAACATCAGTAGCTTTATGGAATCCCCACACCTCACTTGCATATGTTAATACACTACTAACATAAGTATCAAAAACTGAGCATAACGTTTCAACATTAAAGTTATGATTTTTCATTTTGTTTATCAGCCTAAAATACGATTTTCTCCCCTAATCCTACTCGCTTCTAAGAGTTCGGTCGTGCTAAGTCTGTTACGGTCTGCTGAATTTCGGTATACTCTTTAAGTTTTTGTTTAGGTTGGTAAAGCTTTAGTCTGTGGTATTTATCATTTTATTTTCTGTTATTTTCTATGCATGATGTTAATCTGTATGCGTGGTTCTTACAAGCTCTTTTAATCCGTTTATTGAATTTTTAACTATCTTAAGTTGCAACCTTTTGATAGGTAAACACTGATTGTTGGAACATTCCTGTAAATCTGTTCATGGACATTAAAATACAATAAAACTGTACACTTTCATAATGCCAGATACGTTTTCTGTAAAACCCAAGCTGAAGTTTACATTCATATAACATCTATCTTCTAGTGAAACAACATATAACTGGCTGGTTTAGTTGCGTGATTCTTGAAACACAAAACATGTATAAGAAATACAAACTAAATCAAAACAAAGACAAATGACACGTGACATATATTTTAAAGATGCTCATTTTCTACATTCATAAATAATTTAACTGGTATCGTGAAATATTTCAATATCACACGGTCTATTTTCCTTTTGTGATAAAAAACACACACAAAAAAAAAAAAAACAAAAAACAAAACAAAAAACGATGGCAATGGTGCATTCTATCTAGGGACTTTTAGAGTCGGGAACGGAGAGATTACCATTGTGCTGCCATTACGATACACACGATGAAATGTAAATTTTGAAATGTTATTGCATATGTAATTCTCTCCAAATATTGAACACATTATGTGTTTGTATTTGTGGTTAGTACACACACATACACAAAAAACCAAAGCTGACATCATGTGTTTGTAATTGTGGGAAGTACACAAATATACACAGATTACCCAAGATGACATCATGTGTTTGTATTTGTGGGAAGTACACACATATACACAGAAAACCAAAGCTGACATCATGTGTTTGTATTTGTAGGAAGTACACACATATACACAGAAGACCAAAACTGACATCATGTGTTTGTATTTGTAGGAAGTACACACATATACACAGAAAACCAAAGCTGACATCATGTGTTTGTATTTGTGGGAAGTACACATATATACACAGAAAACCAAAGATGACATCATGTGTTTGTATTTGTGGGAAGTACACACATATACACAGAAAACCAAAGACGACATCATGTGTTTGTATTTGTGGGAAGTACACACATATACGCAGAAAACCAAAGATAGCATCTTGTGTTTGTAAAAGTACACACATATACACAGAAAATCGAAGATGACATCATGTGTTTGTATTTGTGGGAAGTACACACATATACACAGAAAACCAAAGATAGCATCTTGTGTTTGTGAAAGTACACACATATACACAGAAAATCGAAGATGACATCATGTGTTTGTATTTGTGGGAAGTACACACATATACACAGAAAATCGAAGATGACATAATGTGTTTGTATTTGTGGGAAGTACACACATATACACAGAAAACCAAAGATAGCATCTTGTGTTTGTGAAAGTACACACATATACACAGAAAACCGAAGATGACATCATGTGTTTGTATTTGTGGGAAGTACACACATATACACAGAAAACCAAAGATGACATCATGTGTTTGTATTTGTGGGAAGTACACACATATACACAGAAAACCAAAGATGACATCATGTGTTTGTATTTGTGGGAAGTACACACATATACACAGAAAACCAAAGATAGCATCTTGTGTTTGTGAAAGTACACACATATACACAGAAAATCGAAGATGACATCATGTGTTTGTATTTGTGGGAAGTACACACATATACACAGAAAACCGAAGATGACATCATGTGTTTGTATTTGTGGGAAGTACACACATATACACAGAAAATCGAAGATG